TGGAGCCCTGGTCACCCAAAGCCCAGTTCCATCTGCCCTTCTTGACCCGCTTCCAGGTGATGCCAGCATCTGTAGTCATGAAAGTGTCGGCATCCTTAAGCGGGCCAAGGGAGTCACCCACATTACCCCATCCAAACATGACGCCCACGGCGCCCTCAGATGAGTACGTCTTACCACGATCCCTGCGCTGGGTGTAACCTTGAATATGGAGTGCGCACTTCTCAGTGCCACTGGACGAGCACGGGAACCTGCCGAATTCGTCCTTGCTAGGGGTAGGGAGGTACGCCCACTGGGCGCCGTCGTTGTGCGTGATCTTGGTCTGAAGTTTTTGAGGCGCGCTGCTCTTGGCGTCTGGATTGGCGACCACGTTGACGAGAGCAACACCTTCCAAGCCAACCATCTTTTCGAAATCGACGTAGAAATACTGGTCGCAGTTGACGTTCTTCACGCTGACAACGTACGATGTACCGTTGGAGTTACTCTTCAGGATTGTGCCGAGACTCTTGTCGCCCTCCATCTTAGTAGCCACAAAGAGATTGACGGCATGGGTTGAGCTGTCCAAGACAGTATATGCGTGCTGGTGAGGAACTTCAAATCCGAAGGGGAACTTTGCCTCGGAGTATAGGCCGCCGTCAAGAGACGCATGCGCCCGCAACGTCTTCTTTTCCGTATCTTCGGTCGCAACAACAATGAACTCTGCCATGGTGGCGAATTCTTTGGCATCCTTAAGGCGTACTTTCTCATCCTTGTTGAACCAGTCGTTGGATGAGACAAGCTGCAGGGCACTGTCACTGGCACCTTCCTTCTCGTGCTTGAGGCAGAGAATCTGCTCCAAAGCGCGGTTTGCGTACTTGCGCCCATAGGCCTCCGCTCCCGTAAACTCACACCGGTAGACGTCGCGGGCAAGGGTCTCCCAACGTTCTCCGTCTTTGGTGCCGTACGCAACCCGGTAGCAGTCGTTCTTGCTTTCACACTTCTTACCCAACCAAATGAGCCAGTTTGGCTTGTCAGGATGGAAGATAAGCGGGAAGATACCGTTGGCGGCAGCCTCAAGATCGGCGGGTTGCGGCACGTCAAAGGTGCGGAAGCGTTTGCCACGATCAGGGGTGTAGATCAGCTTCTTGCCTTCAGTAAGGAAGAAGACCCAATCCTTGACTGTAGGGTGGGGAACAATGCTGATAACCTCTTCGTCCTTGAAGAAGTCTATCTTCTCCCATGTCTTGCCGTGGTCCGTGGTCCTCCAGATCGGACCAGCCTTTGGCCCTGAATCATCAACTGTGCGGTTCTTGCCTCTCATGATGATGGTCTCACTGGAGTCGCTGCTAGACTCGCCTCTCTCGAGATAGTGCTTCTCCCATTGGGTCCAGTGGCCGAATTTGCCCTTGGTGTCAACCTGCTGGAGCTCACCTGTAGCCTCCTCTGGTGGGGCTCCGATACCATCACCACATGACCGCTCGACATCCTTATACTTGTCCTTTGTGTCCTTGGTATCCTTGCAGGTGTTGCCGGGAATCTTGCGGTAGCCGGAAGTACCCATGAATTTACCGTTCTTATCACCATCCTTGCAAGCACCTTCTGGGATAGGAATGGGTCCCTTAGACACACAATTGCCCTTGTCATTTCGCTCGAAGCTGTAGTCGCACTCGTAATCCTGGTCTGTGCAGTCGCAGTCTTTGGTCTCCACCTCGGCGAGCTTGAACTCTTTTTTGAGGAAGCACTTGGCATCCTTTTTGCGGCGGGGAAAGGTCTGCGTGTGTCCCATGATGCAGGTAGACTCTCCATCCTTGTCAACCCGGGCATGCCACTCCTCCATATCGCTGTCCTTGCAGGTGGCTTCGTGAAGCGCCTCGAAATCGATATGGATGACTTGCCAGGCACCCTTAGCCTTGCCAATAAGCACGAACTGAAGGGTAGTCGAATCAGGAGTGGTTGTAAGGATCCAAGGCTGAATCTTCAGATCGTCGGGCAGCTTCTCCTCGACCCAATTCTCTCCATGGTCAAGCGAGTAGCTGATTTCCGACACGTCTTCCTCCTTTGAATCGCGGACGGCCACAAGAATAGACCCTTGATCTCCAAACTCGTACTTGTGTGGCCCCTTCAATGCCTTCTTCCACGTCTTACCGGCATCATCGGAGACATAAAGATTGGCATCCCAGTAATCCTCGAGGTAATCACCGGTGTTTCCGTTGGCCATGACCAGACCAGGTGCGGGACTTGAAAAGACACGGCCGACATTGTTGAGTTCGGTAACCGAGTGAAGATGAATCCTTTTGCCGTCCGCAGTAACCTTTTCGAAAGTCCGACCATCATCGAAGGTAATCTCCGACACGAGCTTCTTCTTTGTGCTAGGCTTCTCGTCCACGTCCTTGCCGTTATCCACCTTGTTGACCAGGAAGATGCCCTGAATGCCGGCAATCTTCTCGAAATCGACATGGCCGTACATGTTGAGGTTGGTATACTCAAGGTTCTCGGTGAAATAGGTGCCATCGTAGTTGCTGGTGAACATAATGCCCATCGGTTGCGACTTTGAGCCCGTCATCACGTTCAGCTGGATGCTGTAGTTTGTGCTTTCCAGAACAGTATAGGCTTCCTGGACAATCTTGTGATCGTGGTCATCGTGTGCATTGGGGAACATGGCCCGCTGCCACTTCTTGGTGTCGGTGGAGATGAAGAGCGCCATCTCGTCGGTGTTGGCGGATGTCGTAGCCACCATGAAGTACCTCTTCACAGCGGCGACATTGACGACACCACGTACGGGCTTATCACCTGCTAGGTTTGGCTCGAACTCTTGGATATTCCCCTCCTTATCCGCCTTGAAGAAGTCGTCCGAGATGACCAGACGGCGGTCCTCTGTGAAAATCGAATCGACGCCCATAATGATGCAAAGGATGCGATCCTTGTCGAGGTCGGAGTCACCAGTCGTAAATAGGGCGTTAGACTTGGCCCACCAACAGCCAAGAGTATCAGGGCGAAGAGGTTTGGCAGGAGTGTCGAAGCCATCGATTGTATAGAGAGACACTTCCTCGCAGAGGAAGCCGAGGCAGTTCAGACCATTGAAGATGATGCGGTCGGGATCCGTAGCATGGAAGTGCAGGATATCGTACCGCTCCGTGTCCCATTCGGCATTGATTTCGAACTTCTTCCACGTCTTGCCCTGGTCCGTGGTGCGGTAGTGTTTACGACCATCGGTGATTGCGAAAGCCCGCTTCGGATCGAAGTCGTGCATGTATAGCCGGGCGACCTTGCCGTCGGGGATATCCTTGACCACGGACCATGTTGCGCCGGCGTCATCGGAGCGCCAGAGGTTGGCCTTGTGAGGGTCATGGAAAAGAATGGTATCGGAGCCTTGGAAGTAGTTGAGATTGTTGGGCTGTGTATCAAGCTTGGTTGTCTTGAAGTCTGGGTGGTCCTTGGCTAGGAGGGGTGATGCCCAAAGGGCAGACGCCAGCAAGGCCGCTGCCTGCAGAGCTCCCCTGACCCTCATGATTCGGGGCTTCTAAGTCCGGCAATCATGAAGCGGAAACTTGTTGACTGTATTCGGGGAGAGCTTCGCCAAGCGTGTTTATCGTGGGGTGAGTGTCGACGGGTCAAGCGAACGAGTGTGTGGTTAGAGAAGTAGCTGGCGATGCAGTCGTCGAGATATCTGTTGCGTGCGCAAAAGTCAACAACCAAGCTAGCTAAGGCGGGCTGGCGGGAGAGGGGCATCGGGCGGCGCGTGGGGACGTGATGTTGTCAGGTTATCGGGCCGTGGTGCTGGCTGGTACTTACGAATAGCAAACGGAGGTCGACACTTGGATATGGGATGGAAAAGCTATACGAAGCTCTAATGGTAATTGTTGATTGCGGATACTGCATATGACATGGAGGAAGAAGACAACGGAACAGGACGAGAATGCAATTCTGACATGGAGTTGCAGTCTGAAGCAACTTGTCTGATAGCCGCAATGCTGCCCTGTTGCCTGTGCCGCAAGCTGAGACGCCTGTCAGTTTAGGGGGAGGGACCCGCCAATGACGAAGCAAGTTCGGATAGCAGTTGGCCCCATCACCGGTCGCGCCACTTTGAGCTCCGCGTCAGCCTTTTTGTTGGTTCCCTGTCGCAGATCGCCCAGCGGAACGCTTCTCCATCGGGCATCTCGAATTCCACTGCCATCAGTGCATTGGAATTGTCAGAAGCAAAGCAAGGGAAGCTCCAACAGCCCGCACAAGGGCGTTCGTTCAGGTCCAACATTGAGATCCCGTCTTTTGGAACAGCCCCAGGAGCTGTGCCACGATCCGGACACTCCGGGCCTCCAGGGGAGTGTCTTAACAACCATCACACGGCGGACTTCCAGGTTGTATCGCTCAGTCTAAAGCACACCTCATGGAGATGGGTCGTATACACCTCCAGCAACCATATCATCGGTTGACACAGAGCCTCTGGCATACATTCACAATTCACAGTCTTTACCCTACTTTTTTGTGTTCCCGTTCAGTCCATTCGGTTGTTGCCGCTCTTCCATAGGACTCGTGCTGTTACACAATAACACAATAGCAGGACATATACAACAAAGAACAACAAAGACTTCATCAATGTCCAACACTCCAAAGAAATGCAGAATCGCGCTCAAAGTCAGAAAATCCATTGCTTCGCCTCCCTTAGGTACACTACATCGTACGCTTCGTGGAACCGAGCCCGGTCGTCAAAAGCCTCTCATCTTCTAACTACGTACCCGAGTCCCACATCTCCATCCAAAATGCCCAAACAGCAGATAGCAAATATACACATCTAAGATTATAAAAGAACTGTCACCCAAATGCGACGAGCCTTTCCATAGCTCTGCCTCCTTCTTTAGATTGTCAAAGCTGGCCGAGCAAAGAAAGACCCCCAAAGCGACATAAAAGGACCCCGCCCACTCTGCTGCCTAGGCCGGCACAGAAGGACGAGGTAAAGAAATCCAGCATGTACATGTAAACCACCCATTCCCATTTCACGTCTTATCACATCTTCATTCCAACCACATTTACTCGCCACGGGGCTTAAGGACAATGGTAGCAGTGCCACCCTCCCTGAGGCCGACCTATTCATCTTGTTAGCGGTTTGCGATAACACAGGGGACAGAAACATTGCAGAGCATACCGTGCAGCCGTTGTTGCCAGAGTATTGGCCGTTCTTAAGCCAGCACTCTCCAGAGATATCACCCTTGATCTCCATGTCGAAGTTGAGGACGGCGGTGGAAGTAGGGGCGTTGGGGAAGATAGAGATATAAGTAATGCCGTCGTCGCTCTTGCCAACACCGACGTTGACAGGGGCCCAGTTACCAGCACAGTCGGGGCAAGTCTTGGAGTTCCAGGTGCAGGCATCATCGACAGGAATGTCCATGTTGTTGACGTAGTACTGAGCGGTGGTGGACTGGCCCTTCCACTTGTAGTAGGTAGACGAGACAGGGTTGGTGAGAGGGTACTGGCCGCCGGGGGTGGTCTCGAGAGGAATGACCATGGCCTCGTTGCCGGGATAGTCGGTACGGCAGATGGCAGCGCTCTTGGGGAGCATGTTCTTGACATAAACACCGCCGGCACCCTGCTCGCAAAGGGTAGGGTGGCTCTCGCGGGTAAGCTCAAGGTAGCCGTCGCTGTTGCAGTAGAGACCACCGATAGACTGACCAGTGGCACCCTGGGACTCCTCGGGCCACTGAGTCTTCTGGTAGCCCGCAGGGCAGGCGTAAGAGCACAGCATGCCCGGCTGGCAAGGGCCGGTGATGGGCTGCTCGTAGTTGTTGATGGCAACGCCCTTCATGAGCTTACCAACCTTGGCAAGAGTGGTCCATCCGGACAAGCCAACCCAGTCGACGCCGAGGGCGCCATAATCGCTGGGGAAATGGTCGCATCTGATCTTGCCGCTGGGGAACTTGCTGTCAAGTCCGCCGCCAGAGGGGTTCTCAGGAGCCGCCGACGAGGTGGCAGCGGGTGGCTCGCTGGAGGTCGAGCTGGGAATAGGGCTCGACGAAGTGGTCGGGATGCTCGAAGTGGTGGACGACGAGGTGGACGTGGAGCTGGAGATAGTGCTGCTAGTCTTTTGCTCAAAGAACTGGGCACCGCCGGGAACGCTGGCGATGGAGGTCGAGACAACGGGCGGAGGAGCGACGAACGAAGGCTTGGAGGAGCCAAGGACGACGTAACCACCCTGCTTGATGCCCTGCTCCGCCTCTTTGGCATCGACCTTCTTTCCGTCTAGGACATACTCAACGACAGTAGGACCCTGAACGACCTTGGTGACCACGACAGTACCGGCGGCGGCGGCATCAGCGCGCTTGTCGACTCCGGCGTGAGTGTGCTTCTTGGCGTGATGGTGGCCGTGGTGGTTGTGAGGCTGGGCGACGACACCGGAAACGGCGACCGCGAGGGCGAGTCCAATAATTCCCTTCATTTTCACTGATTTTGAAGCGGGATGATGTTGTCGAGGACAGGGTTTCTCGGGTTTGTGTAACGGGTTTTATTTACAGAAAACTGAATGCTTGCTAACTATTCAACCCGTCCATGTCAGTCTTTGTTTTCCAACTTGGATACTTGGCTGGCGCTGGACCCTTCGTGGATCTCTTTGAGGCGAACAAAAAGGGCTGATCGCGCTGAAAAATCGCCATTGTCTGGGATCATTCAACCAGACACACCAGATCCCGCCCGCGCCGAAGAGTGGGTTCTTGACAAGAGCTGCTTACCAGCTGGTCTGGATGGGCGTCTAGACTAGACAACAACCTAATCCGAGTTTCTAAAATAGTGACACCGCTGTTGTTCCAAAGGAATGTGGTAGAGAATCGAGGACTCTCTGTTGGATGGAAATCCTGATCGCGAAAAAAAGCGAAAGGGCGCCGATGATGTGGGAGGTGGAAACAAGCAAGTTGAAGGAACCGTCCAAGGGAATGAAAGATCCGGAGCACGAGAAAGTGGAGGAGGCGGGCTCAAGTAGTACCTCGACGTGAGTACACACCACTAGGCCAGGTACTAGCGACTGCTGTACCCCCTTCTTGGACAGACCTAGAACCCTAACCGGCGTGGTACGAAGGCGTGCGAAGCGAGCGGTGGGCTGTGGTGGGACGGGAGAAGACTCTTTCTGTCAATGGGCTCCAAAGGGCTCCATTCGCCGGGCGGAAAAGGAAAGTGACTCGAGCGAAATGAAGACCGTGACAGGGCACCCCCTAGGCGCTTTCCTGCCAGGAACAAGGAACAGGCAGTGTCTGGGGAACCACAACCAGGGCCTCTCGCCAACTGAACTTCCCGTGTTGGTGGTCTGGCTCCTGTTCGTCTGTCAGTTCGGGCCACCTGCCCTGGACGCGCCTGCCCTCCTCCCACGGTCTCCCACCGGACCGCTGGGCAGCCAGTGGAGATCCCTTCTTCCTTGGCGAGATTGCGCTTCCAGGAAGCCGGGGGGTGGATTGAATGCCACGAGAGGAGGAGGGTGGCAGCGGCCCAGCACAACAACAATGTCCCATTGTCTGTGTGGAAGGCGTGCCTGGTGTGCCAACCCAACCAGAGCGGCTACTGCAAGGCACAGGAACCGGGAACTTCAGCAAGAACGCACCCGCAGGCATTGGATTTTGGCGAGAGAGAAATCAGGAACCGTTCGCTGTGATTGGCCGGAGCTCTGTTGAGTGTTGCTGGGCGAGCTGGGGTCTCACTTTATCAACAGGGGAGGAGATGAGCAAAGACCACCCTCCATCATGGGCTGCATGGGCGAAGGGAAATGGGGGAAACTGAGATTGGAGACTGGCCAAGATTGGCCAGACTCAGAGGCTTCTATTTTTCCATCACGACGGAAGAGACGACGCCATCCATCCATCAGCAACTTTCCACCCCTTCGATGTTTGTTTCATTACGCTGTGCCACTGCCCTGCGGCCGCGCAAGCACGATGATGAAGTGGACATCCCTTGGAATACCGTCTTCAGCAGTGAGTTTCCCTCACGCCAACTCTTCGATACGCAAAGTCTACGTAACTATGCTTCGTATAAAGTCAGGGCTTCCCGGTTCTCCCCCAGTTGTACCAAGACAAGACCTTGCCGACCCATCTCCCCGTCGCTTGAAGTGCCGAGAAATGTGTTTCTGTCTGTCTTTCCCGGCGGTGACTGTGACAGCCGAGAGAGCCATCCTCTCTGGGCTGTTTTCCGATAGCATTGACCGTCCCCATGCTTGTCTCCATGAGAAAGGCGGCCCCGGAAATTGTGTCAATCAATGCTTCTCTCGGCCTTCTTTCACATGCTCCAAAAAGGTGGGTGACTGTCCATAGCAGGAGTAGGTACAGCCCGGATAGCCTGCACGGTTTGGCCTGATCCCGTTCATCGTCAATTGAATCCCTGTTGAATAGTGTCAAAAGGGCTTCTGTTCCTGACTAACCTACTATGACTTAGTGTGCATTCGCAAGCTGGCTCCGCCTTTGTGGGCAGGGTGGGAATGGTGGGTCGACTTACGATCCAACAACAACCTCATCAGCTTGTCTTTTCGCCTCCCTTTTCTTGGGACATTTTACTGATAATAGACGGTGTTGCTGTACGAGTTTCCAAGACTTCTGGCGAGAGGTCTCCGTCACTTGTCGTTACAGACCTGTCGATGTTGGGTGGTTGTCGGAAAGGAGAGATGACAGCGGTCAGTTCGGTTGACAACATGCGCTGCTTGCGTCCGACTTTCCAGCATTCAACTGCATGAGAAACGCTCGGATGACAGGCACATTGCGGGAAACCCGACGACGTGACATCGGACGAATCCAGGTACGATCATCATAAAGTTCGGTTTGTATTCTTGTTTGTTTCTTTATCTTGCCTTAAGTCGTAACATCAAATTTTGCCTAATGACGACGTTCTGCTGGATGTTGCGCTGTTTTTTCTCCTTCTCTTTTATGAAGGGCTTCTCTTTCATGCACTTCTTCAAGCGTTTTCCTTGTCCTCAAATCGCACGGTCCAACACATCCTGGAGTATACTATGTATAGGTATCCTTCGGTGGATGGGTGTCAAGCTTGGCTGGAAACTCAACACCATCGAGTTGAAGAACCTACCGTCATCTAATCGACCTCTTACATACCCTGCGAGCCATCTCTCGCTCCAGCTTTAGGTTGATTAGACACCTAATCTCGGCTGAATGCCAGCTCATGAAAGCGGCTCACTGGCATTGTTATAGCAACCGTTGAAATACATCCATACGACCCGGGAACATTCCACTGTATCGTGCCGACTTGGCATTCACTGGAAATCAAAAAGTTACGCCAAGTTTCGACAGGTCGAGGTGCTGGAACGCTATAGATGATGGCCCAGATGATGTCCAACAAAACAATCCCCAGATCGTCAGGAATGCTAGAAGGCGCCCGAGCCCCGTACGATGGATCGAAGAACACGATCGTGCTAGCAGGGAAGATGAGGAGTTGTCCACAGTTCTGAATATCATTGACTATCAATAGCGTGAGGAGTGTCTTTGCTGGTTTGATGCCTTTGGCATTCGCATGAACGAGAGTTAAGAACAAGATTTGATCGTCGAAGCGATGAAGACCCAAGAGTGATCGACCTCGTGAAGATATCTAAACCCCAGGTTGGCATCGGACACATCCCGCATTGTTGTCCGACATGTTCAACAATCGCCCGGAGTCTGGCCAGTCTTGGTGTTTGCCGATCATCATCTCTGTGCACTCGGTATTGGGGCCGGGCGCAACATTTGACAGTACTCACAGTACTCAGAAGGAGCTACCACTTGTAAAAAAAAAACTTGGTCCCTCTGATCCGTTGACAAATGCCGATCAGTTCTGATACATTTGGAATCCATAGCTGAACTTCCTCGGTCAGAGGCTCAAGGGCATAAGTGGATATTCCAAATCATAAGCATGGAAGAAAATACGCGTTCCTTTCGGTTCCTGCTTCTTCACATCAAACGTATTCAGACTGACAGCTGTATGGATAACACACCATCATCTCTGGTCTCTGTCTCTACTCCGGATCTGCCTTCAGGGTGAGCCAGTTTGGGCTTTCTTCAAAGTAGTCCAAGCCTCATGTCATCAACGAGGAGCCCTAGGGACCTGATTCAAGTGTTAGTCTACAGGATAAGTATGGTCGTGCCGACATGGCATCTAGGATTCATGTTAGTTGATGCGGAAACCTGGAGCGTATGAGTACTAATCAGGTCTATAAAGTCGTGGTTGGGTTTGTAGACTTGATCAGCTATGTGGGCCAAACAACGCATCTAATGCAAATGGTGTCGAAGCGTTACTCAAGGACATGACCGAGAGTTGCCAAACACCACGCGTGCCATCATCTTCAATACTGACTGATGTAGCGAAGTCATTCCCAACGTCTACCTTCTGACGAGCAAGAAGGCGACTGGGTCTGCATGATGCTCGGATCAAGCAAATAAGAAAACGGCTCTTCACCAAGCGAATCCCCGAAAGCCTTCCTGTCGCCGCACCGCGGAAAGTGTCAGTGAACTGCGTATACGGGAGACGGCCTCGTTCACGGACATCCCATGACGGCCTACAACTGAAGATTATCAGTAAGAGGGTCTATCTTGACACAGAAAGCTCGACTGTAGTCGGTGTCATCGAGACGGGGGAGGGAAACTTCAAAATTGACGTAATTCCACATTAAGCAAAGAGATTACGTTACTGGATGCCTGCGCCACTTGATCTCGCGATACCTCCTAGTGGCGCCTCGGCGCTGTGATGGAATTGGTGGTGGTGTTCAGCTGAGGATTCAAACACGAAACAACACAGCCACTGCTGAGCCGTAAGCGATGAATGATCTTGGCCTCTGATGCTCCCGGGGATGTGCCATGAATGCGTATTGGGAAAGAAGGCCCGAACAATCTTTGTCAATGGAACTTCTTGTCGGCCGTGAGGTTCGCTCAAAGCTTTATGTCGTCGTTTGCACAATGAGTGAAGTCCAGTGCTGCGTTTCAATGGCTTCTCATTCAACGGGCCCACTTGAGCTAGTGGAGCGCCGAGTGGTAGTTGATGAGATCGATAACTTGGAGAGATTGAAGGGCATTTTGCTGATAAAGCGCCAAGAGGCCAGTCAAAGACGTATGATCATGTCCGATCAATATCGTACAGGAGGAAGCCGTATTCGAGTAAATGAGATGGCTATAGGTAAGCTTTCCATCTGAGACCGATTGGCTTGATGATCGGTGGTTGAAGAGCTGAACAACGATGGGGTGCTGAGGTGACGGAACTTGAAGGTGCACACATTGTAGACAGACACGCCAGGCTGCGAACACCAGCTGTCAGATCAGTACAGCAGCTGGTAGTCAGGTACAATTGGACGGAAAAGAGTTCTTGTGGGGCCACCTCGGCCACTCCCTTCGTCTTGGCGGCCTGTCAGCTGTGCACCTCCACAGTCCACACAACCCAGCCCATTTTTTTCCCTTCCTCCCCACGGTCCCCCGGCACAGCCTTTCCTCTCAACCGCTGGCATTTGAGGCTCACCACTTTGGAAGCACCCCCAGCTCTGGATTCCACCTCCACCTCCGCCTCCCTAACACAGCGTGCTCTTGCCGTCAATACGATCGAGCTTTGAGCTTCACTCGACTGCTAGCCGTAGACATTGCATTCTCTGTCTAGCTCTCCATCCCGCACATTGACGTGGCCCCAGCATCCAAAATTCCAGTTGGTGCTTTTTATTCGCACACGACTAACGAGCCGCCACTGATCACTATCCACGACTCCTCCAACAAGCCGCGCCGCGAGTCTCCAACCTGGAGCTCTCGCCACGCTCTCCAGCCACACATCAAAGCCTCCAACACATCATCGCCTGGTGATGCTGCCTCGACGACGGTGAGCTTTAAGACGTGATAGCAGTGTATCCATATAATTATTTGGACCATCTTACCCTTCGATTGGTCGGCTTCAAGCGACGTCGTCTAGAGCTTCAGGCGACCTCATGGCTTCAGAAAAAGGGCATCTCGTGGCGACCGAGACTCCTCTCGCGACGCCCGCTCCCTCACAGCTCCAGGTCGCGGCAGCCTCGTCCGCCCCAGAAGCACCGCCGACAGCCACCATCTGCCGACGCCGCCTTTGCCCTCGCCGCCGAGATCTCCCGGGCCAAGTCGCTCAAGAGGTCCCGTGAGGAGACCCCGCCATCGCCGGATTCCGTAGAATCCTCTTCTCCTGGCGATCTGTCCCCTTCGAAAATCGCCCGCTTGGTCGGCTTCGCTAGGTCACCTCCGCCCTCTCTAAATGGTACCGCCGACCACGATGAGGAGAGACGCCGACGAGATGAGGAGCACCACGCCGAATCCGTGGCGGCATCTGAAAACCTGACCCATAGCCCTCTGGCCGACCTCATGTCCGGAGCGCCGTCGGGGCTGGCCCGACCACCCGACGCGCCAAGCGCTCCGTCAATGTCGAGTCTGGATGCCGCCGCCGATGCTGCTGCTAGGGCACTGAGCGCCGTTACTATCCCAGCACCAAGTGCAGTTCCTAATGAGCTCAAGGATGTCAACCAGCCAAGCGCACCGAGCGCCTCAAGCCTTGCCAACCCGTCAGGCGACGTGGTCAACAGTCCTGTGCCCATGGACGTTGACTCCCGCGAGGATCAGCGGCTTTATGCGCCACAGCCTGATGCGCAGATGGAACCTCAAGACAAACCTCCATCATCACTGTCTTATCCCGGAGTCCTTCCGCACGGCGCTCCTATGTCAGCGCCGGCCCCTCCTTCTCGAGGAATGAGTATGCCGATACCGAATGCTCAGGGTGCGGATGTGACGCCCCGGTCACCAGGCTCATCAAAGAAGCACAAGTGCCCCTACTGTTCCACCGAGTTCACCAGACACCACAACCTCAAAAGCCATCTGCTCACGCATAGCCAAGAAAAGCCCTATGTTTGTTCTACGTGCCAGATGAGGTTCCGAAGATTACACGATCTCAAGCGCCACAGCAAACTGCACACAGGCGAGAAGCCGCACATATGCCCCAAGTGTGATAGGAAGTTTGCCCGTGGGGATGCGTTAGCGAGACACAGTAAAGGCGCTGGTGGTTGTGCCGGTCGCAGGCCCAGTATGGGAAACTTCGAAGATGGGGATTACGATGGTGTGAACCCGACCGGAGCTGATGAGTCGGGGCTGTCGAATGTTATGTATGAGGGTGCTGCTGAGGGTGAACTTGCTGCGGCGGAGGAGGAACGCCGTCGTCTAAGTTTGCCGGCCATCAAAGCCCAGCATGTACCGGGCCAAACAGCCCCTGAAGGTTATGCTGCTCACTCGAGCACTTATCCCCCAGCAGGCCCTCGACCGGGCGGTCTCTATCCTCCAAACGTCGATCGCGGGTCCGCTGGCCCGCCTGCTTCTCCGAGCGTGCCTAATAACCACACTCCTCACACCAGTATATCGACCATGCCCCTTAGCGCAGCTGGCACGACCATGTATTCGCAGACCGGGATGACGGAGAGCCCTAAACCTCTAAGCCCGGGGGCAGCTCCGCCCACGGCTCTTAGTCACGATGCCCTCGCACGTCAACGGCCACCAGCACCTCAGCAGCCCCATTTCAGACCAGCGGAACAAGCTGCTTCCGGGTTATCACTGCCATCTCACGGTATGTCACCAACAGTTGAAGAAGCCTGGCGCTCCCAATACCCTCCTGCTGACCGAGATCCGACCCAAGGCAACACTAGTGCGCCCACTTCTCCGGCAACCCAACAAACGGCAGCTCGTGGACGGAGTCGTGCTTCGGGCGGACCTCCTGGACCTAATAGGTCCGGTGTGGTCGACGGCAACAACCTCTTTGCCGCTGGTGAGCAAGGTGTATGGTCTTACGTACAGCACATGGAGGACAAATTCAAACACTTGCAGTCTATGGTGGAGGCAACGAGCCAAACCAATGCCGAGCTGACAGCTAAGCTCAACACACACGAGCAACATATTTCTGTTTTGAATCAAAACACTACAGAGCTGGCGGCCAAGGTCAACGCGTATGAGCAACATATTTCTTCTTTGAACCAGACTCTTACGAACTTGACGGCCAAGTGTACCAATCATGAGCAGCATATTTCTGTCCTGACTGCCGAGGTCACGACGCTTCGGCAACAGCAACAGCATCAGCAGCATCAGCAACAACACCCACTTCACCAGCATCAACAAGAACACCATCTTCAGGAAAACCAGCAAGCAAACCATCAAGTGCACCAACTCCAGCATCAGCAGGAACACCAACCTGAGCACCCATCTGAGCATCAGCCTGTGCACCCGCCCGAGCCCCAGCCCCAGCCAGACCATCAACCTGGGCATCAGCCAGGGCATCAGCCAGAGCACCAGCAAGAACATCAGCAACATCAACCAGAACATCAGCAACAACATGTCCCTACCGAGACCCAAGAACCCCCACCTGCAGCACAGCAATAGGAACGCGAACTCGCTCCGGAGGTCGCTGCTTGGGCGAGTGAGGCATGGATTCAGCACATGATGGGAGTTGCTGGAAAGTAACAATCCATTTTTTATGGAACATGGATGGAGGTTGGTGGGGGTAATGTAGTGGAGAATAAGGTGATTGTCCTGTCGGGACATGTTGGCTTTTCGACACCGGCGGGACCTTTATCGGCAAAAAGGACTCATCTTTTAACGTCGGGAGAGCAGGAGGCCGGCACGGCGTTTTGATAGGTTTGACGTAGTTCAGGCGGCGTCTGGTAGGGAATCTAGGATTGCTGCGCATGTGTTGCTTTTGGATCTTCGTCTTTTGGTGTTTCGTATCACTAAATGGTAGCACCGGCGGCTCCAAGTGAGCGGCGGTCAACCAACATAACCGTGGTTTGATGGTACTTATCCACGTTGAGTTCAGGCCAAGGTGAAGTATGATGTCGTTATGACAGTTCGTCTGTCTGTCTGACAAACACGTGTTGCCTTGCCATGTCAAACAGTTTATGGGGTGGATAAACGGAATGAGAAACAGTTCACGAACAGAGTTAAGTTATAAAAAACATGGGACAACGAAACGAGCGAGTGTCGAAAGGCAAGAGAGATATAAGTAACAATCGTATGAATGATGTCTGATTTCAGGCGCACTGCATGTCAGGATGGAAGGCAGGCATGCACTCGATCATGTTCCAGGTCACCTATAAGCTCACTGCACTTGGTCACCTACGGTTGAGATTTGAGGTGTCATCGTTGAGACAGATGAGCCATGGTCATGTTTTTCCTGAGGTTCTGGGTAGACCCAGTATTCCATCTAATTTACTTCGAACCCTCGAATGCATCCTTTGCGTACAATGACCATGAAGAGAGCTGTGAATAAACATATGAAACGATCTGAAAGCTCTCTTCGAGGCCGAAGAATGGTTCCACTCTGTTCGGCTCCGGGGTGCTTGATGTCGTGCAGGTCTCCGGGCAATTCGCGGTAGGAACGAGCAGCAGAGACGGGAGCCTTCGGGACCCTGGCCCCTGCCGAAGCCACCCCACAACGAAAACGTCATAGGCACCTGACAAGTATAACACTAACAATAAAGCACCTGCAAAAGCTAGTGTAGCAGTTAGTGGCACCTGCAAAAGCTACAGTTGCACTTGCCGGTAGGGCTCCAAGGGCGTCATGGACATCAACCCCTCGCAGCTGCCGGACACCAAGCCATTCATTGATGCCCATGCATTTTGTGAAACCACCAGACGGACTCGAGCATCTCATCGCTCACCTCGGCTGGTCCCATCTGTTCGACTACAAGAGAGACTGGTGAAATGTGAACATTGCCCCGCCAAGTTCCAAATTTTAAAGAAAGGTATGTGCGTTGCTGTACTTGTGTACAATCATGAGCTCTCAACATGCGCCTCATCTCACTCCTGCTTTTCCGCTTCAGATGTGAGAGGACCGATTCATAGCACCTTCCACCTTTCCCATCATAGCTTCCTCATGACTCCTGTGCTCCTTGTCTCCTGTCTGTTTTATGGACCATGGCTGCTAAATCAGGAGAATCCCTCGCCGCACTCGCACTCGCACTTCCGCTTCTTTCTTGTCCGGCCATCCAAGTCCTTGCACCTGCCACCTGCCCAGTGTTTCCTGCATGCTTAATGCCCCATGTCGACTGTATGAACTCTATGAGCAAGGAAGGCGCGTCACCATTTCTCGCCATACGTTAAGCCTGACAGCGTTCGCAGTCGCCAACTCTAAACATCTGACCGTCTCCTGCCACCGCGCCTGCCTGTGGGTACTTCTCAGCTAAGATCGAGGGGGAGTCTGACCACGCCTCATTAAAACCCGTCTGGTCCATCCTTCAGTCAAGGACCGCCCCTTGATTTTCTTTCTACCGAGGTGAGTAATCAACTACTCGAACTCCCTTCACACATATCTCGCCATGGCAGACGTCTCGGGATCCCTTCCTCCGCCGAGCGGCTCCTCTTCCAAGAAGAAGTCGGGCAAGAAGAACAAGAAGAACAGCCAGAAAGCGGCTCGCAGTGAGATACCGGTGCTAAAAGTGGTCGATGGAAACGCAGCTCGTCACGATCCGGCCTTAGCCGCTGCTGGCCAGGCTTCCGGCCCCTCGGCAGACAAGAAGGAGAAAAGGCTACACACCAAGACTTCTGTAAGTGACCTCACTTTTTCGGTTCACCACAATCCATGCTCCCATGACGCACCCGCTAATGACTGTAAAGATACCCGACCTGAAGCCTCTAACCAGTGTCGTTTCTACTGCCACTGCCACCGGCAGCACATCGTCGGGTTCACTGCACACTACAGTCTCCAACGAAAAACCGGCCAACATGTCAAACAATGGCAACAAGGGAGTGACGGATGAGTCCGCCGACTTTTCGATCTCGGAGCCAGCAACTACCAACCCAACCTCGCCTTCGTCCACTCAAGTCGATGGTCTCCTCGGGACGGACACTCCGCGGACAGAGGTTTCGCAGAAGGCAGGAACAGCACCGAGCACCTGTATCGATTACGCTGATGCACTCAAGGATGGCCTGAAGGAAGGTGGTCTGAAGGAGGGAACAGAGGAAAACGTTGACGATCTTCCGGTCGAGGGCACCCCTGAGGAGCCAGCCGAGAAGCCTACCAGGATGACCATCCTCCCATTCCATGACAATACAGCTCGAGAGAGGCCCAGCAACGCAGATGGCGATGCCGAACGAGAGAAACAAGCCATATGGGACGAATATCCTTCATTGTACTTTGAGGGCGACGACAACGAGCTGGCCCAACTGGAGCGTGATAGAGCCAACGCCTACCAGGCCGCCGGTATCAGATTTGCACCATTCAACATTCCTTTACAGCGACGACTCCAGACCCTGGCGGTTCTGCTACACTCGCTGAGTATCGCCACAACCGTCTCTTTCTTCTTTTTCCTGTGCGCCATTCCTCTTTTCTGGCCATTGGTCATTCCGTATCTTCTTCATATGCTGCTTAGCAAAGCAGCAACTGATGGAAAGCTGCGCTTCCGCTCAGAGCGGCTCCGACACTCGCGAATCTGGCACTTCTTTGCGGATTACTTCCCAGCTAAGCTGCACAAGACGTACGATCTTCCTGCTGACAGGAAGTACATCTTTGGTTATCACCCTCACGGCATCATCTCACATGGCGCCTTCGCCGCATTTGCCACGGAGGCCCTAGGTTTCTCGGAGAAATTCCCTGGTATCACCAACAGCCTGCTTACCCTGGACAATAACTTCCGCATCCCGGTTTACCGTGATTACATTCTTAGCATGGGTCTTCGCTCGGTTTCGAAGGAGTCAATCACCAATATTCTCAGCCGCGGCGGGCGTGACGGTCACGGTGCGGGCCGTGCTGTGACCATCGTTATTGGCGGTGCTCGGGAATCGCTGGAGGCTCAACCTGGCACACTGCACCTCGTGCTCGGTGAGCGGAAGGGCTTTGTCAAGGTGGCCATGCGGACTGGCGCCGACATCGTCCCCGTGCTCGCATTCGGCGAGAACGACTTATACGATCAGGTCAGTCCCAAGAGCCATCCGAGCTTGCACAAGCTCCAGATGTTTGTGCTCCGGACTCTCAAGTTCACTCTGCCGTTCTTGCACGGAAGAGGAATCTTCAACTACGATGTGGGTCTCATGCCTTATCGCCGGCCCCTCAACATTGTCGTCGGCAAGCCGATCAGGGTCACAAAGAGGGCCGAGAGCGAGCTGGAGACAAGCGAGATTGATTCGCTGCACGCTCTGTACGCGAAGGAACTGGAGAAGATGTGGGAGCGCTACAAGGAGGGGTTCGCCCCAGAAAGAAGCGAGGAGATGCAGATTCTGAAGTAGGACTTTAGAGTGGATAAGGGGAGAGGTGGTGGTGGTTTGAGGAAGGAAAGGGAGGCAAGTCGACACCGTATGGATTCCACATTCATTGAAAAGGGCCGGATAAGGGGCTAGTGCAATGGATGGTCATGACAATTTTACTATTTACTATGACAAGGGGCGGACATATCTTATATTATCATGCGGGGAAGAGGATATGATTTTGGTGAAATTACAAGATGGAGTAATCGTCTAAAAATACGCATGTTTGTTAGGTCCACTGATATAAACTCACCCAGGCATTTTCACATGTTCAGTTGGAATCTTGAACTGCGTCATCTCTTAGCGAAGATCCCTCATAACTTCACAATTGCGCATACACATCTTTTTGACACGGAAACCACTCCAAAGTTCAGTCGGATCTTGGAGTGTGCGCGATGACAGGATGTTGTTTGTCAGTGATGAAAGCCACTCGAGCACCCCTACGGTGCAAAATCAACTTAACTATACCAGCAGCAAGCCCCTAGTTTTATTCCCAATCTGTGACGACCGGCCAATATATGTTCCCGTCGGGTCGCCCGAGACCACGGACCCGGGGACCTGGTGCTAGGGGACCCGAGTGCTTGGGAGCTCGGGAAATGAGAGATGAAATAAGTGCGCTAAATGTTGTTTTTAATCCAACATGGGATGGAATCGAGGACTTTTGGTAAGGATTGGACGTTGGACCTCCTCCGAACTCGGATAAACGGTGAATAGGTAAATGGGCCATGTGTATGGTACCTACCTACCTACCTACCTACCTACCTACTATGTGCAATTAACGATATATTCAGAATATGAGAAGTAAGTAGGGTGGTACGGCGGATAATTGATGGATACAAGAGAAAATGTTAAAAAGCTGTGTGTGGGTTACGTTAGTTGGTTGGTTGGTTGGTGGTGTCTTGCGAGGGGAACGGGGGAAAGAGGATGTGAGATCGGGAAGAACGAGGAGCGGGATGAGAACGAGGAGAACGAGGAGAACGAGGAGAACGAGGAGAACGAGGAGAACGAGGAGAACGAGGAGAACGAGGAGAACGAGGAGAACGAGGGGAAGAGGCTGAAGTACCTACTGTAGTTAGGTATTGCGTTATTCTGTGTATCACAACAACGACGCGATCACGTCTCTCGAGCGTTGATTTTAGTACTTTTGTTTTTGTGCGCGTTGGATAGAGGTAGAGGTAGAGAGGTACCGGTAGTAGGTAGAGGTAGCTTTCAACGTGGTTCGGTTCTTAGAAGATATAACGGATTATGGTAGGTACCAGTGGAGGAGATGTGGAAGATGGAATAGCCAAACTTCATGGTGTCGTTATCGTCTTAGTAGCGTTATATCGACCATCAGGTGGTTGTCGTCTTTTTTTGCCTTCTTTTTTCTTTTTTCTTTTTTCTTTTGTTTTTTCCCTCTCTTTTCGTGTCTTTATCCCTCAAGGTGGGTAGGCACATAGACTCAATGACGATCACAATCTTTTTTATTCTTTCTCACTGACAACCGCTCGGTCTCGGAATACTTGCAGTGGTAGAGCCAAAGTTTCAAGATCAACACGAGAATGAAATAGCTTGCCGTGGGATGATAACTGTGACGACGAGAAATCATTCATTCTTCCGATCGATTGATTACCTGCCGTGCTCTTTGATTAGGGCCTCCCATGGATAACTAACTGTTCGTGACTGTTTCTATCTATTCCTTGCTCCTTCCCCATTTCTTTATTATATGTCACATTTCGGAAGATCCGAGGAAGGAGTGAGGAACGAGAACCGAGTGTCTACAATGAATGATGAATGACAAATGGAAGGAAAGTCGAGAGATACCTGGGTACTTTCCCTTTCCCCAACGGGTCAAAAAAAAAACACGGAAAAAAACGAAAGTTTAGTTCTCGAAGATCGCATCGGCCAATGTTCATCATGTCTTGGTCCAGCTCGTCTCCCTTGCATAAACCACCACTACGCTACTACCAACCAGTGATAACCCATTAACTCAATGCCTTACTGATACCAGGTAGTAAACAAGTTCTGAGAAGTCGTCTGAAGTGAGTGAGTGAGTGGTATGAACCCGAAGAGTTAGTTGCAACGGCTGGCTGGCTGGCTGGCTGTGTGATACGAACTATGAATGCATGAGAGATCGTCGCCTGTTAGTCTAGTAGTAATTAATATCAACCAAATAACCACCGAATATCAAAAGCGGAAGGAAACATTTCGTTCGTTCGTAACGGAAAGGACATGCGTGAATGCACAAATGCACAAATGCACAAATGACACAAATGCAATACTACCCGCCTAACCAGACTCCCATAACAGACATGACGGACGTTTCGGCGTCTCCGTCAACATACCTACTGCGTAGTCGTTAAACTTCACCACTAATCATCCGCCCAAGCATTCAACTTACTTGGTTCGAAACAACCTAAACGGCCCGTTTCAGAACACACCTCAACTTTTACCCGCGAACTGAGCGACTTAGTAAAGTAAAGTAAGGAACCAAAATTTGGGTTGAATTTTGTTCATCAGTCGCACTTGTATGGAATCAATACAGTGCTGAGGAATATCACCGTGTGATATGTATGGTACGTCCGCAACGCACTGACGTTTGGGCAGCTCGCTTCCATCTCTTCTCTCACTTTCTATCCCGTGTCGCCCTTTAAACTTCCCTTCCCGTCCCGTGTATCGCTCGTCCGTGCGTCCCGTGTTATTCTAGAATGTCTCGTACGTAGTCGAGTACTACTCAGCCTCAATTTCTCTTCCCTTCCCTTCCCGTCTTTCCATCCGCGCCGTCAGGGTTGGGGCAAAAAGAAGGTTCGGTAAAAGCGGGAGACTCGACAAAGTAAGCGGCTTGGATACATCTGAAATAGAAATATATGAAGCCACAGAGATATATTCAAAGGGGGATTGGCTTGGACATTGTCAAGCTTGGTTGTTGATGCTGTCGCCAGCTAGAATATTGTAGTTTCAACCGTAAGGACCATGAGGGTGATCCAGGCACGCGATGAATGGACGCGTCGTGTAAAATTATAACCATGAATAAAGCAAAACACCAAGAACTCCTCGCCAGCCTTTGAAATGCTCATCAATACAAAGCCAAATACCCATTGGAACGCCTCGCAGTACAGTGGCCATTGATGCATTCGAAAAAAGTAGATAAAAAAAAGTTGCAGTCGGTTTCCTGCGATGTGGTTCACCCCTTCTCTTCAACCTCTCGTAGAACCTATTAGTATGTATCTAAGAAAGAGTCGTGGCGAGAAACTTTTGTTTTGGTTGTCCTCCTCTTACGTCCGTCGAACCCGCTTCCAGATTCGCTTCATGACTCCCTTCTCCGAGGTGGTGCTTGCTTGGTTCTCCAAGCTTTCATTGAGTATCGGTTCCCCGTAAAACATGCCCTTGTTTTCGAACCCGCCCAAGGACATCGACTTGCGGGTATTTCGATACACAGGCTTTTGTTGCCATCCGTAGATCTCGTTCTCATGCGCCCGCAAATCGGGACGTGTTAGCGTCATGCGCAGTGTCATCTCGCGAGAGTTTGCGGGCGCCTGAGCATATCCTCCAGCTCCCTCCGCAAACACGCCGCATGAGTCCCTTAGAAATGTTGGATCACTCGACGTAGCGCGTTGAGGATGGGGTCTGCTTTCAAATGCATGGGGTGTCTTGGGCGACTCAGGATCCGCAAGCGATGGTTGATCGCTGTTGAGAGAAACATGCTCGTCGTCGTCATCAGCCAAGAAAGTACCTATGGCCCAGGCATCTTCTCCTTTTTGCGTCGATTGGACCTTCCTTCGAACATGACCGAGGGGCGTTTCCATAAACTCGGTACGGACTATAGGCCCTGCACCATGCGCGTCCATGGACGGGAAGCCAAACTCGATAGCCTCGTCGAACTTTTGAGGAGAGGCCAGATAAACGCGTAATTTCAGTCGAGCTTCAGGGTCTTGGTAATGGGCTGCAGCTGGGTCGAAGACCGATTCATGTGGGCTTTGCTTTGGTGTGATGAGCGATAGAGTGCGCGACTTCCGGGTTGTATGTCCTTCTGAGTTAGCAACACTGCCTGCCGAGGTAGGTGCTGGCGACCCAGTTACCACGGCGTTATGGCTTCCTGGTCTGCTTGTCGGGGTAGGCATGGAAGATAGGCCGAATGGAAGCTTGGATACAGACATTTGCCTGCGGAAAGACGGTCGCGCTTGTTTTGGGGATGGAAGGCTGTCCCTCAGGTTGGCATGGTAGTCGTCTAGGAAAAGACGCAAGTCCAGATCGTCTTCTTCCTCCAGCCATCGAAAGCTATCATAAAACGATTGAGGAAGTTCTTCGCTGGTGGGTTGCTCAACACGGCTTTGAACGCCGTCTCTGGGCTCCGAAGTAGTTTGCTGAGATGAATGTGACGACGTGAGGCCCTCCCTATTCACAGTCGGGTGACCACTGGTCCTCCTGTTCATCTTGTAAATAGCCTCGTCTGCTGCATCCAGAATGACGCTGGCGCGGAGACGCCTTGCAAGAGCAACCTGCTCTTCCCGTGTTAACTCTTGTTGACGCATGTTTTCGATAGATTCCTGTGGTATTTCGAGAACAGGAGATGGCAGGCTTGATTCTCCTCCTAATGGTCCCCGCCCGTTACGGCTGACAATCTGCTCCGAGCGGCTTTGTTGTTTATGACCCTTTTGCCGTTTGTAGTTGGATATGTCGTCGTAGTGTCGTGTGATACCGTCGATGAGGTAAGACTCGCGAGCAAAGCGCAGCCTTTCGAGTGTTGAGAAGTACTGTTAAGGTCTTTGTTTTAGCGAGGGCTTCAAGAAACAAGAGCAGGTTCGAGAAACCAAATCATAAGGAAAGTTGATCAAGCCGTCTAATATAACGTGTAGGGATCACCGGCATATGACGGGCAGTTTTGGGAGCTTGAGCGGGAGGGACACGACGAAGCCGGCCAGGTTGCATGGGCAATGGCAAGGGGTCCCTGAGCAGCTTTGGCCAGCAGGCGTTGGACCTGCATGCTTGAGAGCCAAATGAAGCTGCAAGTGCGCGGAAGTGAGTTGGAATATGATCCCTGTCCAGGTACAAGACGCCCCGTGTTCACTGAACGATACGAGACGCTGCACCACCTTCTCTGTCGAACATTGCTCAATCCCGGCAAGCATTGCTTTGAGGTCAAGCTGCCAAAGAGAATATCCTATGGAGCCGACGCTTGCGCTGTTCGCTTCAGTAGCCGGAGAAAGACCGAAAGAGTATGCGATCTGGGAAAGTACCGCCGTCGTTGAAAGCAGTCTTGTTGGCCAAATGAAAGCCAACCGAGATTTGCCCTTGTTGACAGGCACTTGCTCATCAACCAATGCGGCATGAGAAGCCCCAAAGAAGCAAAATCTCAGGTGCTTACTGAGGCGCGAGAAGCGCTCATAGAAGAGCTGGACCAGGCCATCCAGGCCCGGTAATATCAACTATTGGCGGGGACGGTCATGCCATCGGTCTGCCAATTCTGCCAATCTCTGGGGTAGCTCAGATGGCTTCAACGCCTCGAGGCGCTAGCTCCCCACCTTTTCAGGGCCGCCGTCCTGCCGTGTTCCCCAATCACTAACGGGGCGGCTGTGATGCTTTGATGGTGGTGCACGCGGGTGGGTGTCATTGCCAGACAGAAGCAAAGGCGAGGGGGCTTCCAATTGGACATGCCTTGTATGAAATATGCAGGATCTAGCACTTGCTGCAGGAACCAATAGCGGGAGGGGGCAGGCGAGAGAGGGGTGATGCCCAGAGAAAAAAAAACAATGAAACTGGGAAAGGACTTGGCTCAAAACGCATTGAACATCAAGTCTCCATGCCAGCATCAGATATAGAGTTTGAGGATTTTTTTTCTCAGTGAAAGTTTCGGGTACGCACCTTGCGCTGTATTGCCAATGGTAGAGCCTCAAACTCTTCCCGGGTCATCTGTGGAACCGCATTGGCCTGATTTTGTCGTGTCCCAATGCTGCTAGATCTGGAATGGGTAAATCGCTTGTGTATCGTCGGCTTGGTGTCCGTGAAACTCTGTCCCGGATACTCGAACGGCTGCTGCGGCTTGCCGTTATGGTCCATATGCTGATGATGGTGTCGTTTTGACCACAGAGAGAAGAAGGGACTGGGAAGCCGGGCCAACTGCTCGCTGTGAGCCGAGTGCGGCCGGCGCAGCCGCCGTTGAGCGATAGTTTTGGTAGTATAGTTAGGCCGGGCAGAGGGTTCCGAGGGCCCAGCTCCATCACCCGAAGCCACAGCCGTAGGACCAGGCATTATGGCACCGTGTTCGATGCTCGAGATGCCGCTGCCGGAATTATCGAAATAATGGTGATATGTGCAAGGTTCGGAGGCGAGACTTGTTGTCGAAGCTGAGGGAGACAAGTAGAATGAGCGGTAGACAGGACTCCTTGGAAGATCGACGCCAAGGTGAAATGGACCGAACTCGTCTAGGCCCAGGTTGGGTAGATGGCGCTCGCTACTGCCGCTATGAGGATATGAATAGTCGTCGAGGAAAGTGCCGATGTTGGTGTTTTGATCTTGCTTTGTATTGGGGAGAAACCTGAAGGGAAGGTGGAAGGCAAAATCTCGCGGGCTCCTGCTGTCTATCGACAAAGGTGTCTGAGGAACGTACGCCCATGGTTCAACAAGGGGCTCATCGTCTAGCTGTTCTAGGCGCTGGCGAGCATGATGATCTGGCGGAGTCGGTGTCGCTGCCCCAGCGAACGGGGTCGGATCCCCTGGCGGACACCGTGCCGGACCATCCTCTGGCTCCAGGAGAGACAGGGGCATGAAGAAGCTGCGGTCGACAGACATGTCATCGAGGTCCAGCAGGGCGTCAAGGGCACCAATGCCATTCGCAGGCACGTGTAGCACATCTTGCTGGCCATCTGGCACCACGAAGGCGGCCGCGGAAATAGCGCCCTGAGACTCCCGCCCAACTGCAAGGCTGCCCATCTCGCTACCTCGCTACCACCCAGCCAGCTTAATCACGTCGCGAGCGTAGTAACCACGGCCAATTGAGCCTGAACAGCGTAAGACCGAGGCTGTGATTTAATGTGATGGGTATCCTGACGGCGGCACCGGATGAGACGTTGAAATGTTCCCTAACTCTTCTTCTCCACGTCCGTCGTTATTCCTCCTGCAGGGTCCAGGTCCCTTTTTTCAGACCTTTTTAGCTCTCCCACAGCTCTCCTAGCTCTCCTAGCCCTCCTAGCCCTCCTAGCCCTCCTAGCTTCTGTGTGGGCTGCTCCCAGTTTTAGGATCAAGGTGGGCTGCCAGGCCAAGAGGAAGCGAAACCGCAAACGGCAATCTCAGAATAGAAGAGGCTAGACAAGCAGAAGCCTCGAGATGAACTGGCTCGTCGTCAATCTTCTGGGTCGGCCGATGACACTGTCGGCTTGTCCCCGGATCAGATAGCGCAGATGGACTCCGCACTCCGCAAAAATAATAAAAAGAAGATACGAAAACAGCACACTTCAGCGAGCCCAGATACGGGGAGACAGGCAGGTTACTCGTCACTGCGATCAGTCCAATTTGCTGGACTGGGCTTTCTAACCGATGTTTCCGCTGATGTGTCGGTTCTGTCCGCTCAATGAAAGATGCTGTCGTCGTTGATCGTTGAAGACGGCGGCGAAAATGATGACAGTTGATGTTTCCTGAATAGGTTGAAAGGAGAATCGGCGCCTCGATACGTGGTCCAGTGCTTGGAGACCGCTGAGTTGCTGCTTCACTTGTGACAGAGGCGGGTAAAGTCTCTCTGGCGCCGCAGTGGATGGCGGATGGCGGACGTGATGGCGGCGGATGCGGGCGCTGTGTGCATTCAGTGGTGGGAGCAGTGGCCAGGTAGATCGCTTCAGGTTGTGGAGGACTGGCGATAGTGGAGAAAATGGGGAGGGGATCGCTTCAGGCTTCTGCTCGTAATTTGTTAATGGAGCAATACCTCTATCGCATCCAATGATCCAAACCGCCACGGTATTATCCGTCCACAGGCCGATATGTGATGGATGTGATGAAGAGAGGCAGTTGCCGTCGATGATCGTTTCCTCTTCAAGGGTCTTGTCGTTATTGATCTGGAGTCGGGTTCTGGTCGAGGTCCCAGTCGTTCGCTTTACTCGGGTGCAGCTGACTTTGGATGGCCCAGGGAGAGCGCGACAGCGATAGTAGTGGGTCTAGGATGATTGCGTGGACTCGGAGGACGAAGAGAAATGGAAAGAAAGAAAGAAAGAACACTTTGAGATTATTCTGCGATGAGAGATGAGCTCGTCCTGAATCCACCCTTCCTCTTTTGTCTAGGACTCCTCGTTTCCAAACTCTCGGGTTCAAGTTCGAAACAGGTGGGCGGATGTCACCCAAGGGGGTCCTCTGAGAGTCTGAGGGTCTCAAACGTAAATATCATGCGGTGATTCGGTGCCAGTGTTCGGGACCAAGCAATCAACAGAAATGGCGTGTTTGGAAGGAGCTCGTCGACGACTCCAAGTTGAGCTCAGCTCGAGGAAGACACGTAGGGTTAGGTATGCGGCGTGGGCTGCAGTGTATCAAATGCTGAATGAGAAATGAAGGAATGATTTGACGTGGGCGACAATTTTTAGAGAGGGAAAGAAGTTTGGACAATCCAACACAGATTTCGTCTTCGACTCCTGTCTCTTCCTTCAACCCAAGCTTCGCACCTCAGTTCGCTCTTACAAGCTGCAAGACAGGCTGTGCCAGCAGATGCCATGGACTTTAGCAACATCCAGGTCGTCAATGCGCCTTCTCCTCACCGTCCTCACCGTCTTCGCGCCTGACGTACGGTTTGGATCAACATGACGGTGACGCCCCAAAGTTTGTCCCTGAAACATTCTTACTTCTTCCACTTCAATTGACTAATGAAAGACGCCAGTGGAAAGACACGGTTAAACCCGCTCATCACAAGACGCAGACACTGTGGTCTCTGCTGTCCCTTCTCTCAAGCGGCCGCTCGCGATTCCAGAAACCAGCAATTGCCCGGGTCCTTCCTCCCTTTCCCCAGACCACAGAGAAGAGCATCTAACGAGTTGACGCCGTCGCTGTTTGACATCCCGTCTCATTCCGTTCCCGTTCGGTGGTTCCCGCAATCGGGTCTCGCATTTTGCCCTAGCGTGCGATCTCGGGTGCCGCTGACAGATCGGGGTCTGCAAAATAAGGGTTCAGCAAACCAAGAGGGCAAATCCAGGCTTCTCGGGCGCTGTCGTGTTTATCTCAAACAGATCGCTTGGGGGTGGCTGCAGCTGTTGTGACTTCCCTTCCCCTGGTTTTGTTCTCGCCATTTCCGCTGGTCGGTGCACAGATCAGGGTCCCTGGTAACCACCGCGAAGCGAGCCTTTCAGGAGTCAAGGCAGGACTTGACGAGCCGAATCAATAACACCGTACGCAACAAATCAACACACAATGACGGTCCAGCACGGAACCACAGAACCAAGAGCAACAACACGTGGATTCTGATAGGGACGGAGAATAGTGACACGGCAGGCGGGTGGTCAAGAACGGCAACCGCATCGTCGGGTTACCCAGGCCTAACGTGTTCGACCTTTGTTGTCATTCAGTATGGCCTATCGACATTCCTTTTTTCATGTGAACCATGGGACGAGACCAGCGGCGCCAGTAGCCTAGGTCTGGCGACTTTAGGCTGAGATGTATAAGGCACGTCCGTTTCAACTCTCAGCGCTATTTCCCGTCATTGGTTTCCGAATGATTATCGCCGTTGCATTGCCGCCTTCAGAGATCCGGTACATCGCCTTCGAGAACTGAAGCACCATATCGGATACACTGGCTTGTCCATATCCCGGGCCCTTGCAGACTCGGCTGGCGGCCATAACAAGTTACACAAAGCCCGTGGGAGCATTCTCTTATTGAAGAGAGCGGCGAACTTCGGCTTCAAGGTCGCACCCATGCATCATTCGGAGGTCGATCAAGCAGCAATCCATGGTTCGGTTGTACCAAACGGTTCAGTCATCATCAATCACCCATGCAATTGAGGGCCCCTGTTGACATGTTGACAATGTCAAGAATGTGGATGATGTTTAGCTCTAATCTCTATATCGGACACACACAGATCAGCTCTCACGTCTTACGGAAACCGGATCAAGGCTTGCTTAACGGCGTGGTCCAGAGCACGGAACACAGCACAACAAACACAACAAGAGAGAGAGAGAGAGAGACAAGAAGGGATCATCCATCAGTCACCATTCCCTCTCTTTCCCATCTGATACCTCCATCGATGTTCAGACCATGCAAACCCGATTGTCAGCATTGCCAACAAGATGGAGTTTGCATAATGTTCATACCTGCTTCGAATCACTGGCAGTCTCACTGCCTGGCTGATGGGAGAAGTCATGCGAGCGGCTCCTTTCGTAAACGCCGGTCCTCGCAAAGACTTACCAGAACCCTCCTTTTTTTGCGCCAACAGACCGCCAAAGTTCTTGCTTCCAGATGGCTTGGGACATGCTGTCTCTCGAACAGGGTTTACAAAACCCTTGTTTGCTGAGGTAATCGAAACGGGAGCATTGTCATGATAACACATCGTCGACGAAATATCTTGTCACTTCCGTCGAAAGACAGGAGAGGGCACAGTGACAGAGCTGTCGGATCATTCTGTTGTTGGAGTACGACCAGAAAAACTGTTCCGACGTCAGTTCCGTAGATGAACATCAGCACATGCCTCGCCTCTTTGACTTCTGCCAGGGCCTGTATCAAGAAACGACCGAATCTTGAGGAACAACAGCATGCATACCTTCCCACTGGCGTGGTCCACGTCTGATTGACCAACTTTTGGGAAATCAGAACGCCGAGGCAGAATCATCTCCTTGTTTGCTACTTGTCAGGGATACAAAATCTCCGCAGACTAGCGGTGGTAGGCAGTCTGAACGACTGTATTGCGGGTTGAACACACAAACATTGAACTGCATCATCGTCGAGCAATCACATTTCACAACAGCTTGAAAGAGACTCGGCCGAAAGCCGATGGTTCCAGATCACAAATCGATCCACTTACCCCGAAATACCGAGGGGAGCAGTTCAAGCAAAAGCGTTGCTTGACGCACTGACACTTTTGGCTTTTACACACCTCGTTTTTACTCCATGCACCGCCTTCCAACACATTCAAGACTGTAAACACATCAACGCCAGTGCCGTGTGATCTTCCAGATCCATTTCAGAGCACTTATTGCTTCATAGTACGACTTCAAAACTTTTTCCAGAGCAATGCGCCCTTGAAAAGGCGTCCAAAACTTATAGTGTCCGACTGGGCTTCGGCAACTTCGCAAATTTACCAGTTTTGCAAGCATGATCCGTCGATGGTGCATAAGAAATAGCTCCAAAGGCTACTCCCAATGAAAGTAACCTATCGATTGGCTTTTGGCACCATGTTTCCAGAATTTCGACATCGCGAACATTAGTATACCTTTCGGAGGCCGGTGCTTGGAGTCAAACCGAGGTGCGCGAAGACAAAAGGGGTGGTGCAAGAAATGCTGCCCTCAACAAAAGATGAAAACGCTTACTGACATAACCCCCATAAAAGAGCGACCGGTCATTGTGCAAGCATGAACAAGGCGCATTTTGTTTCTGTTTCAGAAGCAATAGGCTGCAGGCTGGGGATGGGGGGTCATGGCAAACAACCTCAAATGCTTGAGCTGGAATCGAACACCACGCGGCATTAGACCAACGGGCGGGCCTCTTGAGCCGCCGAGTCTAAAACGACAACAGCTTTACCTTGTCAGACAACACCACACCTCAGTTCTTGTCAGAACACCTTACAGCACAGTATGCGCTACTATTTCGCTATCAAGGATTTCTTATCGAATTGCAAAGCCGCATTCTACTAGCACATATTGTCTAGTTGTGGTGCTTGCCGAGAATGCACAATATCCTCCAGCCACTATTCCAAAAATCGACGAATTCCTCCCTTGCCTTCATCAAGCTTCGATGACAAGGCATACCCTCCATCGCTTAGAACTCTCATCGATAACCCACGATGGACTGTGTCACCTGCAAGTTAGAATCTTCCCAACATGGCAAGAAAGATCCGGCAACCTGATTACGCTATCAATAAACCTCCGTGACCGTGGCAGTTAGAAGCCAAAAACTCCAATCCCTTACGCCATATGCCCCCCCCCCCCCCCCCCCCCCCTTGAACTATGACCAGTCAAATCGCCCATTCCATATTGAGGGCGTGGTTACCCCTCCCGAGACTCCCGGCAGCATGTCTACTCTACCGGGTCATAGTACTCATAGACCTTGTTGGCTTTGTCCCGGCTCGTGACAGCGGGAGCCATGAAGGTTGACACGCCCGTCTTGCGGTCGTAGTTCTGATGGGAGCACGCCAGCCGCTTCCCTCCTCCACCAGGAAGGTCAACGACAAAGGAGGGGGTCATGAAACCTGCAATTGACCCGCGGATTTTGGCCTCTAGGTCCAAGATGGTTTGGAGGGGCGTGCGAAGATGCTCCACCCTCTCAACCATATCGCACTGATAAACGTAGTACTGACTTTGACGTTAGAATCCGGCAGACAGACACTCGCACAACGTTGGTTAAAGGGATGACTTACCGGAGTGATGTTGTTGTCAGCAAGCTGGCGGATGAGGGTTGACATGGTCTCGTAGTCATCGTTGACGCCGCGAAGCAAGACGGTCTGGTTACGGACCATGACACCATTCTCAAAGAGCTTCTGGGTGGCATCGGAGCTGACCCACGAAATTTCGTTGGGATTGTTGAAGTGGGTGTGTAGCGCCATCGACTTTCCGGCCTTCTTGGCCTTGTTGGAGATGTCAATGAGGGCATTCACCCAGCCATCTGACTCGTCCAGAATCCGGGTCGGCGCTACAGCTAGTCCTTTGGAAGCAAACCGGAACCGCTTGATGTTGGGCATGCTAATCAAGCGCTCGCCGATGAGGGTCAGCTGCTCCGGCTGAAGGTAGTACGCGTCACCGCCAGACACCACAATATCTTGAAGTTCCGGTCGGCTCTCGATGTAGGCAAAAGCCTCTTCCCAGCGTCGGCGGGTCGGCTTCAGAGATGCCTTTGTTACGGTGTCGGTGTCGGCTCCAACCGCGTAAGAGCGGGTGCAGAACATGCAGTATGTGGGACAAACCGAAGTTGCTGTCAAAGTTCGCTATCAGAATGGGCGTTATTTGGCGGGGGCGGCACCAAACACGGGAAGACCTACGCAGAAATAGGGCTTTGTCTGTGTACCGATGGACTAGACCCTTGACGGGCGAGTCGGCAGTCTCGTGGAGGGAGTCGAGCGTGAGCTTTGGGTGATCGGGAAGCATGATTGACTTCATTGGCAAGAACTGCCGGACAATGGGGTCGTGGCGAGGATCTTGCCAGTTGACGCGGCTCAGGATGTATGGTCTGTCCCACGTGTGGTTAGCTTGATGCAAAAGAAGAAATTCCCGATATGCAAGGGCTGAATGGAGCTCACGTCATCCGGATTGCCATAGTCGCAGCAGTCACACCATCGAGAACGTCCTTGATAAATTTGTCACGGGACTGCATCTGCATGCCTAGCTTGTCCAGAGGCACCTCCTCTGGGACTACGGCTTGCAAGAACTTGAAGAGCTTGGCTGTGCCCTGTACGGTGTTGGCGATCTGTTAGTTTGTGAGAGTTAGCAGGAGGGCATCTCCGACCGATGAATGCAAGGAAGACTCGTGGGCAGCTGGCTTATGCAGCTGGGACAGTGTACATCACATGTTACTTACACTCCAGCGATATGAAAGGAAGTCCTTGGCTGTTACATGTGCCCAAACAGGCACCTTGCGCCAAAACTCATCACGATCCCTCTGGATTTGAAAGGTGACAGGAGTTGCGAGAATGTTCTCGAGTCTGACGGCACCTGGGGTAACTAGCGGCGGGGTGTCGATCGTCGATCCGACAGCAGACGGCTCCGTCTGGGGTTTGGGGTTACCGACGAAGGCCGGGAGAGGGCGGCCAGCCGTGTCGATGCCCTTGCTGATATCGGCTACCTGGGCTTGAAGACGTGGAGAGGAGCCGGTCATTCGCGATAAGACGGGCGTCGGCCGAAATGCTGGGCCACGAACAACCCGGTTGGGTCGGACGATTCTGGAAAGCATTGTGATTCTGGATATGATTGAAAAACCGAGGACGTGAGGGTTGCGGTGAGCGCTGCTTGGTTGAAAACACCAAGTAGAAGTGGTCCTTGTGTTGAGGAACCGCTACTGAAGAGTTGAGATTGGATTGCTGGAGGCGGTGGACACTCTGCTTTTTATGTTCGAGTAAAAATGAAGAGGAGGGTCACGAGGTGCAGATTCCTTCTGAATTTAAGATTTTCAAGGTTATCTTCGGAATTCCTCTTCGAACCTGAGGAAGTGAATGGGCCCGGGGGGGGGGGAGCAATGGTTGATGATCCCGTCTCCTATTCACCCTCGAACAGCCACTTTCAGTCACTTACCACGGGGTTGGCCGTCTCATCCACACACCCAAGTTTGTAGCTGATACAGACAGAGCCCTGTCACCTCAAGGAAAAGTCAGGGTTGAGACGAGCAGATTGGAATTTGTTCCACTCCCAGGGTGTACTGAGAACTTCCTGGCTCAAGTCTACCAACTGAATCTTTGACGCTCTGGGTTGGGACTCTTTACATGCGTCTCAAGACCAACCTTCCAGCCAGCTAAAAGCAGGGGAGTCTTGCGGTATCAAGGATATCCTGCTGGTTTTCAGGTTCTGAGACTCGAAGAGGTTGTTGACTCCGTGCGAGATTCGAGGAGGACCGACAATCCTTTTTGCTTCTGCAACAAAGATCAAGAATCTGGAAGAATCTGCGAATTAGCCTCCATCCGTCCTGGAACGCGCCCGAAGTGCCGGTAACCTGTCGCTCGCTCACATTTGATGTTTGCCGATAGTCCGGGGGTACTTTGTACTTTGACGGGGAAATCCGGTAGGCAGTTATACAATCAAACTTGATAACTTGACGCACAGGAAATAAGTCTCATGGTCCAAAAATTCCATAAGATTACCATTATCGCCATCTTATCCCATCATCTCGGAGGCTGCCGTCGGTCAGAACGGAATCAAACTCACTGGAGAGACTGTCAAAGACTGCCCACGAAACTCGGATTTTGGAGTCCAGTCACAGATTAGTATGTTGACTGAACTTCTTTGTAATTTCGTTCCTTCCAACTTCCTTTTCATTTCAGTGGTCAGTGGGGCTATAATGCAGGCACGGGGTATTCTTACCTGTTTTCTGTGCTGCGCACTGCCTCTTGTTAATGTAGTCTTTCCAGAAATAACGCCGACTATCGTGCAAGATGTTCTTCCTCAAAAGCGCTTTACGGTCCTGTGTTCATCGGGTGCCTGACACTCCGTCGTCTTTAGCTCGGTTCGTTGCAAAGAGTTTAGAAGACAACACTCAACAAACAAGCACACACAACACGAAGTGAGCCATCTTCATCTCATCAAACGTGGACATCCTGTGAGTCATCTTTATACCTCCACAGGAATGTCGGGCTCCGACTGGTCCTCCAAGAAGGGTGCAACCTCTGAGGTTTACGCCCGAGACGATTTCGATCCAGAGTGAGTAAGATTTCGGCGCCGAATCTGTTGTGATCCCACATGTTTCTGAAGAAATGTCGATTCAAAATGTGATATCTGACCACGATCTCGGAAACTCGATTCAGACTACAGACCTCGGATATCTTGGCTCCCCGCGGCGCAGCACCAACGATCTCGAAGGAACAACCAGGTTCCTGGATTCCGAGCACCCCAGGTGGAAGCACCCTTGCAGGCGAAGCGAACGAGGAAAAAGCCATCACCAACCTCGACCATGGCTGGAGACCCTGGAAAGTAGTGATCGGGTGTTTCTGCCTGATCCTTCCCACCTACGGGCTGCTCAGCAGCATCGGGCTGTTCCAGACGGAGTGGGAACAAAATCAACTTCGAGGGTACTCCAAGAGCAAAATTTCCTGGATCATCTCCATTTTCGGATTTTTTGACTGTTTCTTCGCCGCACCATGCGGGATCCTTTACGACCAATTCGGACCGCGTATACTCTTATTTGTGGGCAGCACGATCTATGTTGCCTCTTTCGTCGGTCTGGCCTTTTCGACCACGTATAGCCAGTTCATGGCTTGCTTCGTAGTCGCTGGAATATCAGCCGGTATGTACTCTTCTTCTACAAAAATTGGGGGTCACCCCCTTCTTCCTCATCATGTCAGCTAACGTACACCCGTTTGTCAGCTGCCCCTACCACGGTAGGATTCACTGTCGTAAGCCAGTGGTTCAAGGTACGAGAAGGTCTTGCCACGGGATGTGTCACAGTAGGCTCTGCGATTGGGGGCATCTTCTTCTCACTAGTCTTCCAAGAGCTCTTCAACAGATATGAGTGGAGGACGGGCGTCCTCATTCTCGCCGGCATTATAATGGCCTTCATGACTGTTGGGAACTTGCTTGTGGAGAGAAATGAATCACAACAAACAGGCGCAGAGGCCGACAGTGATTGGGACTTTTCAGCGTTCAGGGAGATGAGCAAGTCCCCGAAATTCTGGCTAATTTGCGTTAGCATGTTCGGTATGTCCCCCCCGTCTACTACCTGGTAGACACTCTGACCAACACCAGCTTGGTGTTTCTCTCTTCTCTCTTACCGAGAGCCATACCATAGCTAACGAAACAATCACCATTGTTGCGTAGCATATGAAATGGTTTTGTTCAGCCAGTGGGGATCGATTCCCTCATACGCCGTCTCCACCAATTTTGGCGATAAACAGTTCTACCTGATGATGACTTACAACTTGTAAGTGCTGCAATCCGATTGGTCGAAATTTTCCTGGTCGTGAATAATTGGAAAAGTACTGTGGCTAACCTAAAAACGGCTTCTTCACCCGAACGAACAGCGGTGCTATTATTGGGAGAACGATACCTCCATGGTTATCCGATCGGAAGCTAGGCCCAGTAAACACTATCATCATCATGAACATCTTTACGATGCTCGTGGTATTGGTCGTTTGGTTGCCCTTTGGGGCAAAGGCAGTGCCGGCCTTGTTTGTCGTGACTGTGTTGATGGGAGTTGGCACTGGAAGCTTTGTGCCTCTTGGCGGTAAGTCCAGCCCAGTCCAGCCCAGTCAAGTCACCATCTTTTCCTCCTGTTCCGTTTATACAATGAAACGGGGGTATCTTGCTTATCTAAGCACGGGTTTGTCTGCGATGCAAAGTACTTTGGATTTCACATGGCTGACAGACACTCCTCTCTGTCTCTTTTACAGTGCAATGCGTCAGGGGTCTGTGTTCCTCCAGGACAATTGGCACCTGGCTTGGTTTCGTATACATGTTTTCCAGCTTTGCAACACTAGTGGGAAACCCCGCCCCAGAGGCCATACTCTCGAAACACGGCTCCAGGGCCCTCGTGGCATTCCTTGCAGGAGTGTTGGTCCTCGGTCTTGCCTGCATGTTTAGCCTGAAGTTCGTGATTCAAGGAGGCAAGAGGATCTTGATACGAAAGATCTGAAGAACGGCAACTGTAATATCTCATATGTGATTTGTCGACAGTGTCGATCATTCCTTCTTTCTTTCTTTTCTCTCCCTCGCTTGAAGGAGAGGCGAGGAGAGAAGGGGGAGATGATAACCTTGGCGGCTAGTTTTGTGATTCATGTTTGGTGGGGGCAAACGATTAGATGCTGCGTATACTGACTGAGTGACGGATGTCCGCGTGACTTGGGACACTTCACTTCTTGGAGTCTGGTGTCAAGGTTGATGTTGCTTCACTTAGCTTGCTTGCATAACCCATAAACATGAATAGAGAACATTGTCTATCTGTCTGTCGTATCTGGTTCTCGGTACTCGAGAATCGGTCAGTGATCAATAGTCACCAGCCACCATTCAGCTTGACAAGTCACCTTGATCACTCGTCGTAATGAAGCTGAACTCACGTAGAGCTGTAGTTGCGTGGAACTGTAAGAGCTGTAAGAGATAGTGTCGAACACACTGTACCGGTACTTGGGAGATCACTCCGACCAATGTCAACATCATCAGTAGATACCACCTATCCCCATATTCTGGTTGGCGGCTGGCGGGTCGAATGAGGATGGTTTATGGCTTGTGGCTTCCATGTTTGGCTTACCCCAGAGCCTTGTGCTTTGTGCTTGGTCTAAATAAGCATGCATGGAGTGAGCAATGAGTGTGACAGAGATATCCTCGCGGCGCTTCGCCATTATTGCCGGCCCGGGTAGGCGGTTCATTCGGCTCATTCAGCTTGGTGGATTAGACAGCTTGGGGGGTCTTAAAGGGGTGGTATCCCGAGAATTTACACGGGGAACAGTGCGATATGACTTTGTTGAGGTCCGAAGCCTGGAGCATCTGGGAGATGGCGGCTTTGCTTCCGCATTCGCAACTCCAGGTCATACTTGGGGTAAAGTCGTCCATGATAGTATTTGGGAGATGTCTATCCAAATTCAGATTTTTACGTTCATTCTCGATTCGGTTGCCTCTCGCCTCGCCAGCACGTTTTTACCTACGCATTTGTTGCGCAATGGTAGGTACTACCTACCATCCCAGTAACAGTGTCGGGCAGCACGCACAGTGAATTTGACATATCACTTCCTTCACGTGGTGATCCTTGCTTCGACCTGCCCGACATTTTCTGAAATTTGTGATGAGTATGGTGGTATTTTTTTTCATGATCTTGATCTTGATCTCGTCGTGTTCCTTCCTTGATATGGTAGTATTCTCCGCTTTTGCGGCCTGTGACAGCCTTTTCTTCTTCTTTCTGTTCTTCTTCGTCATGAATCGTGAGTGGGTGATCTCCGATAGGTAGGTGGCCCAAGAGCCTGGTTATGCCATGCCATGAGGAGTTTGGAATAGCAGGTTTCCGATTCAATTTCGATCGATACCGATACCGATACAGCAGACCAACAACACTTGTTGGCGCTAGAATGTCTTCTAAAGAGAATTGTTGCTCCTTCGGGACCGGATCGATCGCACCAAATACACACTAAATAGCCAGGTGGGAAAAGGATGAAAAGCAATGAGAACGGAGCTTGGTTACAATACCTAGCATCTCGGCACCGGAATCATTCTTTGCCGGGCGCTGGCAACAAATCTGAGTGGATGAAATGTCCATCCGAAATGGAATTGATAGAAACTCGGAGAGGTCGAAACAGAAACCGGAAACCACTAGTAGGCTTGCCGACATGATGTTGTCGACTGGAGGGGGGGCGGGTGGTGTTGCCGTCTCCAGAATAGATAGCGAAATCATGAAGCCTCAAACGAAGAAAGACTGGGTTAGATCGCGCGAAGGTTAAAGTCGACTGCATCCAGATTTCCGTCTTGATATCGCCCGTGCCCGTGCCCCTCTCATCAAGCCGCTACGGCTTGTATGTATCAATATCCCTTTCTTGAAGTCCGCTTTGTGACACCTGAGGAAAAGAGGGTGTGTAGTGCAGTGTGATATACCGACGAATTATACGTGGTATCCCGTATTTCGCTTTTCATTAATGTCCAAGTTCGCAGTCGAATCGAATGGGGACTGGTATCGACCCTCCGTAAGTTCCGCCTCCTCCATGTAGTGTGAAGACCCCCGCGTTGATTGAGAGGATGGGAACGAGGCACACCCAATAATCGTCGCTCTCATTGTCGATGATGATGCGGATGGGAAAGCACAGTCAATCGCGTGGCCGGGATGGGAAATCATGTACTTTCGGAGGAGTTGGGGAGCAGGGGAGGTTGCTACGCTGCGCTGGGGGTTTGGAAGCTATTCCCATTGGGGACGCGGGATCTGGGCCGGGCGGGTGGTTGAGATGCACTGTATGTACCAAGTATTGATGTACTTAGCCTGGATGCGGACGTCGGGTACACCAATATAAGGAATTAGGGGTATATCGTGTAAGTGTATACATAAGGTATGTAGATATGCGAAAAGCACAACGAAGGGATGTTTGTTGTAAGACACCCTGAGGCCTGAGCCATTGATCAAAGAACCAAACCATAACGAAAATACCTACCTACATACTTGTCTTCAACTCGGCAACATGAAGTCAACGCCTATCAGCACGATCTACCTACACCCCCTCAAGCCCCTCTTCGGGTCCTGGCAGCAATGACAGCAATAACAGGCGCCAGCCGTCAAAGAGACATATGTATGATTACCGAACGGATCCTCCCACATCCCTCCCGTCCTCATTCAAAACAACAGAAAAGTGGTGGTAACACAATATCGATGGCTTTCCTGCTGTGTTACCATCACGGTAGTAAGTGTAGCGATGTCTTAAAACGTGTGATAGAGAGGAAACTATGGGGTAGAAAAGGCGGCGGCACATGGACGGCACGGAAGCCACTCCGCTTGGGTAGAATGTGAAATGTGTGATCTGTGATGATGCCTGAGCCTCGGCGTTGCAGTGTTGATAAGACACCTCTCAAGTTATCTTTGCGCAAGTTTTCCAAGATCTGGATATTAATATGGTTATCGATTTTTTGCGCGAGATAGAGGGAAAGGTGGAGGTGTCGGACGGTCTGGGTAAGGATATGGGTATCGACAACTCGGTCGCGAAAGAAGATCTGCTGGGCTTCAACGTTTGGTTTCTTTTGGGTGCAATGCCCGCACTCCCATTCAACTTCCTGTCTCAGGTCTGCTTGTTGATGGAGACTTTTCTTGCCAACATGGCCCCCACTGTTACCTTCATCTGTTCGGGTTTACCCGCTGTTTTTCGGGCATAGTATTCTTAAACCAGAATAGTCAAGAGATATCGCAACTTCATGATGGAGAGGTAGCGATAGCTCGGTGCCTTGGTGAATGGGCCTCCCCCAAATTCTTTACCCTTTCTTTCTTTCTTCCATTTTTTCTTTTCCCACGGCTTCACCGCTACGCAACCTCTGTGCTTCAGTGAAGATCATGGAGACGTTAAGCTCATGGTGTCTAAGGGTCCTCGTGAATACTGAATGAGATCACGAATGGCATGCGCAGAGTTGTCAGCTTGACATGGGAAATAACCCCCCCACGGTAAGTGAGCCATCACCACATCCCACCTCGTTGGTATCATCGCGTATTCGCATGGCATAACCGCCCGGGACCGGATGGTTCCGAGTCAAGATGTCCGGGACAAACCGAGGCGTCGTGTTGAGTCCTCGCTTGTGATACTGAACGTCGTGCCCGCGTATTAAGTCAAGTGTCCCATCGCAAGTGATGCTCTCTGTGGTGTTCCAGCACGACCACATTCGGGCGGGAAGTGGAAGGCTATACAAGCCCTGACGAGTAGCCTAAAGTCAACTCTTTCTCGAGAAGATTTGAGGTACGAGATTCGCAAACCTCTGAAGACATTATTCTATACCTGTTTCTCAATGGCGGCGTTGCCTTCATATCGCCCAGCCTTTCTATAACATCAGTTCGTCCAAGTACCGGTTTTCACACTCAAACACAGCATGCTGCAAAAAAGACAAAAACGTCAATAGACTCCAGGCGCCGCTTGTGGCCCCAATAATGCCTCAAAACGCCACAGACAAAGGGTTTACGCACCCCGTGTAAACCGTGACAAAAATACCCACCCCGTTGAGTCTCTTTCAGATGAAACATCAACATCTCCTTGGAAACCCTTAGGCATGTTACCGCCACACTCCCTCCGTGTAATCCAACATGGGGCTCGATCATACTGCCGCCCACGCGCAGCCACGGGCAAACATGATCCTTCGAAAACCGCCGCAAGAATTCTGAAACGGCCCTCGGTATGGGTGGCTTTCAGCTTTGCCCAACAGAGTTTCTTCTTGACCGGGCAAAGTACTGCAGTAGCCGACCACGTGCGTCGATATAAACCCCAGAGAGCTTTTGCCCCCGGGTTCGACCGGACTCTGCTGAACGAGTACTTCAAAATAGTTGAGGGACTCCATACCCTTTGTATTGAGATAATCTCGTTGCATCTTGCAAGTCGTTTATGCTTGCAGACATCTGAAGAAGAACTGGTCAGTAACAATCAAAACCTCCACTGTAGGAATGATACTGACCCGAGGAAGTCTCCATTGATGCTGCCGATGGCATACATCTCGCCCAACTCGGTTCTCAAGCCGCCAATCTTTACGCGCACGTGTGTACCGGGCTCGATAACCATATCGGCGTTGTTGGTGAATTGAGGAGGCGTCGCATTAGGATCGAAGTGAATTTCTTCGGGCATCAACTATAATCTTTGTGTCAGCAATAAAGCTCCTGTCTAAGGCACCGCATGGGCACAGTAGAAGAGAACGAGGGCTTCATCGTACGTGAGAGGAAACAAAGATGGAAAGCGGGCCAGCTTGGCAGAAGAAACCGTGAGGGTTGATCGAGAAGACAATGGCATCGACCTGTAGCCACGGTTTCTGTTAGAAAACCCGAACAGAGAGAACACGGAGAGTTCTGGCTATAGGTAACGAACCACTTCGCCCTTGAACGGCCTCCAAACCACAGCACGGTATTTGACAGTGAATTCGGCCAGGCCGTTTCCGGGGAGGATGCGACCCTCACTAACGTCGAACGCATCCATGATGGCGATGATGTAGTAATCACCGGCACATGTACCTTCCACGTCCTTGACCAACTTCGTCGTCACAAGCTCGTGCATGTTCCTGCCGAAATAGGATGGATGCAGGGTAACCCGGCGTTCGAGGTTATGGAGGAAGAACATTGTGACGGTTTGGTGCTATTGAATTCGGTGTGTCGTCGGTAGAAAATGGACGTCAATAATTCGAAGCCCTAGGGAGGGATTATGCGCCTCGGGACGCCTTCGCGCGGCTCTCGTGTCGAAGTGCGACGGCGGCGGCAGTGTTGTCGAGACGTGGGCAATTGGAGTCGCGTGTCGGGATGGGACGATGGTGGGGGCGAAATCGACAGCAAGGATGCTAGTGTATTGCTGCGGTAATGGTTAGGAGTTGTCGAATGGATACTCGCTTTCGTGGAAATAACTTGGTGATGGGAAGAGCAAGGCTGACGAAATGGATAAAGATTATGATGGAACAAAGGTTGGAGGTTCTGGAAGCGGTAGCCTCGAACACAGTGACCGCCGCGGACGCGGTTCGGGACTTCCATGCCTTGCCTGCCACCCGTCCCTTGACGTTTACCATTGTATGGCTCGTGCACGATCTGCAAGGAACAGCACTGACCACACGGAAGCGGTCTTAGCTGAGCTTGATTCCATCATATCACAGGCGCAAGATGCTTAGACGGTCAGTTTTTCTGTGCTACGGGTTTGTAATGAGTTAAACAGAAGAAGCGTCAAACATGTTCAACCCCCGGCGTTTTGGTTGCCTTTGTAGCTGGAAGGAAGCTTGATTAGAGAGGTATGTAGTGTGGCTCTTGCCGTTCTAGCATGTGACGGACGAAGAGAGACCTCAAGGATTGGTGAGGGCGAAGCTACCTTATGAATCGCACCCGCACAAACAACTTGGCGGTTCAAGCAGTGAAACAAGAACTTTGAAGTCATTGACTCACAAAAACACCCTAATTCTACACTCGCCATCTTCATCGGCTGTTGGCTTTCCTCTTCTTCAGAGTTGGCCTTGACCTCACCATCTGTAGGAACACTGACAGGTACGTCCCCCGCCTGTCAACACTCGATAGCGCTGTGGCCATCGAGTTGCGGGGGTGGGCCGGTATCTTAACTTGTTTTGTTATGGCGACTCCACATCCGAGGCATAGCTTTTAGCCCTCTGAGAATAAGAAGATGGCTACGTACCTATGCAACCTCAACGTGGAACACCAGACTCCGACATCACCAGATCCCGTTCTTTCCAGACTTTGGTCTTCATTAGTTGCACGCTCTGCTTCTAGAACACTGCGAATTCCGCTTGTTGCTCGTTCATATACATGTGGCATTGATTCATTCCCTCCGTTACTGGTCGCCATCGACTCATTTCGTCTTGACAATCCACTCACAATCTTCTGTCTCGGGTCTCACGGAACTGAGGGAGATCTCGCCATCCATTCACATATAAAACCTCAAGCCCTCTAAGACTGTCTACAGAACCAGCCTAATCATACTGGGCAATTCCGAGACATCAAACCCATCATGTCCCTCAACCTAGAAAAACAGCTCACCTTTGTAAGCTTTGTTACCTGAGATCCAAACCTCTACTTACATGCTCTTCTTCGGCCTGCTTGGGCAACCCTTGCTTGTCTCATTCACTTCACCTTGCTCTTCACCTTGTCTGAAAAACCGCAGATTGGAGCTTCCTGCTAACTTGTTCTCCCCGCCTGCAGTATGGTGCTTACCACTCTAATCATGTTAACGTGATCATCCACATGATATGTGTGCCTTTAATCCTCTTCTCGGCCTTTGAAATTGTATGAATCCTCGCCCCTAGCCTCCCTTCTCGCCGTCATTCATCCGTTCTCACACGCCAAACCTAGGCCTCCAACTATGGACCGTTCTTCACCCTCCCCTCCTTTCTTCAGGTCCCCTACCTTGAGCCAAACCTGGGCACCTTCGCGGCCCTGACATGGGGCGGACTCTACGTCCTCCTCGAGCCGGTCGCCGGCACCGCGTTGGCGTTCATCTGCCTCGCTTCGTGCGCCTTCACCAACTACCTCCGCATTGCCGACCCGGTCTCCACCACCAAGGTCGCCATTGTCGTCCACATCGTGAGCTGGCTGGCGCAGTTCCTCGGCCACGGCAAGTTCGAAGGCCGTGCCCCGGCTCTCCTGGACAACCTCTTTCAGGCCATCTTCCTCGCTCCTCTATTTGTGTGGCTCGAACTCTTGTTTATCCTTGGCTACCGCCCGGAGCTCAAGACGCGAGTGGATAAGGCTGTGGCGGTTGAGATCGCCAAGTTCCGAGAGAGCAGGAACGCGAAGAAGGCACAATAAGGGAAACCAGGCACCCTTCACCGTCCAGCTGGCAGATGAGGAGGATACCCCGATGTGAAGAGTTGGATTTTTGTTATGTTAAGGGACGGTTTTAGGGGCGAGGAGGTCAGGGGCGACTATCTACGATATGCATGAGCAGCTATAGTTCGAACTTGTTCGAGCTCGATGCCCCATGGGTTGACGAAATCGTGGGCAGTGTGCCTTGGCTGGATTTGAGATGGTCTGTATTTTCCTCACGGCCGTTTAGCGCAAGATTTGCTTGTTAACTGTATGAGACAATGGTTGAGATGCGGAATAGTTGCTCGAGGTGGTTTGCATCTGATTCAAGAGGGGAGTTTTGATAGTCGATGGACTTTACTGTACAATAGATATTAATGAGTCACCAAGAAGCTACAACAACATGACATGCCGACATGAACTGAGGAACTGACTGGACCACTGTAGATGCTCTACAGTCGTTCTTAGGGCATGGAGAGCGGAGATACCCCAACAACGAAGTTGCTAAGAGCAGACAATGGACGAAAGCAATGAAGATGAAGTAATGATAGTCGACGGCATGTCTGCACTATAAAGTATTATGGATTTCAGCTGAGAGCCATAGCGGATGCATTGGCATTGCTCCTTTGCCAGGCTGGTTTTTGTGTAATGTAAGCACTCCCGTCTATCTACCTCCCGCGGACTACCCCAAACTCAAGGGCCTAAAAGAGGTCGCATGGAAGTTGGATCGAACAAACCATCGGATTTACATTCACAAGTTACCTTGAAGAGCTGAGTTAGGAAAGCCGCAATTAGGCACAAATGTTCTTCCACGAAGCTCCCATAGTCCCATTAGAAGCGCACACGTAGTACTCAGGTCCCACCATGAATTGAGGGGTTACCTTCATCCTCAGTTGGCAAGTTGGGCTTCAAACGCTGTTTCCGCCATACATCTCTCTTCACAGCCTGTTTGGGCAGCCTGGCGAGTGAATGAATGATTGATTGAATGAATGATGAATTTTTCGACTACGTTCTACCAAAACTAGATAATAAGTCGTGCCCGCGAGAGAATGACAAGAAGAGGGGGAAGGGAGTGACAACCCAAGCCCCACACTCTCCTCCGTTGCCTGGTCAATTGATAAGATAAAGCCCCCCGCCTCCGCTCCACGAAATCGCTAACGATGCCGTCGCAGCTCTTTTTCACTTCCCAGACACTAAGTCACCACAACTGCCCCTCACGTTTCCTTCCAAAACAACAACATATCGCAAATCGCAAATCGCATTCACATTTTTCTTTTGCTTCCATATCAATTTGCTAGAGCTTCATAAGCTTCGCGCGACCACCAAACCAATCTCTACAGGCCACACAGCAAGATCATTGCATCAGACATTATGGATCCGTTCAACCTCCCCATTGAGTGGGCTCTCCAGCTTCTTACTGGTAAGTTTTGCGCCCGTCATGCCTTTGCTCCAACCTGTCGCACATCCCCAGGCTCCATCTTCACCAGCCCAAGATGCAAAACAGCCCAAAGTCCCACGTTGCGCTTCGTTAAGAGGAGCCTTTGCGCTCCCGTCCAACCTCATTATAACCCCGTCCCGCTCCGCGCGCGCACTGTTCTTCTTCTTCTCTCAAAGAGTCGAAAGCGCAAGCGCAAATAACCACAAAAGCCATCCCTTGCCACCTCTCGCTCCTACTTCTTTCACCAGTCCCGTCCGCTAACCACGACCCTTCCTCTTTACCACAGGCGTCCTCCCCGACCCTTATCTCTCCCTCGCCCGCCAGCACCTCCTCTCCCCGGACTCCACCCTCCAATCTTGCAAGCGCCACATAATGTCGACGATCGAAGCCTTCATCTCCACCTTGATTCCGATCCTGCAGCCTCTCGTCGAGCGGTTGACAGCTTACATCTACGCCTCTCCCGACGTGGTCATTCTCGCGGGCGTCTTGCTGCTGCTGGTCATGGTGCTGCAGGTGCTGAGCTGGATGCGGCGGGTGCTCATGTTCTTCACGAGGCTGGCGTTCACGCTGGTGTTCTGGGCGGGCATGGCGGCGGTTGCGAGCTGGGTGTACAGACGCGGCGTGGAGCAGAGCGCGAGCGATGCCATGTTCTGGGCGAGCAAAGCGAGCGGGTACGGATTGGGCATTTGGAACTTCTTCATGACGGAGTGGCAGAGGTATGAGGCGCAGGATAAGGCGAGGGGTCATGCCAAGTATGATCGCCCTTAAGCGCTTGAAGAGAGGATGAGAAATATGGTAGTGGGGAGAACGACAAAGGGGTGGCGGAGAGGAGGGTGTCATGATAGAGTGGAAGGGGGATGGGAAAGAGGAATAGGAGGCGATGGCGATACCTTGGATGATGACTATGACGACGACGACGGACGACCGAGAAAAAGGAGAGATGGAGGAGGAAAAGCAGGGTTGGATTTTTGGCTTTACGGACGAGATGACGACGATACGACGATAAAAGTTGGAGGGTGGCTGACTGTTGGAATATCGCATATGCCATGGCGTTACGGCGTTTCCTGTCAGGCAAAGTCCGAGAACTACGACCTCGAAGGTACATGGGATCAAGGGCATAAATGTTACAGGTGGTGATCTCGCGTTGGAAAACCGTTTCATGACCTTTTGGTAGTCAAGTGGGAAAGAACATATAGATCGTTATTGCTTTTCCTCCATTATCCCAATCATTCTCTGGTGAGCCAAGCTTGTATTTTCTTCCCGACGCCATCGCTATGCAGAATTCCTGTCCATTTTGCCCATGTGGTGATCATATATCCATATACTGCTCGGCTCCAGTCTGGATACTCTCTCCGTTCCAAGCATTCCTGATTGTCACTTTTTTCCAACTATTCCTCAGGCTCATCGAACTCTTCGTCCTTCAGCTCCCGTGGTTCTTGCGCTTCGTGGTACTGTATGCAGTCATCAATGTAGCTGAGGATCGACCCGACACTGTCCTCGTCGGTGCAATCCAGCTTGAGGTAGCTGACCATGGCGAAGCTTTCGAGCAGCTGCGCAACAGCTGTGTTGAGGCGCTTGAACGAGGCGCCAGACATCATAGCATTCTTGTCCTGGGGATCGGCGTACTGCTCATCCGGGATGTCCTCGCCGGCCTTTTTCCTGGCCAGGTCCGCCGGATCGTCAAGCAGCAACGAGGTATCCGGTGTAATGAACTTCTTGAGGTCCTTCTTCCTCACTTGATTCTTCACCAGGTCCATCTTGCTGAGGATGTTGATGTGTGGGACTTCCAGCATGATCATGGCACTCATCGCGCTCAAGGAACCCGCAAAGTATTTCGCACGATCGACGACAAAGGTGGCTTCGAGCAGGTATGCGGCGCACAATCGGATATCCAGGGCGCCGGGCGTTGTGAGGAACTTGACGAGGGTAGGAAGGATCGGAATGTGCGTGTAGAGTTCGATCTGTCCGGGCATGTCGAAGATAATGAGGTACTCCTCCGTCAGCGAGTCCAGCGCTTCAGTCAGGAAGTCGAGGTTCTCCATGAGGAACTCGAAGCAGTAGATCAGGCCGCCGTTGGGACCGAGCTTCATCTCGTCCATCACATCCTCCAGCGATATCAGGTCCTTGATGTCGAGATCGGGTGTGTGTTCGAACGATTCGGCGGCGGGATCGAGGTTCACGTAGAAGGCAGAGCGTCGGTTGAGTTGGAGATGTGTGATAAGCGATGCGCAAAAGGTGGACTGGTACACCGAGCCGTGTTAGAGATCCTGTGGAGAGTGCAGATGGGGAAATTGCCGTTGAGTAGAAGTTTAGCCTACCTTTCCCGCACCCGCGGGGCCCATCACCATCACGCCGTACTTGCTCATGGCTGCGATAATGCCCCGACGTCTAGGATGTTCGTATACGGATGGTGGAGAGTAGGAGGGGTTGCTTGTCAACTCTGAGCTGCAGCCCTACTGACGGGAAATGGATGTACGACGGTGATACCGGGGGGGTGATCTGGTGGAAGGATTGGATGTTCGGATGTTGAAATCTGGAACGGAGCTTTGTGGAATAGTCGTCGATGTCTCTTCGGGTTCGGGATGCTGTGTGCTGTGTGACAAGGAAAAGCCCGTCAATGGAAAATGATACGACTGGTGACGAAAAGGTTGCCTCGATGCTCGATCGCCAAACTTTCCACTTCTGATACGGATACTGATAGCGCTGCCGCCGCGCTGCAGGCACCGTTGCCACGGAACATGCCTGCCGGGTGAAGCGCGCCTCGACAATTTTTTGCGGCATCTGCCCCGCAGTGGGGTCACAGCATGTCAATGGCGTTAAATGCGGTGAGTTTGGGAGCTATGCGCGGGCAGGGCTGGCAGGGCAAGGCACCAAAAAGGCACCAGAGTCGTCGGACGAGAGGGCTGCGATGGCGCAATTTCTCCTTCTCCAAAAGAGCGGGTCCGATGTTGCATCCAGACTTCTGACAAAGGTACACGATACCCGGCCGGCTGAAGACAGCACGGGGTGCGCTACAAAATATTCGGGTCGGCCGACGTGTGTTCGGCCGCTGAGCCGTTGCGTGCCGCCGCAAAATGTTCAGATGCCTCACAATGGATGGAAAGAACCTCTACGGATTCGGGCATATCCAAACAGTCGGATCAAGCTCGTGATACCGGACATTTGTCTGTAGTGCACCTTGGGTTCAACCGCCAGCCTGAGAGCCCAACCCAAGATCATGATCCATCCTCCTCCTGCCCGCTCCCCGCTGTCACTTATCATGGCTAATTGCTAAATGATGCTAGTGCCTACACGTGAAAGTGTAAAATGGAGAGATGGTCCATCTTTCTTGCCGTGATCCCCGCGCATAATTCGCCATTGTAGGGAGCCCCGCCCAGCTCCTGCCTGTTTCTTCCTAGTAGCCCTGACACAATCTGTATTTTTGTACAACAATTCGGAGTTGAAGTTTCTCGTTACCCCGCCATCCCGTCTCTGGCGCCCGAGACCCGGCCTCCTTTCCATCAGGGTCCCGCGACTGGATGCAAAATTCCTCAAATACTCCCGCACCTCCCCCGTTCTCTTTCACATAAACTCCGCTCCTTCCTAGTCTTCAACCTCCTTCCTCCTCTTCTCTCTTCATTCCCTCTTGTAGGTTTTGCTTCCTCTGCCAATTGCTTCGTCGCAACCAGAAGGTGAGTCACTTTCAGTCAAGACGAACTCCAACAATCCTAACCCAAAGAGCCCTTTCCCCACGTGTCAAACTCGCGTCCTCTAAAAAAAAAAAAAAAAAGTTGAGGCATCTTCCACATACTGGACAAGGCAATTGCAGCTCCATTGTGCAGGCTACTTGGTCAAAACACCATCTGGTCTGAACGTGAAGTGTCGCGATTGTAGTCTTTACCACCTCTTTTCTCTCTGCCATCCGAACTTATTATACCATACATTACCCATTACCTTGCCCTCGGGAGACCAGTTGGTTGACCGTGTCCTCTTGCATCTCCTGCAGCCGCATCCACATATTGTCTATTTAACACCTTTCCTCTTCGAGGTACACTCGTTCAGCGCTTGTTTCTCTTTTTTTACGCGCACTTTGCTAACTCTTCCCAGAAACCACATCAGACACAATGGCCACCAACGGTGTTAACGGTGCGAAGCACTACAACGAGGGAACCTTCCTCTTCACCGTAAGTCTTTGCCGACACTCTGCATATGCCGATGACCGGGCCAATCGCTAACCCAGCCTCTTACAGTCCGAGTCCGTCGGTGAGGGTCATCCCGACAAGATCGCCGATCAGGTTTCCGATGCCATTCTCGATGCCTGCTTGGCTGAGGACCCCCTCTCCAAGGTCGCTTGCGAGACCGCCACCAAGACCGGTATGATCATGGTCTTCGGTGAGATCACCACCAAGGCCAAGCTCGACTACCAGAAGGTTGTCCGCAACACCATCAAGGACATCGGCTACGATGACTCCTCCAAGGGCTTCGACTACAAGACCTGCAACCTCCTCGTTGCCATTGAGGAGCAGTCTCCCGATATCGCTCAGGGTCTTCACCTTGACGACCGTCTCGAGAACCTCGGTGCCGGTGATCAGGGTATCATGTTCGGTTATGCCACTGACGAGACTCCCGAGCTCTTCCCCTTGACCCTCCTCTTCGCCCACAAGCTCAACGCTGCCATGTCCGCTGCCCGCCGCGATGGCTCCCTCCCTTGGCTCCGCCCCGACACCAAGACCCAGGTCACCATTGAGTACAAGCACGACAATGGCGCCGTTGTTCCCCTCCGCGTTGACACCGTCGTCATCTCCGCTCAGCACGCTCCCGAGATCACCACCGAGGAGCTCCGCAAGGAGATCCTTGAGAAGATCATCAAGGCCACCATCCCCGCCAAGTACCTCGATGAGAAGACCGTCTACCACGTAAGTTAAAACAACTGTTGATCTAGCCACCGTGGCAGTGTCGCTGACACATTATCCCTACTACAGATCCAGCCTTCCGGTCTCTTCGTCATCGGTGGTCCCCAGGGTGATGCCGGTCTCACTGGCCGTAAGATCATCGTCGACACCTACGGTGGCTGGGGTGCCCACGGTGGTGGTGCCTTCTCCGGCAAGGACTTCTCCAAGGTTGATCGTTCTGCTGCCTACGTCGGTCGCTGGATCGCCAAGTCCCTCGTCGCCGCCGGTCTTGCCCGCCGTGCCCTCGTCCAGCTCTCCTACGCTATCGGTGTCGCTGAGCCCCTCTCCATCTACGTCGATACCTACGGCACCTCCGACAAGACCTCTGATGAGCTTGTCCAGATCATCCGCAACAACTTCGACCTCCGCCCCGGTGTCATCGTCAAGGAGCTCGACCTTGCCAAGCCCATCTACCTCCAGACCGCCAAGAACGGCCACTTCGGCACCAACCAGACCTTCAGCTGGGAGAAGCCTAAGGCTCTCAAGTTCTAAACTGGGACAACTATTTTCGCAGGTGGCTTGGTTGCCCCTGCTGATATAGTCTCATGAATTTGTTGGCTATCTTTTTTTAGATTCTTTTCATTTTGGCATTTTCAATGGGCGTACGGTTGGGTTTAGACATATCCAACGTGTTTCATCTGGTCTTGTTTGCCTCGGAGTTTATGAATAAAAAGAGACATTTCATAAAGAGGTGGTCAGACCGGTGGGTGGTAGGCGTCTTTCAACAAAGACTTGCATGAGCCAGGAAGGCCTAATTCATGACGTTTTGCGATACCCGAAGGGTGACGAACATTTGAGGAAAACAGCATCGGCGTTCAGGGGAAAACAAAAGAACTTCAACATCTTTTCGTTTCCTATCCTATATCCTTAGACGCCGGTAATTGGCCATTGGCTCGGCAGTGGAGGACGGGAGACAGAGAGGTCTCTGTAGGACAGGCAAAAGAAAAAGAAAATGTATGGAGCTCTATGGGGTTTGGATCGTGGAAAAAGGATGATGCCTTTAGATTTTGAGGTATTTAGCGTCTGAAGCGTTACTGGGCGTTAATATGAATGAAGACCCATTTGAGGACACAGGATTTTTGACAGCTCTCATCCGTTTACTTGGCTTCTTCTCCTTGGTGTTGACTTTTAGCGTCGCCTGCCAATTATCATCCCGGGATTGAATTCCTCCCTCGAAAACAAAGAGGAAAATGGAGTCGACAACAAAAGAATGTACAACAGCGTCGCTACTATTGTCTTGCGGCTGCTTGCCCTCAATGAGCGAATCGGATTCGACTCGTGGCAACCTTGTCCGCATTAAACTAATCTCTGCCGTTGAGTTTGTAGCAAGGACATCCCATCATCCGTTCCAGATTCACGACACTGCTCCCAGTAGCCGGAGGCTGGAGCAGAAACATACATTACCTCTAGCCACGCCACCGGTGCAGGCTGATGATCTATGAACACATCCGCGTGTACACCTCTGCATGGATGTAAAAGGGTAGCGTGGTACAAGATGTCTACAGGAAACAAGGGGCGAAAGGGGACAAAACCAGCTTTTTCTTGTGAGAAAAATAAAGTTCTTGCCACTTGCCAAAAACCACGCTACCCTTTTATATCCATGCAGAGGTGTACCTAAGTTTATGTTGCTCGGGCTCGAGAATGTCGATGTATCCCTGATCAGAATTGCCATGCATGTTTCAAGACTCAGAGTTAAGTCAAATTCCATTTGCACGCTCTTCACTTTCCATTCCATTCAGTCTTCGATCTTCCCGACGATCTCCCAACAATCTCGAACCCGTGGATACTAAGAAGCGATGGAAATGAAATCTGGAAATAGGCGTGTGGAAACTTCTTTCTGCCGATCTTTGTTTTGAGCGGGCAGGCGGGGCCCGAACGATCTTCTTCTTGCTATTCTCTTGTGTTCTTCTTTTGGAGTCTTGGGAGTCTCGGGACTTGGGAGTTCAGGTGTGTCAAATCTTTGGGAGGTGTCCCTGGAGCTGGAGCAAGTGAGAGTATCTAGACACCCCTACAAACAGAAAAGCTGAGACCCCCGAGCTTCATCATTCATGCCTGGAATGGTCTCAAGTTTTCTGTCTCGACGCAGTGGCTGGTAGGCAAATGGCGTGAAAACCCCTGATCCATGATTCGACGAATCCATGCTGTGGTACATCGGCCGCAAGGTCCAAGGATGGGACAAAAGGAATCGACTCTGCCTTTTTTTCCCTTCTGCTTTCTTTTCGTTTTCGTGGCTTTGTACAAAGAAGATCAGTTGGAGGGTCCAAGAAATGGAGGCATGCTTAATTTTGTACATAGTTGGGGTCGGTTTTTGATATGTCTTCCGGGTTGTTTTCTGTACAAGTTCGAATCTCGGAGACATTTGTTCTTAGGCCTTGGGAGATGACCTGAAAGGGAAAGTGTCCTGTTTGTGTAGCGTACTAATTGTCAGTGATGTTTTACATGTTCTACTGTACACTACCTCTATCAGTTCGCACCGGCGTTTTTATCATCCCATAGAGCACTTGAAGGGGTTCTTCAACGGCTGCCCCCTTTGTGTGCTTCCACACATACGCTAGAAGAGTTCCCCGGGGCAGCCTAGGCGCAGAACGCTGACAGCAGAACGCTGACAGCAGAACGGGATCGTGCCGAAGCGCTGTTGCGCAAGTGGAAGCTTGGCCAATTGGGCGCCGAGGCGTTGGCGATGGTGTCCCCGAGGGTGTTCATCTGGAATTCCGTTCTGTGAAGTGCCTGTGAGTAGGGACCGACTCCACATCAATTAACTAGGTTACCACGGCCGGGTCTACAACCACGACAGATGATGTTATCGTTGACTTGCATACGAGAGAGGAGGATCGCCGGCAGGTATGTGATTGCGGTGGTGATACTGCTTGATGTTGCGCAACTCGACATCGCGGTCAAGGGGGCGACGGGACCGACCCGATGGACGGAAAACGTGGTAATGGTCGATCGTGAACAGAGAAAGATGATGAAGAAGTGGCTTGAGCCTGGTGCACAGAATCTACCAACTACCGAGGCAAGCCAATCTGCAAATAGAATGTTCCAATTTGATCATGGAAGGTTTTGAAACCAGGAACTTGGTTGTTGGTGAAGAGAGTCCAGATCTTCTCTACGGAGTCTTTACCCCATTGTCATGTTCTCTTCAGCGGCTCTTCAGCTCAGCTGGCAATTATTGTCATTGGCCGTTGGGCCCAGTGATCCTTGACGACTCACCCGCTCTTTCTTTGCCTTCAATTTTCTTCTCCTTCCCATCCCATCCCATGGTGACAATAGGTGACGGGTGGTGCACCAATATGGCCGAATCCCACAGTCCCTTTCATCTGGTTGGTCGGTTCATAAGTGTGCTAAAGGTGTGTGAAATTCCTTCCCCGAGCCTAGTTTTCCCCTAGAAATTATTAGCCCCACGAAGGATGTCACCGCGCCCACGGTCAAATGTGCTTGTCATTCAGGTACTCGATGAATCCGACTGGATTAAGACTTTGGGACTGGGGTTGGATGGATGACGCCGCCCACGTTTTCTTCGGACCCCCCTGGTTCTTCCGTTAGATAAACCCCTGTATTAGCCCCTATCCTTGCCATTTCGTAGAGTGTTGAAAGTCAAAGAGTGGTTCCCGCCGACTATCCAATCTCCCGTGACAGAGAGCCCAAAAGTTAAGGAGGGTACGGTCCAGAAGGGGGAAGAGAGGCTAACCATTTTGCTTGTGCTGGGGGGAGTTTGTCGAGTTCCTTCCATGTGGGTGACGGGAGAGAGGATTTTGCAAAATCCAATTTCTACCGATTTGCTCAAGCCGCACCCGTTCAGTTGTTGTTGTCGTTGCCCTGATTCGCCATTCCAGCTTTTTTTCTGTCGCAAAAGACCTGACGTACGTGTCGGTGGTGGACTGGTGACACTTGCAAAGTCCGGGCATCTGCTCCGTGGTCCTTTTCATTGATCCAATTTCAATACCTTTCTACCCTCTACTCTTTCTCGATCAACGGTCTCACCCACGCAGCCGTCGCAGGATGGCTCACTTTTGACGAACGCCCAATGTCGAACTTCGAACTTCGAATATCGAACACCGAATCACCGACTGTTCCTTTCACTCGTTCATCGTACAGTGCCTTGCAGCTTGACCTTGGTATCGATTTCTTGTTTGGATAAACTGAAGAGCTGGAACTTTGATGGGATCGCGAGTTGCACCTGAGTCAACTTTTATCAGCTGGAACTTCCCTTTTATGCGCCTTCTCGGATAGGGCCTTAAAACGTACCTCTACCTACCTACCGCATATCGCAGCACTCGGCGGCGCCTCTCCGATTGCCACCTGCCCTTTGCTGCTTGGACAGACGCAACAAACCATCAAATCCACCAAAGAGAAGTGAACAACGGGCCTATTTTTCGCCAAACAAACAAACGCATAGTGCGCCTGCGTTGCGCCTGCACCGCACCCGGCTTTCCCGTACGACACACGCGATCAGCCACAACATACGGGACTAACCTCCGGAGGCCAAGAAGAAGTGACAAAACAGAAAAGAAGCGTTTGAGTGGTGACAAGTCAACAAACAGTGTTGGAGAGACAATCGGTTGACTGAGGGATTCCGAGCGGAGTGACGTGGGCGTGCCCAGTGTATGCGCCGTTCTTGGTGGAGGTGGATCTTGACATTTTCGACGGCCCAGAAGGCGCTGCCGTTGAATCCACCACTGCCGTGATCCCGCAGGCTGTTACTTGCAGCAGCAGCGCCCTAAACGCACAGCACCTGCACCGTCGATATCCCCGATCCGACCAGCTGTACATAGGTACGCCATGGCCGCTATAACAGCTCGGCCGGCCACCATGGAAACGGCGAACCTTCACACCCCCGGTCGTGGGCAGCTCCGACAACAACGATCCCAGCCACAATCCCAGTCCCAGACCTCCCCCTCGTCGTCTGTTCCGGCATCGCCCACGCTCTCCAACCCGGACATGATATTGCCCGACGACCCGTACTACGGCCACGGCAACTCCCCCGACTCCGAGATCGATGCCCGCATCAGGTCCAAGTTCAGGATGTGGAAGAGTGCTCAGGCTGCTGTCACGGCCACTTCAGACTTGCACAAGATGTTCGCCGTCAACTCGGCGCAACTGGGATACGACCAGCAGCAAAACGGATACGGATCGTCGGCTCCTTTGACACCCACCACGCCCATAATATACGGAAATGGAACCATCCTCTCGGATATCGGGGAAGTTACCGAGGTGGAGAGCACTATCGGGCGACCCTCGCCAACTCGCCGCAGAGGTCCAGCTACGCATAGGAGGAACGACAGTATCGATGCCGTGCTGCGGGCAACTTCACCCGTGACGGGCCAGTCGGGATTGGCCAAGAGGCTGAAGCCTAGTTTGACCGCCCAAAAAGAGAGGAGGATGAGCACCGAGAGTACCAGCACGATAACAACCATAACTATGGAGGACCGACCAGCCTTCCTTGCCGACATCAACATAGATGATGCGGCTAGTGTAGATGATAGTGTTTTCCAGGGTGACGATGAGGAAAGCATGGCATCCTCGTATGTTGAGGGGACGATACCTCGAGATCGGAATCGCTTGGGAGTTGTGGAAAGTGAAAATGGTGACAGGCTGTCGACGTACTCGACGACTGCCTTGAGCCGAAGAGCAGAGGCGATTCTGGCCAATGCGAAGAAGAGGTTAACCGTACGTCACTACTTGTAATTTCGTCCCATATATCGGATGTGTAAACTGACTCTTTCGTCTAGACTATGGAGGGTAACCTGAGCCGCGCGCGGAGTTCGCTTCACTACACTGCTCCCTCCCTTTCATCCGATGGCACACCCTCACCTCCTCAGCGAGCAGCGTCTGCCTCTAACCGAATCACCGGGCACCGTTCATCTTCGGCCAACTACTCTGGTCATACGCGAATGACTAGCGATATCGCGATGCGGAACGGGTTGCCATATCGGATATCTATCCAAAGGTCACATAGTGCCATGAGTTCTCACGGAGGAAATAACAGGCAATCAATAACGGCGTCGAAAAGCGCAGAGGCCATCCGAGGAGACTGGGAAGACGACGCCCACCGTCAGACGTACAATATACTAACGGGGAAGGCCCTGCGACCGGATGGAACCGCTCCAGATGACGAGAACGAGAGCCCCATTCATTCCTACCATGGGACCGCTTACGGTAGTGACCATAGTAGCGGAAGCTCGAGGGACATACTTTCGACCCCCGCTCCGACGAGCCAAATGCGAGACATCAAACATCAGATGAAAGATCTTAAGGGCAAAATATCTAGTCTACGGGAACAGGCTCGGGTCGATAGCATCAAGAGACGGAGCGTACAAAGCCTTAGGACGCCTAGCCCGTTCACCCATGCTCAAGTCGATCAATGGTTTACTGAGACGCCCTCGGCCAGGAACTCGGAAATCTTCACGCCTGATACTCTGGAACGAAACCCATGGAACGGCGAGCAAGACTCGAGTCTTGATGGCGAGCACCCAGGAAGCTATGGCCATCTGCGAGGAAATTTGGATAGCGAAGAGGATTCCTACGCGGAGGAGGAGGGCGATATATCGGGCAGCTTCGAGTCAGCCATCGACCATTTCCCTGAACCGGCCTCGGCAACTGTTAACAAGAAAATGTTTTTGGAAGAGGAAGACAACTATGACGCATTTACAGAAAACGGGGACGAGGAATTCGAGGATGCGCAAGAGCTGGATGACGATCAGATGAGCATTGGTGGCGAATCGCTCTATCACGATACTGTTCAACACCAAGTCTCTCATGAAGACCGTGAGGATGCATTTGATTACGAACATTTCTTCTTGCACAGCGCTATGGGAACCCTGAGCCAACAACGCATGGCCAGGCGAGGCAGTGAAACCAGCTACACGTCAGAGGACTCGGTCGAAACCACCCGTGGGCCTGTTACCGACGAAAACACACGGATGAACGGTGGTGGCAGTGATAGTAGGAGCATCAACTTCCACTCTCGAAGCAGGCGAGGAAGCGTCAACTCAATTTCGACCATCGAAACATTCCGAACGGCTCAAGAAGGGCGCCCCAGGAGATGTTACAACGAAGCCGATGATGCCATCAGCGAGGAGGTGTACGAAGAGTATCCCTACGAGGACGAATTCAACCCCGAGCTGGAGAGTACAAGCAAACGCAAAAGCGCCTCCTTCAGCGCCGGGACCGGTAACTCGAGGACCAACAGCCGTGCCCGCGGCTCAACAATATCAAACATCAAAAGCTCCAGCACCGGCACCATCTGCAGCAACCGCGAATCGTACCTTTCGGTCCACGAAGGAGGAAGTGGTCCAGATACTCAGCAGAACGACAACCGCAACAGTGGACTCTTCATACGCCGGGGTGCGATTTCAGCTGCCGCCAGCACTCCCACCCTCGAACACCGTCCTTCTGTCTCCTCCATCGGCTCAGCTGGGAGTGGGACAAATCGCAGTTTCCCCTTGGTGCCGAACAAGCAGCAGAACAGGGGGAATACCGCCAGCACCGTTGTGCCGGCTACTAATACCGCCGTTTCGACCCCCGAAACCGTTTACTTGACGCCGGACCAGGAGCTCAGGAGTATCTCGAGTGTGCTGTTGAGCGAGACGGCGAGTGTATCCGACCAACAGCAACAGGAACCGGAATCGGAGAATCAGAATCAGAATCAGCGATCGGATTCGAGCTTGACCAGCAACAGTATTAGTCTCAACAATCATCCCAACAGCAACTCGGCGGCTCTGCAGGCTCTTTTGCGCGAGGATAAGTACCTTGTCGAGAGACTGGTGGCCAGCCTGGGCAAGTGTGTGTTGGGATTGACGGAGAATGGGAGGGCCAGTGTGGAGAGTCGGATGTACAGGCGGAGGATCGATATGGCGAGGAAGATTTTGGAAGGGTTTGAGGATGGACAGCAGTAACCGATCCTCTCTCTCTGCTTTTTTCTTCTTCTAAATGCATCTTGGTTTTTTTCTTGGTTTCTTGGTGGGTGGGGGGCAGGGCGGTGGCGCAAGCATCGAACGACCGGGCACGAAAAACAAATCATTTATACCCATTTTTTTCGATATTGATCAGATACTTAATGGTTTCTAATACCTACTGAGTTTTCGGTCGAGCAGGCAAGTCGGTTCAGTTGGTCAAGGGTTGGTTCAGCGAACCTTCAAATGGATGGAAAGCGAGAAGTATGGCAACTCGGAGGATTGAAAGATAAGGGGTGGAAGGCTTCAATAGCTAGCCGGTTGGTGCAGTGAGGGTTTTGAAAAGGCGATTTTTGGAGGGTCAACGACAGGTTACCGACCCCATTTAAGGGGGGGATTTGAGCGAGGTGTTATTTTATTTTGTTTCTTGAATTTTTTTTTCTTTTTTGGTCCTTGTCTTCTTTTTGCCGTTATCTGTATTAACATCTTGTGTGTGGAGCTACCAGGCTACCTACCTACCTACTTACATGTATCATGCCTTTTTTTCGATTCATGTACTATTTTCGATACCCCATTTTTTCCCTCTCTCAGTAAGAAGAAATCTAACAAGAGTTTCTATCCTACCTACTACTATGACAGACAGTCTTCGTGTTCCAGTCTTTTGAGATGGGAGGAGGAAGTGGAAGAGGAAATCAGAAGGGAAGGGTAGTAAGGTATGCTGATGTGATGATGTAAGGCATGGTGAGGCTTGAGGGTGTGAGTGAGAGGTTATGAGGACTTGAGATGGGTGTATTAATCGAACGGAGAACCATACAATGTTTGTTTGCATCACACAGGCAATGGAAAGTACCTACCTACAACTCCAACCGGATAACGTCGGGCGTCTATTCTGTCCGTCTATGCGTGCGTGGACCGAATCTGGTGTCTCAAACAAAGAAACAAACAAACATACTTCGTAAACTCGATCAAACTCGAAACGATCGATAAAGCAGGTCAAAGTCAGCAGTGGTGTGGTGTGGTGCGCCGTTGGTCCTTATGTGAGCTGTCTTGCTTTTTTTTACCCGTTCGTTTGCGTGTGCTAGACAAGGTGTTGTTGGCGGGTAGAGGTGGTCAATGGGCGTGATTACCTTTTTGGAAAGGTAGGTAGGTAGGTAGGTAGGTAGGTAAGATATGGGTTTCATTCCTACATGCTCGGGCATTTGTACCTATTTACCTACCTTAGATTGGTTTTAGGTTATGTTAGGTTAGGTTAGGTGTTGAGTAACGCTTGTGAGTACCTAGTGTAGTGTAGTGAGTGCTCTCGGCGTCTCGGGAGGGCAGGGGAGCAGCAGTGAGTGGGTGAGTGAGTGTCCTGAGACCGGTGAAAGGCTAGAACCTGTATGTAATTCCGAAGCACCCGGAGAGACCAGAGAGGAGAGAGGAGAGAGAGGTCACAAAGAAGTAGCATGATACATGCCAGGGTAAAGAAAGGTGCCATGAAAAATTGGAAGAATTCTAAAACGTTCTTCTATGCGAGATTGGGCAATGTTGTTTGTTTGTGCGACTACGACGATACCTACCTACATACCGGCAACAATGTGGCCGCGCTAGCACCAGCGGTAAGGTAGGAAGGAGAAGAGCGCTCATTACTGCTGACCCTTACTCAACCTTCAACAGACCATCGCTGCTCTCTTGATACATACTAGCTGGGTGGTCTACCTGATAGGCTGATTCTGTCTCTACTCTTTAGGTGTGTATGTGTGCGAATAAGGGTTGATCCCAACGCCAACCCCCCATTCTTTGTTCCACAGGTCTCAGTATTGGTACTCACTCACCAAGTTCGGCCCAAAGTGCAAGAAGGGCGGAAAAGAGGGAGGGAGAGAAGAGAGACGGGAGGCAAAAAGAGAAAAGATGGATGCAACGTTGTCTGGCGTAGGTTCCAGACCGGAACAAAATGATAGAGGTTAGAATATGGTAGGGCGAGCCAAACATACATGAGGAATATAAGACGGTAGAGCTAAAGGGGTTCCTGCTGGATCTTGTGGTGTTTAGGCCTGCCTTTTTGACGGTTTTAGCAGCATGTTTCTCCTGTCGTGAAATGGTTCTATGGAATTGTTTTTTTCTTCGTTGTAGCCGGAAGCTTGCTTTGACTTCTTCGATGTTGTGTCTATTCTCTTGTTTGTCAGCCGGTACGAATACTAGGGCGATTAGGTGTAGCAGATGGGGTTGTATCTGTTGTTGTATCCCTCGTGCTATCCTCCGTACTACCTCTGACACTGGGGAGCGCAATCGATATGAGGATGTTTCTAATGGCTGATGTACGCGCATAGACAAATGCGTGTCTGAAGCTTGGGCATTGTAGTACAGTATCGGGCTTTGACGAGCTTTAAGGGGGAAGACTTGCTTGCTGTGCTCTCTCTCTTTGATACCGAAATCGGGTACGCATGCTTGAGGCTTGAGTGAAAAGGGTTGAGTGGACCGGAACCGTCCTGTTTGGCCTCCCTGAACCTCTGCTGGCCGCTCTCCACCCTCGTCATCCCGCAGTCCCGCTCAACGGCTCTTTGCCAGGCTTACTCTCTGCATATCACATACACAAATCCTGCATCTACCCGCCTTGACCCGTTTCTTGACGCTGCAAGACATGCAGGTCTTGGGTCGCACGCATACAGCAAGGTAGGGGTTTGTCAGCCACCGACCAGACAGACCAGACCAGTCCGTTCAGCCCCAGTCGAGAAGTGAGAAAGAGAAATCCGGGGATCAAAACCATTCCAGGGCTCCCTAAGGTGAGTGTATCCCATACCAGTCCATTCCAGTCGTCTGCTACACAGCTTTCAGAGCTTGAGCTAATCCTTCCTGGTGGGTGGTCCGCACCCAACACCATGATCGAGACATGCATCCAGGTCGCATACACTGGCACACATTACACGCTTTGGTATCAAATCTTGCCTCACTAACCCTTCCTCAGCCTGCCGTACGACCTGGGCGCGCCCGTTTCCCTATTTGCACAGAGAGGAGACAAGTGTCTCGCTTGTTCTTGTCCAGACATTGCTCGCTAGTCCAGTCCGCTGCCGGCTGGCCGTCCTACTTGGTGTGAGTTGGGCATGTAGCACTTGGAAACACTTCTCATGTTACAATGACTCGGGCGCCTGGAGGCAGAGGGAATATGAGCGGAGAAGAGTGCGAAGTGAAAGATTCTTCCGTTCGGTCGAGTGGCGGCTCGGGGTTTTATTGATCCCGGGATTGTGTTGTGCTGGCAACGGACGAGTGATGGTGGGCAGTAAGATTTGGTGTTGGACTTTTACTGATTCCTGGGGAAAGAGCTCTTGTGCCATAAAGGTTCAGCCGAGGAAGCTGACTTTCATAATTGGAAGGTCCAACAGCTGAGTAAATCCCATGTCGTTGGACGGGAAGGCTTTATGGAAAGGAAAGTGCAGAGGAAATTCTCCCAACTCAGAAAGGGAAATCAACCAGGGGAGTTCGTCAGGGCCAGAACGGGAACTTTCACATTTTGCACACACATCGGGGCAAAGTCAACAAGGAAAGTTTCATCTAAGAGAAACGAAAAAGGAGGGGGTTTCCCAGCCTGTCTATACATGTGCCGTCACACATTGCACGACACCCGTCATCGGCCGGTTATCATCTGTGTGACTACTTTGAGGTCAGTCATTTTTGGTTTGAAGAGGGAAAGCCAGTCCAGTCACTCAGTCAGCCTAGGGTGAGGCGAAGCGAAACCAACCGTTGGGAGTACGGTCGGGCTTCCTTCGTTTCTCTTTTCCTTCTTCTGTGATGTACACGTAACTCCTTTCGTGATTCGTCAAGCTTTCCTCGAACGAATTCTCTTAAACACAGGGCAGATTCAACAAGCGACGACGGCATAGCTGGAAGACGGAGAAATTCAACCCATTCAAGCTTCAACACCACACCCAAATCATCATCTTACACTTTACCACCCTGAACCAAGTCCATCATATAACCCAGGTATGTCTCAGACCCTTTTCCGTTCTTACATAGCTTGTTATTTTTGCACTGGTGATGCCTGTCGACATGATGGCGCAGGACAACGATCGGGACATCGGACGACAAAGATGACTCAGTACAATAACTACGGGCTAGTTATGTGGTGTCCAACTGCTCCTATTTGACTTGGCATCCTAGGCTTGGGCATTCATGACAGATGTCAAAGGGTTTGAACGGGCTGGACCTCAACACGGAAGCGCTAACTCTAAGTTTCCTCACAGTCGGTCGTTTCGGGCTGCTACTGCTCTCTTGCTCCTTCCACAATTCTACTCTGAGCAAATCAAACCTACCTTGACGAGGAAGGCACCATACACGCGCATCCTACCCCATAGACACGAATTTTGCTCCATCTCGAAAAAGAGTCTTCCCAAGTGCTTGACGCCCACCCAAGTAGTCTTCCTGCTTGACATCACCTCCGGTTCGCGGGATGACCAACTGTTCTCCCTGCTCTCCAGCCAGTCAGCGAAACCCATCGCCTCAGGAATTCACAACAACTCGGAGGAGTATACCGAACCTGTCTCTTCGTTGACTCTTTTCGCAGAGATAACCTCGAAAGTCTTTTCCTTTGTTTTTCTACATTTCTCAGCATGACTCTTCCATCATATCGCCATGACAGCAACGAGAACAATGACGTCCATTCCCTTTCAGACATCACCGAGGAGATTCACAGGACTGATCGAACAGTGTCCAATGAAAGCAAACAAAAACATCAACAAACACAGGAGGAACACTCGGGCATAGATCAACATGCATCAAGGTCGCCAGTTCGCCGGGTTCTTCTCACCTTCACGTTAGTATCCGCCTCCATTGCCAGTGACATGAGATTGGCTGACACCTACCACTCACAGCATATGCGCCGGTCTCATGTTCTCGTGCCTGGACACATCCATCGTCTCGACTGCCTTGGTTTCAATATCGCTGGATTTAGGTGATACTCAAGATGCTCCTTGGACCATTCTAGGATATCTCTTAACATACATGAGTGAGTACCTCTCCGGACTTGCTCCACGTGAGATTCTTGCTGCCACATTGCTTTTAATGGGCGGAGTAAGCAATTGCTGAGAATATTGCTGATTGTATTCCAAAAAAACATAGGCTTCGCCGTCGGTTTCTCCAAATTGAGCGATATTTACGGTCGAAGAAACCTTCTCGCCATTGCCTGGGTTTTCTTTTCTGGGTTCTCGGTCTGGTGTGCCCTTGCCGGGTCTATGAAGCAACTGTAGGCTAGATCCCGAATTACTCAGTCCCAGACGCTTCACCATTAACACAATCTACTTGCCTTTAGAATCGCAGCCACGAGCGCTTCAAGGGATTGGTGGCTCGGGACTCTACAGCTTAGCGCAAGTCTGTCTTCTCGAGCAAGGGCCCAGTAAGCCCGAGATGGTGGGCGCGCTGGTCGGCATTACCCTTTCCATCTCATACGTCCTGGGTCCATTGCTAGGAGGCGGAATTTCGGCTGGATGGACTTGGAGAGGCATCTTCTGGATTAAGTTGGTCTTCCTTCTCCAAGTTGATGACAACCTGAGACATTTCTTTTTTCTAACCGGGTTCATCACAGTGTCCCATGCGGCGCGCTCGCCCTCATAGGTATCTACTCGCTCTGGCCGGACGACCGACGACAACAATACGAAGGATGGACGGGCATCCGCAAAATCGACTTTCTCGGCAACTTTCTCCTCATTGTAGCCTCGATTCTTCTGGTATTTGGTGTACAAGAAGCTGGCTCGTACGTGTGGAAGTGGTCTAGCCCAGTCATCATCTGGTCTCTGGTGATAGCTGGGTTGAGCTGGATTCTTTTGGGAGTCTGGGAGACGTATCTGTTTTACGGACGAAACCATCACATTCAGCCGATCTTCCCCGTGCGATTGGCGACAGGCCGCGTCTATCTATCAACCATCATGTATGTCTTGGCTCCCGGTGTTCTTTTTTAACACATCACGACAACACTTTGGTCGTATGCAATTTGCGCTAACTAAACGGTGTAGAGTCACGTTTCTTACAGGTCTTGTCTATATTTCCCTAGTCATCAAAATTCCCGAACGATTCCAAGTCATCTACGGCGACAGCGCCCTTCGAGCTGGTATTCATCTCCTCCCGATGTTGGGCTCCTGTGCCTTCGGATCTACCCTAGCCGGAAGCATCTCCAAGAAACGAAACCTCACAAGCCACACTCTTGCGGCCGGGAATTCGCTCCAGGTGATAGGGCTGGGACTGGTATATGGGTTTTCGCACACGACGGAGCGAGGTGATATCCGATATATACTGGGGTTTACGGCCATATATGGGTTTGGCGTCGGCTTGTGCTTCGCCGCCTGTACCATGATCGCGGCTATCGAGGCTCGCCACGGAGACTTAGCCGCTGCACAAGGAGCCGTTGCGCAGGTACGAGTGCTTGGCGGCTCGCTGGGTCTAGGCATCTGCACCATTATTTTTAACGACATATTGCAGAGATCTCTCGGTCCTGCCACGGAGGCTGGCAGATTTCCTGCGACTGTCCTCGACCAGCTTCACAGGAGCCCGCTGGCCGTGTTCATGCTTCCCCCTGAGCAGCAAGCTTTGGTCAAGACGGTATACTCGGACGCGTTCAGGTTTCAGATGCTCCTGATGGTGGCAGTGGCGGCGGTGGCCGTTTTGGCTAGCTTGGGAACATATAGGTCGAAACCGCCCGCTGTTGTTGATACGATGATCCACCACAAGGAGTTGGCGGCACGACCTAGCGACACCGAGTTGGAAAGCGCGAGTAGTGTCCGCTCACTGGTTCGTGGAGTCAGCTGAGTGATTCGCACATTCTTCGGTTCTGTTCTTTCACCCTTTCTCTTCTGCTTCAGTTTTGTCTTTCTACTTTCTAGGTTTTGGTGCCTGGTGCATCATCGGTAACAGTTCCATTGGACAATATTCTGCCCTACATTCAGCGTGCGTCGTACACTCTATACAGTTACTAGATGGGATTTCTTTGCGGGGTTTGGTCTTATGTTGACGCAATGATGCCTAGGTTTCGTTATGATCATCTACCTCGGGGCGTATTTTCTTTTTACCTGTGTGTTAGTGTCTAAGTAGGTTCGCTTTCATTTTATTGATTTGTGGGAGCTCGTGTGTGCCATTGGGGGGGTGTAAAATATCTAGTCATGAGGCCATGTACTACCGGAACAAATGGCCAAACCTGAGAATGGAACGAGGCCAACTCGGATGTCGCGCGAATAGAACTGACGACAAGGTCAGACCATACTTCTTTGGCTGAACCTGAGCTGCTAACATTGAATGTGACGATGATATGTAAAGCGTGTAATTTCCCCTATGGTATGGCTGAATGGGTTATACCGAGATACATTTGCAAATTTTGATGCGGCCGTTAATAGTGGCCTACATAGGACCGGATCGGAATCATAAGGAGGCGTTGAGACATTCCCTAACTGATATAGAAAGATGGTGGTGTAACACACCCAATTTGGAGTTTGCTCATGGATGTCAGGTACATGTTACTGGTGGTCTGTTTCGGAGGAGGAAGATAACCATCTCCGAAGGCAGCTGAAAATTACTGCCGGGTTCTTGCCTTCATGAATGTGTAAGGAATGATGAGTATACAGTAAACCGCGTGGAAGATCCATTCCACTGACGTAGTTAAGCTACGCCACTGTAAATTCTCTGGACGATTTGTCGTGCTGGCTGAAGACAACCTTGCGTGTGCATTGCAGCAGGTATGGTCCATCAAAGCACAAGTATAATCTCACAATTATTCCAAGGTTGGCAAAGCCCGGAGGACGTATGTTTAGTCATTAATCGATCATCATATTCAAGGTTATGGTTATGTATGTACTTTGCTTCTATAGTTCGTATGTGGCGGTCAGACACAGCAATCTCTGGTCGGTCTATTTCATCATTACAACGGGTATCTCCATCATCATCGTCTTCCAATCCTCCTCATTTCCTTCCGAGTCCCTCTCTTCAAGCGTAAACATAGCACAATGGCTCATCCCCGACAGTGTTCATCAACTTCTTGATCTGGATCGACGGGAAGTCAGGATGGATATCCAAAAACTCCTCCACCGTCACGTTGTCACTAGGCGGCTGGTCCAAGATGGTGTGCGTCCCGAACACGCCCTGGCGGTTCGCGAAATCCAGGTTCTGCCAGATCCACCACATGCGATCGATCTGCGAGTGATGCAGCCAGAAGGCCGGGTCGCCGCAGCTGATAAAGGCGTCAGAGCCCGGGTCGCCGCCGATGGTGAAGTGGCCGCCAAAATGCACGCTCTTGGCGTCCTTGAAGGGCGCGTAGCGCGTGTCGTTGTTGTAACGGAGGTCGCCCTCGATGGCGGCGCGGAAGATCTCGATGTCGGGCGAGGACAGGATCAGGTTCGTCGAGTTGCGGAAAGTATTCTCGGTGCGGAGCACGGCCGTGTTCAGGTCGCGCTTGAGGCAGCGCGTGTTTTTGGCCGTGGGATTTGCGGCCGAGGAGTATGTCGGCGAGCCGTAGTCCGGAAGAGCGACGGGGCCGAGATGCGTCTGCATGCCGCCGAAGGGACCCTTGGTTACACAGCCGGAGCCGTTGCCGGCCGGAAGGTTGGTGGGACCACGGTCGGGCCAGATGGGCATCGTGAGACCCTCGTGGGCGATGTACTCGCCGTTGCCGCCGAGGGAGGTGTCGGAGCCGTCGAAGACGGGGGATTTGGTGACGTCTTTGGTGTCCATTCCCCATTCCCAGTAGGGGAGACCACCTGTTGATTGGAATGTTAGTATTGGTTGTGCGTGCGTGGTAGTAAAGGGGAATGGTAGGAAGTGAACGTACCCTTCCAGCCACAGGCTTCTAGCTTCTTCTCATATTGGTGGATAAAGAGACGATGCCAGGAAAGGAACAAGCCGGAGTAGTGGACGTTGACGGTGTTGATCAGATGGATCCATGTGAAGTCATCGTAGCCTGTTACAGCTCCCTCGATGTCGGGGAAGACACTGGGCGATTTTTGAATGCACTGAACAGCCTTGATAAACTGGCGGCGCTGACCAGGAGGGAGAGTACGCCTAGAATGCTGTTAGTGTGGTTTTTCTTTGGCAGCTTCTTTCCATGCGTGGATACATACCATTCCTGTCTAACTTTGACCTTGTTCGCCTTGCATGACCCCTTGAAGTTCTTGTAGGCGTTTGCGCTGGCAAGCTTGTTGAGAGTAGCGAGAGCCGCGCCGGAGTCGATAGCTTGCTGGTTGAAGGTGGGAAGGTTCAGGGCAGATGCCGTGCTGGCAAGAACTCCCGAAAGGGCAAGAGCGGATGTAAGATGCATGATGGCGGGCCTGATCTCTTCCGAGGATATCGACTTGAGATTACTGGGGAGGTGAGGGGAACACTGATAAAGGCAAGATCAACAGACAGACGGTCTTCCAAAACCTTTATACAATTACATCTTGTCCTTCGAGCCCATTACATTCTCACCTTTGATCATGTATTCATGCTGCGGGTTCTCGGCTCGTACTCGCTTCACGGCCTCTTCCGATTCCTGAAGGTCCGAGCGAAGGCCACTCTGCCGAATTTTGCATACTTCCACGTTTCCTAGACCCAAAAACATACCTGCCGTTGAAACCGTCTTGCCGGTTTTACCTCATGGAAACGCCTCTATCCTATGTTTAGCTAAGCGTAGGAACAGGAAGCGAAGTTGGCGAAGGTCTAAGCGCACTTGATAACGGCAATGACCGCGTGGCGTACGGAGCGTATTGGCTGCTCGGGCTTCCAGAAGGTATAGGCCGCGGTACCGAGACATAGACAATGATACTCTGCATAGGAGTATCGGTTCTGGAACGGCAAGTGTTATGATCCCTGCAGTCTTTTGCTTCTTTGCTACCCAAGCTCGCCAAGGAGTCCCAGGACATGCGGTTGGTTCCTGGCGAGAGGAGTTGAGACCAATGAACTCGGCGACCATTGAACGCAAAGCAATTAATTTTCTTCAGAGTCCGAAAGATGTCATTGAATTAAGAACCCGAGCCTCACGAGTCCGAGGACGGCATGGAACTGTATTGACTTGTTTATGTTAGTCACATTCTCATAGTAAGGGATGGGGAAAACACACCCCAAGGGATATTCGGAGAGATATTTGGCCTTGGAGGCATACCTTACAGTTACACAGACGATGGAGGTTGGGAACAGACGCTCGAACAGAGAACATGGCCTATCATTCGACCGCTTGTGGGGTCCATTTTCTCCTTTCTTGGGGTGTTACTGTGCTAACGACGTGGTTAGCTTTGAATAACTACTGCAGAGTTTGAATTGACGAGTTGGTAGGTGGGAAACTCAGTGTCTTTTTGTTTATTTTTGGTCAACTCCTCCGAAATTATCCACGACGTTCTGCCTCTTCGTCATGTGCTTTGGCCGCCTAATACCACCTCGGCCGTAGCGGAAACACTCTTCAGGCTTAAAGGGATTGTGTTAAAGAGGAGCATGGAACACCCCATGTTTTGCTCCTCCAATCTCCCGCCACGGGAAGGAGACCGGGATACCGGGAAGTTCGTCCGTTCTGTCCCTCTAAAATCGTGCCCCGAGTTTGTGCATATGAAGTGGAAGTTCCCAGGAGCCAGGTTCGAGAATGGTCTAGTGCTGACTCTTTATGTAATGCAACATAAACAACCGTGGGTTGTTGGGTTTTTACATATTAGAAGGCACCATTGCCCCCGTAGACCCTGTTAACATCCTAGGCGTCCTGGAGTGTCTGGTTCGCTCTTGACCTCTTGTCGTACCACCCGCAATGCATCCAAATTACCAAATCGAACCAAGATATCTCAAGATATCTGAGGGACACTCTGATCACCAGTAAGCATGCAATTAACAAGCGTGCTATAGCCAGGCATCAGAACATCAGTTTGCTTGAAGTGGTAAAGCTTGCGGAACCTGTGGGACTGACAGGTGAAAATCCCCCAGATACTTGAGAATCCCCCCAGGGAATCCCCTAGATGCTCGCAAATCCCCCAACAAATCCTCGTCGTCAAACAGACGCTCACTTCGTACACCCTGTGACACAGTAGTAGCCTAGGATCGTAGTTTAAGGTCGTAGTGGCCGTCTTGGCTCGTCTAAGTCCGGCCTTGGACTCAACGGGGACTCATCCCGGAGCTAGGGCCAGTCGTCTCCATTCTCCAAGGGTTACTGGCAGAACATCGAATCGAAAAGTCGCCTTTTCCAACCCCCAGCGAATACCTATCATGATCTTTCCGACCTCAAAGTCGAAATCATTTATGCTCCACAGATAAAGCGGCCTTAGTCCAAATACATCCCAGGTGTGCGTAATCCCGATTGGAGGGCAAAGACGGACTCTTTGGTCGTTCGCCTTTTCTTCTCTACTTCCTGGCGAAAAGATGAAGGAAGGAGGAAAAGGTCTGGAGTAAGACGGAGAAACAAAAGAGGTGAACAAGGAGAAAGAGATAAGTCGTAGTATTCAAGTGCCCTCTCAGAACCAGGCGGCGGCAATTCCCGGACGGGTACCGCACACGGTGGGACTCGGTTCGGCCGATAGAGATGCGGATGGGGCAGAAAGCGCAAACCGAAGGTCTTGCAGCCTGCTAGAGAGACCGGGGGATTGTCAGACGGATGCAGATTGCAGCGGGACGAAGTGATTCCAGTGATGGCGACATGCTTGAGTTACGGCTTGTGGAGGAGAAGAGGAAAAGGAGGCATGTCAGGTCCGTTGGGCAGATAAATACGCGTCTCGCTCTGCAAATGGAAGTGCACCTTCCACACGCCGTTACAAGATGTCATGACCCAGCGTGCCGGATCAAGGCAGGAGCGATAATCTCTCGTTCGTATCATTGCCGAATGGATTGTTCCTTCACATCTCCCAGCTACCATACCAAGGAAAGGTATGACGACAACCAATAAATAGGTATATAACCATCCTCTTGCGAATGGTAATCAACAACCTAACAGCTAGTAGATGGTCGCGTGGTGTAGTGGTAGCACACGTTTAGTAAGGCTCGCTCGGTCTTTGTACGGCAGGGCCGGTAGCTTGAGTTGGAACGACAGGCCCCAGGTTCGATCCAGGGCAGTTGGCGCCCGAACATTTATCAGCGCCCATATCTTCCCTTCTCCTTTTTTCCTTTTCTTTTTGTGATGCCGTTCGTGATTGGTGTTTGCGTCCCAGGTCGAGAAAGCCTCCGATGGTCGTTGTGATACACAAATAAAGTGGTGTTCTGTCTGTATCTATCACACTGACCAACCCCTTTGTCGCAACGAACGCCTTCCTTCAACCACCTTTTGGAGCTGCATAGACAACGACGCAAACCGGTCGTCTCTATCGATGACCTTCTATTTTGTTTTGCCTCTCTCTCCCTAGATGAACCTCCTCGAAAACTCCACCAGCGCCATGATCGCCATCGCCTGACCATACGGCATACTAGTGATCGGGATATCCTTATAATGCTGCAAATCCCTGCCCATGCCCGTCCCAAACGACGTATTCAGGAGCTCACCCTTCTCGCTAACATTATCCAAGACCCCCTTCAGCGCGCGCACCGCCACGTCCTCGTACTCCTTGCCAACAATGTACTTCTTCCGCAGCGCCTTGAGGATGCCAAACGCGAACCCGGCCGTGGCGCTCGCCTCGAGATACGACCCTTCGCTCTCCGGCACGTCTAGCAGTGTTCGCCACAAGCCGGACTTTGCGTCTTGCAGAGACTTGAGGGCTTCGCATTGCGCCTCGAGCGTGCTCCGCAGAATGGAACCGATGGTTTCGCTGGGACCGAGGTCCAGCAGCTCGATGAACTCGGGGATGACGATGGTCAGCCAGCTGTTACCGCGGGCCCAGCGAGCGTTGGCAAAGTTGTGGCCGCCCCCGCCGCCCTTCTTCTCGTCATTGAACTCCCAGCCGTGGAAGAACAGGCCGGACGTGGCGTCGAAGAGATACTGGATATGCAGGAGGAACTGGCGTTTGGCCTCCTCGACGTAGTGCGGCCGGTTGAGCACTAGACCAATCTTGGCCAGCGGCATGACCGTCATCATGAGCGTGTCGTCCCACAGCTGCTGGTCGTTGACCTCGAGATAAGTAATGTGCTGCATGCCGCCGTACTTGGTCCGCTCAAGGTCGTGGTAGGCCCACTCGGCCCAGCTGTCGAGCCAGGGGAGGTAGGTGTGGTTCCCCGTGCGCTCGTACACATAGGCCAGCGTGAGGAATACGGCCATGGTGTTGATGTTCTTGGTGGTACCCCCCGCGGCGAACCGGTCGGCGAACCAGTCCTCGATGATCTGCAAGCAGTCCGGGTCGCCTTTGAGCTCGTAGTATTGCCAGATGCCGTAGAGACCGATGCCGTGCGTCCACTCCCAGTCGTTCCATCCCTTGGTGTCGATTACACGGCCATCTTCGAGAGTGAGCAGGAACTCGCCTGTCTTGTCTTTGATGTTGACCAGAGCGTCGATTAACAACCTGATGTTGGAGTCGATGTCCGCAGACTTGACTCCGTGAAGTTCTGTTGGCATATTGGAGGAGTTTGGTGTTTAGATTGTCTGCACTGTTTGATATGTAGTGACAATGTCGTGCCGGTGTAGTGGTGGGATCAAGAACTGCGAGCCGTGATGGTTGGATGGTGTTTAGCTTTCAGACAGGTCGACAGGGTCTTCATGCAAATCACCGGATACCCACGAGTTGCCAGAGCGACCCATTCACTTCTTATTCTCGAGATCTTTTCTGCTTGGTGGAGAATCTCCATGACAGTGAGGTCTCGCTATCGGATATCATGGCAGAGAGTTGCACTGAGAGGGTTGGAGGAGCTCGGTGAAAACGACCCCGAGATCACCACAGGTGACTCGTCAGCCGCTACGCTAGAGGAAGCAGTGTCGGCAGGGGCTTCATGGCGTGCGGGGAAGGCTGGGGAAGTCGCCTGGCTGTTTGCGGGGAAGGGTGCTAGAGGGTGCTGTCCGGGGCACAACGGACCGAGACTCGAGGGCAGCCCCTTTTCAGACCGGGAACAGGAGTGTCTGCTGGGCTTGTGTCGAGGAGGTGATACCTTTCGTGGCTGACACATCCTGTCCATCATAACTTGAGGGCCGCAGAACAGGCTTGCGAAGGGAGGGATAATTGACCTCAGAGACTTCCCTAATAGTCAACATCTAAAAGAATGTGTTGGGGAACAAGTTATGAAAGACATGAGCCATTGAGTTCAATAAGAAACCCCAATATTCGAAAGATGACCGCTGTGAAAGCAACGTTGCGGTAGTGAGACCGGTACTATTTCCCCCCATCCAGCCCTACCCCCACGATGGCGAGACCACTGTCCTTGGGGGCTGGAAGCGACCCAGCCAACTTCCAAGTAAACCCCTACTCGGGGTAGGTTTAGCCCATATCACCGGTGTGTATCGAAGGGGACTGTCCAGTAAGAAGGAAAAGGTCGACAATGAACAGGATGAAGGATGATCATGAACACCAGGAATCGCATGGTCAGGGTCTGTTGGTCTGCAGTTAGGACAGGCTTCCCCATAGGGTATAAGCCGGATCAGCAAGACTGATAAGACCCCAGATTCTGTCTCTCCACGATGTTACCGTTGCTTTATCCTCCGTCTCCTCTTCTTTATCCCTATGCTGACCTGTCTTGGACGTCGAGACTCGCTTCATCCTCAAGACACCACAGATTCAAAGTTCAATATGTCGAAACACGACGAACCAAACGCGGTCAGTCCAGACAGGGACATCCAGCAAGTCGACGACAAGCACGACTTGGACGAGGTTGAAAGGACTCTTTCTCCAGACCTGGATAAGGGGAATCAGCAAAGATACGACAAGGTCGACAAAGAATTGGCGAAGTATGTCGCCGAAGAAGCCTTCGAGATCTCGGAAGAGGAGAATAGTCGTCTGCGCAGGCTGATCGACAAACGAGTGCTCGCCATCATGATCACCACCTACTTCATTCAGGCCATCGACAAAGGGACCTTGAGTTTCTCCTCCATCATGGGCATCATCGATGACACTGGTCTCCATGGTCCGCAGGTGTGTTGACGCAGCTTTCTCGTTCCAAAACCCCTTGTCTCAACCAGTGATCATTGCCACTAACAAGATCGTTACTCCTTCAGTACTCATGGCTTACCACGTGTATCTATATTACCATCCTCGTCGTCGAGTATCCCCAGAACTACATCATCGCCCGCGTACCCATCGCCAAGTATCTCAGCTTCATGATCATAGCCTGGGGTACTGTCCTGGCCTGCACGGCCCTCTGCAAGAACTTCCTCGGTCTAGTGGTCGTCCGCACGCTGCTGGGTCTCTTCGAATCCGCCTGCCAGCCGGCCTTTGTCATCTTGTCCTCGATCTGGTACAAGCGCGAGGAGCAAGCCTCGCGGGTGACGTACTGGTACATGATGAACGGCGCCCAGCAGATTGTCGGGGGTCTCCTGGCCTACTGCTTCTCGCTGATCAAGACCGGCCCCCTCAAGTCCTGGCAATGGCTGTTCCTGTCGTACGGCATCGTCTCGGTCCTCTACGGCCTCTTTGTCGGCTGGTGGATGCCGGATTCGCCCATGCGCGCAAAGTGCTTCACCGAGGAGGACAAGCGGCTGATGGTCGAGCGCGTGCGGTCCAACCAGACAGGCGTGCAGAACCGCAAGTTCAAGAAGGAGCAGGTCTATGAAGCGTTAAAGGACCCCCAGGTCTGGGGATATGCCCTCGTCCAGCTGTGCACAACGCTCCCGACTAGCGGCCTCGGTAGCTTCCAGGGCCTCATCATCAAGAGCTTTGGGTTCTCTGTTCTCGAGACGCAGTTGTTGGCCATGGTGTTGGGCTTCTATATCATCATGGTGTTGCTGGGTTCCGTGTGGATTGTCAAGAAGACGAACCAGAACTTGCTGACCATGCTGGGCTTCTGCATTCCGTCCTTCATCGGCACCATCTGTCTCATGACGGTGCCGAGGGTGACCAGAACGCAGGAGATCGGACTGGTCATCTGTTATTACATCACCCTGTCCTTCTGGTCCGCTCAGACACTGGCTTTGTCCATGCTCTCGCGGAACGTGGGTGGGCAGACCAAGAAGTCTGTTGCCGTGGCCTTGAACTTTATCATCTGGGCCACCGGAAATGCCATTGGTAAGTTTTGTTTTTGTCTCCTCTCCTAGTAGGGTGAAGATCCTTTGCTGACTGTGATTCGAACCGAATAGGACCCCAAGTTTTCCTGGACTCTGACAAGCCACGGTACTTCATTGCCTTTGCAACGCACTTGGGCTGCTACAGCCTGCTTGTCGTGGTCATTATCGGTCTGCGGTTCTATCTCAAGCACCAGAACAAGAAGCGGGATGAGCTCGCTGCTGCCGGCGTGCAAGAGGCTGCCGACGCAAAGATGGTTCATGCGTTTGAGGATCTGACGGACAAGGAGAACCCAAACTTCCGCTATGTGTATTAAGGGAAGAGGTCGTGTCGCTTGCTGGGCCAGGGCATGGTTCCGAAGCTTGGTGGTGTTTGTTTTTGTTGTTGATAGCAATTAATTATCTGCGTTTTTGTCTGTTCTGTCAGCCCCCAAGCCTCACCGTTCGCTTGCGAAGGTATCCATGGTCGTCTGGCGATGTCGTAGAACGGCCATTTTGGAAGGTTCGCCGTGGTCATTTTTGTTGTTGTTTCGTCAAAGGAACACAAAAGCAGAGAACTTGGCGCCGGTGCCACTGAATCCTTGGGCAGGGACGCCCTCCACTAAAACAAGGAGATACCACTTGTTAACGCTTTCTGTTATGGTTATATAGGGAAGGTGTTAGCCACAGTCCAATACTGGTCTGTCTGTTAGCTCGAGACCTCTAGTCAACTGTCCTAGGCGTTTACATGTCTAACTGAGCCCTTCCCTTCTACAATAAACGCACAATATTACATTGTATATGCCAGTTTGAATGCTGTTAATGCCTTTTTGGTTCGTACTTACCCAATACGCTTTGTCTTTGTGAGGTTTGGGGATAGTCCAGTCTGCTAGGGGTAGTTAACTAACAAAACAAACCAGCATTTCCATTGACTGTATCTTTTACAGACAGTCAGTGGGACGCTGGTCCACGGGTTCCGGTGCACCAGTAACGGTGATGGTGGTCCGGTTGATGCATCTTGCAGGTGGCCCAGGCATTGAAGCTCAGGTCCAAATCCAGGCTCACGCTTTCGATTTGATCTTCCTGTCTTTTTGTTTCCTTCTTGTTTCTTCGCGAACGGAATCGCCGTAGTCAACGCATTTGATACCTGTTTCCGTTTCCATTCCGTTTCATTTTGGACGTTGTTCTGCAGTGGCCTTGTACGCTAGTTGGTTTGTTAGTGTTTGTTAGCGTTGTTCTTGCGTAACAACACCATACACCTCCGCTTGGCACGTGTAATTGTTAGTGCATCCAACCACTCAACTCCCACACAACCTAACAACAGACGACAACCTTCACAAGCCCAGAGGATGTGATCAGGACTTTGGGGATGACGATTTTAGCCCCTCTCATGCACGGCCGCTCGTATCTTGCTGCACATTCTCGGAATCAGACAATCTCTGCTTGGTGGCATAGGTAGCCGAACTCGTACAAAACACCTTCAAAGAACCGAGGCTTGCCGTTACGAACACTGATTGCACTGACGGCTTCCGCGCGCTGAAGCTCCCTGGATGGTCTAAACATCAAACAACCCCCTTCCCTTGGGTACGACCTCGCCTGGTTTGTTAGAGGTAGACTACATAACCAGCAAACTCGATATCATCAGAGGTCCTTGCTTCATTGGTATGTTGCTAGTATTCCAGCAAGCCAGGTACATATTCTGACAACTCCCAGTTAAGAGACTGTCTTCTGCTTCATCGAACGTCACGAACCTGACGCCAAGTTAACGGCGCTGACTGTTGACGCCTCAAATCTAATCCCTTCAACCTCCCAACTTCAACATGGCTTCACCTTCACCCTCAATCCCGCCTAACACGGCCGCCACCGGGTCCCTCGGCCCCTTTCCCACTCCCACCCACGGGCAGCTCGGAGCCAACTCCTTCACCATAGCCTGCTCGGCGCACATCAAGGCCTCGCCGCGTGCCTGTCTTGAAGTTCTTCTCAAAGCATCAGAGTACCCATCATGGAACCGCTACTGCAGGAAATGCATCATAGACGCTCAGCCAGATGACGGCGCCCAACCCAAGGACAAAAAGGCTAAGTCAAAGTCCGAGAAGGATAAGGACAAGTCCAACAAACCCAAGGCCGGCAAACCCCGGGAGCCGGTAGACATACCCGTTCCTGTGCCCGTGCCTGAGGCTGAGTCTGCTCCTGCTGCTGTTGCTGCTGCTCCTGCTGCTGCTCCCGGAACCCTCTCCACCACCAACTCCCACTCTTCCTCGGGGGCATCTTCCGCCTCCTCTGACCACCAGGCCCTCCCCAACCTTGTTGGCCCGGAGTTTCTTCGCCTAGGGACCAAATTCACTTTCCACGTCCATATGGATCCTTTTTCAGAGGACAGCAGCCCCCGCAATACTGCGCTGGAAGTCAGTCGTCTCGAGAGGATTGACGAGGTTATTGAGGTGGATGTCTCGGAGGTTTCCGGGTCAGCTGCGCGTTTTCCCAGTGCTGGTGGAAGTGGGAATGGGAATGGGACTGGGAGTAAGACTGCGACTACTGAGGCTACGATGGTAGTTGCAGAGGATAAATCCCACGAGGGTGGTGATGGTACTGTCGCTGTCGCTGCTGCTCCCTCTGTCGAAGAAGATGCAGTCGATAAAGACGACACTTCTGCTACTACCGCCAAGAAAGAAAAGAAGCTTACCGACACGAAAGGCAAAGGCAAAGGCAAAAATGTCGCAGCCGAAAACAAGCTCCAACTCCGCCGCACCGGCTTCCGCATGCCTGGAAGACCCGCCCCAGTCTCTTCATGCCGAGCTGGATGCTCCATTGCGAGCGCGTGCAGGAGTTTGTTGAGGTTTACCCGCCCTTTGCCGCAGACGATGAACCCGAGACGGCGTATCAGTGCTGGGAGACGTTTTACGGAGTGTTGGCGCCGGTGGTGAAGACCGCGGCGGGGAGTCAGGTTATTAGGGGCTTTGATGTGTGGATGGACGGGTTGAAGAAGAGGGCAGAGAGGGTCGAGGGGAGGGGAGAGTAATCGTGAGATACGAAGGCATAGTTTCAGGAAGAGGGGAAATCAATATCTCGCTGTGAGTGTAATTGAGAGATATTGGGGGACCACCATTGCAGGCAACCACGAATAGTAATAATAGTAGTGCGTGAACCAGACATATCCCCTTTAATTTGTTTTATTCGCTAGGAAATATCTTTCCCTTTGTATCTGTGTTCTCTGTTGTTGTTGTTGTTGTTGTTGTTGTTGTTGTTGTCTCAGCTGATATTTCAACTTCTATAGCCGCAGTCCGTCATCCACGGATACTCGCTCGCTCACTCATCACCACCTTCCACTTCCACTTCCTCCTTCCCCTCCTCTCCATTTTCCCCACCCTTATTCTCCGCCTCCACCCCGTTGTTGTTGTTGTTCTTCTTCTTTCCACTCTTCTTCTTTCTTTTCTTCGGCTTACTCCCAGTCCCCTCCGTCCCCCCAGAAGCCCCAACCCCAACAACACTTCCATTAGCACCATTACCGCCAGCACCCAACGCCTCCCCCCTCTGAAAAACAAACAACGCCTCATCCTTCCCCGCAAAACTCGGCAAAGGGCATTGCACCACCTTCCTCCACCCCTCCCCTTTCCACTCGCGCTCCATATACTCATCCATCGTCTCCGTCTTAAACCCCGTATACCCATTCCCATTCTGCGTGCCCACCACGGCAATCGTATCCCCTCTGTAAGCCTTCATCAGTTCCCTCGTGAACCCCCCTTCCTTTCCACCCGCTGCGCTCCCGTCGCCTCCCACAATGGGGTACACCAAAAGTAGAACCATATCCTGCCCGCCGCCGTTTTGGGCGGTGGATCGAAGCCATTTAATTCCGTCGGCGACGATGGTGTCGTCTATCCACATTACGCGCCACTCGGATTGGTTGTTGTCTACTGCGTAGACATTTTGTTCTGACGATGGCGAAGAGGAGGAGGAGGAGGAAGAAGAAGAAGAGGAAGAGAGATACTGTCGCAGCATGAACGTCCAGTACCCGTTGCCGGAGCCCATGTCGATTATGGAACGTCCCCTCGCGAAAAGTTTGAGGAGACATAAAGATTCGTGGGAAGGGACGGCGCAGCCGAAGTGGTGCATGAAGATGGGCAGGACGTGGTGGGACATGCGCGGGTTGGTAAGGATAATTTTGTTGTTGTCGTTCTCATTTTGCAGCGTCTCTTCCTTCCCATTGCTGTTACTGGAGGAAGAAGAAGAAGAAGAAGAAGAAGAAGAAGAAGAAGAAATAGGTATCGGCCCGCACCACTCCAAGTTCCGACATGACCAGGCCCAGAAATCAAAGTAGGGGTTACATGGCAACGGGGTCTTGCTGTCCTTTTGGTCTTGGGAATGATGAGCTGGTTGCCGAGGGGATGCCAGTCGGAGGCAATGTAGCGCTTGGAGAGCAGGTAGGTGGCGGAGCGCAGGCGGATGGAGGAGCGTTTGGCGTTGGACTGGAACGCGGTGAGGGCCGAGGCTGTGGCTGTTGAGGGATGGAAGATGGAGATGTAAGATTCTATGTCTGCTTGTGGTGGTGGAGAAAGCTGGAGAGTTGGAGTGAGGTGAGAGTTAGCAGTGAGTACGTGTTTTGCATGGAAATAATGGAGACATCGAGGAGAGAAAAGATGTACTGGAATGGAAGTAAACAAAGAAAAAGGGGCTCCCCGATGGAAAATCAGCATCAGCAACACATACCAAATCACCACCTTCCAGCTTGTACCAACCATGCATCCCTTTCGCCCCGCCAACATCCACCGCCCTCTGGACCTGTGACAGCTTCACGCTGGCAATGGCATGGTACACGTACTCATCGGCTTCAGGGACGTTGACGTCGTCGGCTAGGTGGAACCACGTCCGGATGGCTGTCGCAAAGTCATTTGTTTCGGCCAGCCGCTGTAGTACCTGCTTATGCGTCTCCTCGTCTTTGACTGCCTCGCTGGGGACGAACGTGAGGCTGCCTAGGCAGTACATGGTCACCCGCTTTCCGGTTGATGTTGTCACTGTCATGACCATCTTGGGCAACGTCAACGTGGACTTTTGTGACACCGTAGGCTGTTTATTTGCTTTTTGGGTGACACCTCGGATTATCAATATGAGGAAGCGGATATGCTGTGATGGTGTTAGTGTGTTCCGATCTCTGAATGTGAAGACTGCACTTACGGATAGATGAACCTCGACAGAAGTAACGACCGTAGAGAAGCCCTTCAGATCACAACATCGGAAGGTTCAAAACCGTCAGTCGGCAGTGGCCATGATGTGCATTTGGAGGAATCCATTGATCCCGTCCTGGCATGGCATGACATGGCAGCGCCGACTATGGTACTGCCTTGGTTATTGGTTAATGTCTTGGCCAACATACATGCCGATCTTGCCGGGGGTTCGGGGCGGGGGCCCGGGCACGTGGCTCGGCCGGCCTGATGTCAGCGGCCCGGTCAGCTCTGCACGCATCCAGTTTCACAACGAGAGATCACGCAGAGCCTCAAGGCAGCCACTCAAGTATTTTTCACAGTTCGCTGTGCGTCCGATAATCGTGGAGGATGAAGCACTTTCACATCTTTCATTATCTTCTATGACATACAACAACGTACGGCATCGTTCGGTAAGAATCAACTGGACCTTTTGGCATGCTGAAGAACTGGTTCTAGCTGGTAGTAGGACTCTGCTCCTAGCCATCTTGATATAAGTGACGTATAATTATGCCCCTTTGTTCCATAGTAGTCATGTCTATTCATACAAAGCTGATTGTTTTATGCTGTAATGCACCCAGCCTTGGTAGGTGCCGACGGAGTCTCTGCCGTGAAGATGGCGGCGAGGGGGTGATATGGCTCGGCGGCCTCTCGCCTCGCCCTAGGATCAGTATCCGTTTCTGACGACAATAGGGGTTAGAGGACTAAGGAGGCTTGAGCTTCTCTAGCGCGCCGCAGCTTTCTCCTTGGTACTCTTCTTTGACGACTTTGCTCCCGGTTGGATTCTTGCCATCATTTCCTCCTTGGTAATCAGGTGGTCGATCCTCTCCAGGTGGCCGAGCAAGCTCTTCATGTTGAAGCTCCACTCGTTCAGGATGTCGTCCGCATCCCGCGGCTTAGCAAAGCTCACGATGCGCGCCGGACGGTCGATCTTGGCATAGACCGTCTTGGACGTTACGAGCTCGCTGATGTACTTCTCCGTCTCCTCCTCAGTCAAGTCCAAAAGCTTGGTAAGACGCTCCACGCGGATGCGCGTGTAATACTTGGCTACCACACGCACGTTATGTTCGATGACACGCTTGCGCAAGTCCTGCCAACGCTGGAAAGCCTTATCGTCGGCCGACTGGTTGGGCTCGGAATCGAAGATCTCGGTGCTGCACAGGTGTGGGCCAAAGATTTTGGAAACCTCGGGCCAGCGCATGAGCTCGTGAACGGTGAACAGCTTCAATAGCTCGGCATCCTGGGGAATCTGTGCGTTTCGTGCGTCCTTGTGGATTCTGTGGAGGAGATCGTGTTGCTCGTTGTCGTGGGGAGAGAGAATGATGAAGTAGATGATTCTTTGCAGGACCTGGAAAAAGACATGTTAGTACACGAGTATTGCAATACGAGGTGATCAGATAAACTTACGGCCTGTAGCTTCGCGGGGTCCTCCTCTACCGCCTCGGTATCCAGCACTTGGCGGTAGTGCTTGCAGACGTCAAGGTACTTTGAGTCGTGCTTGGCCAAAATGATCTGTTGTTCGTAGTATCGCAACTTGAGGTCGGTGACATCATCCTCCTTCTCCTCGGAAACCTCCTCACCCTTGGCCTTCTTGGCCTCCCTGTCCTTCTGTTCCTTGTCGAGCTGCTCTTGCGTCTTCTTGGGCCTGCGCGAAAGGTACTTGGTGCTGATCTTTCTGCTGAGAATGCCCGCCTGTGTCCAGTCCTTGCTCTCTATGCAAAGCGCCACCTGAGCCAGAATGAATTCCGTCTTTTCCCTCCTGTCCATGGAGCCAAACGTCTCGACCTGAAGCTCGCACAGGATGTCGGTCGCAGCCTTCAGATCGCCCTGTTCCTTCTTGATATCGGAGAGAATCTTGGTCACGCGGGCGCGTTCAACTTCGACAAAGATCTTGCCCTCGGTAACCGTGCGCAAAGTCTCGATGACGGAGAGCTTAGTCTCCAGGTTCGGGGTCTCGGGGAGGAAGTCGATGACGGTCTGTACCATCTTGGTGATGGCTTGTTTGAGTTGGCCATGTTTCTTGGAGAGAACGAGGGTCTGGTCGTTGAGCAAGCTCCAGTCGCCTGCATTCTTGCAAAGGCTGATGATAGCGATCAGGATACGGGATGTCGATGCGAGGTCGGAAGCCTGTCGTTCGTGGGCGCGTGGTCAGCTTGGAGGAGGCGGGGACTTGAATATGTGGCTAAGGGTGCTTACCTGGCGCGTCTTCTTTTCGAGGACAGAGAGCTGCTCGATAGCGGCTTGGATGTCTGTCTGCACGGTTGTTTCATCATCATCATCAGTATGCGATCGGAAGACGGCGGTGGAAAACATGGGAATCTGTAATTACCTGGGCCAACTGCTCGGCCTCGGGGAGCTGCTTGTCGACTTCCTTGGAGAAGTCCTTCTCCGGCTTGAACGCAGCGTCCGCCATGATGTGTAGTATCTGTGATGTGTGGATGGGCTATCAAACTCTTGGGTATCGTGGGTTCGGCGGCGACTTGGTTCGCGACGGGGTTTCGTGTTGCTGATGTGGTGGTGATTGAGGGGCAGTTTGTTGTTTGGAGGATACTCTTGGTATTCTCAGTGTCGTCAGTCCCCAACGGTTGGCGTAGTGCTGTGGTTCGTCACGGTAGCTGCTGCTGGAGCGGGACCTGTCACTGCTAGCAACCCAACCACAGCGGTACGTAGGAACAAGGCTCCAGCTCCACGTCAGTTTGCTCTGCCTGTCGGTGGGGCACGGCTCCAGTCCAGCGAATGCAAGTGACGAACGACGAAGGGAAGCTGGGGCTGGAGTGAGGCTGAAGCTAAACAAGGCCCCGCTTTCTCGAGCTGGGATTGGCCTGAGCGAAGGAGAGGAGGCAGGCTCAGGAACGCTGTGGCTTGACTACAGTACTACAACTTTAGCAGGCGCATCCAAGTCCAGCTATTTACAATTGTGTAAGACTGCTGACTCTTGCCTTTCTTTTAACTCCCCCCCACCAAATGACCGTCACAGAACAGCGACGCCGTTTCTTCCGATAACGAACTGCCTGTTGAATCACAACCTACCGTTGACCTGTCATGGCCGTGCCACTCCCGAGAATACCAGAGCAGGTGCGCGGAACAAGACCTGGATGGATTCCGCCGGCATCCACATGGACCCCTTCTGTGAGATCCTGCTCTTCCGGATTACACACTAACGCTAAAGTACACCTCAATCTTTGTACCCCAGAGAGTATACACCATTAAGTCGAGAGCGTTCCACAAGTTACATGGCCGTAAAGAGATCGAGCTTGGCAGGGTCTCGAGGCCCCGAAACTTCATGGTCTCCATTGCACCTTTGGATGGCATCTTCAGCATTGCAAGAGATCAGGATAGGAATCGGGTAGGTAGATGGAAGACTGTGACGGCGGCACGCGTTCCTCCAAGTCCTTCCCAGACTTCGAATGCGACTGCGTTGGGTTCGCGACTGGCCATGATCTCTCGTCCTCTCGTCCTCTCGTCTTCGGGTCGACAAGCAAACTCTCTGGACCTGCAAAGCGGAATGGCCTACCTAATCCAGTGGTTTGCTCACAAAGGGCGACGCCAAGTGCTAACCCGCTTCCAGAGTTCTCATTCTCGTTCATCATTGGAGGCCGGCATTTTCCGCTTCGAGGTGAAGAATACATATGCCTGCAATGCCCAAGGTCAAGGACTTGACTGTTGGAACATGTTCTGCTTGGTCCTCCGGATGTCTCACTGTTGCGAATCCTCCTCACCATCATTCAGCGAGGATGTCGTTGGCGGTTGATTTCGACTAACAGCACCTCTGAAGAGAGCAATTAGCGGTGCCGGCCATTCCATTTTCAGTGCGTCCCAAAGGTAACTTGAAGTTAGCCTGGGGTAACACGATATCGAATTGACTTTAGTTCTGCCATCCACGGCCATAACTGAAATTCCAAGCAACTGAGCATGCGGCCCTTGAACTCAGAGTGTCTGACTGGCTGTTGGATTTCACCTCTAGCCAGTATCAAGAGGCCCTTTTCTGTGGCTTTCCTCTTTCCTCTGTCGTGTTTCTCTTTCTTCCATTTTGGGGGCTTTTTTTTGGTAGTGTGCGCTGTGGCTTGTCCGGGCCACCTCATCCGCCTACCGCATCGCCGTATTTGAGGCACACCTCTACACCATTATCTTTCACGTCAGATCCACACGACGGAGAATTACACCGGGATGAAACCGTACTGATGGTTCATAAGCACCTTAAACGGACGAAGAAACAGACAACGACAAGCTTTCTCTGAAGAATGAGTGGGGGGGTTTGACGAGTTGAAGATTGAAAGAATTGCTAAACCCCCCTTATCCTGGCCTTCCCCCCACACCCTCCCGGCCGCCTCTACAACGCTACATACCTATATGTCAGGGATCGATTCATTATCTTCAGTTTTCACCCTCCCTTAACAGCCTGGTACTGTGTATTCTGTACCCGGCTGCTAAGCTTTGGCCGTAAAACACAAGGGGGGTCCAGACCACATACTAACCAAGGACTAGGAAGTCATCAGAGAGGTCCACTGATCTTGGAACTTCCACAACACTCATCTTGTTTGCCCTTTTGGTTTTTGTTGCCAACTTCACCCCTTCACATCTTGCTTGCCATTGAGCAGAGTGCAAGCTTTTAGGCAGCTGTTCGGCTTCATCCCAACCACCACGCGGACGACAAAGCTCATCGGCAGTTGACCATTCTCGAATTCGAGTCCAAACTCATTCATCATCACAGATTCCTCGCTCGCCCTGGCGGTATTCTACGATCTGAGCTCATACAGCTTCATTCGCGACGAATTCCTCGATTGCCACTTTCATTAACTGGCTTTGATTGCTTTCTGGACAGCAAATCAGTGCTCACATCCTGGTCAACATACTGGGTCACATACTTGGGCTTCCCTTGTGTGGAACATACGCTGAGACCACTGGCCACCAACCGTACGAACCTTGGATCTCGGTCTGAACGACCCTTCATCCTGCCGCAGCAATCACGATTTGCTTCCCGTTTCCAGATCACAAGCCACGGCCTACCTATCCTACACTCAAATAGTCTTCACCACACTTTGCAAATCTCGTCCCCAGAAATCCGATTTTTAGGTCTGTTTCACAGTGAGAAGTGGTCTCTCATATCCTGAGAGCTTCTCTCTTCCTCCTTACCAGTCTTCCCTGACGACTGCTCGTATAACCGTGGCTAGGCGTGCCAAGGTACAGAACCATTACACAGTACGCCAGACAACATTTCGGACCCCTTCAGAGGACGGATTTGTTGTGCATGCTGCTGGCCGTTGGCGGGACACAGGCTCTTCTGTCCTAACAGCGATACACAAGTCCCGGCTGAGCAATCAACGCTTCCCGTTTGGTCCGCGTGTTACTCGAGACCACATAGCCCGCACTTGAGACCCACAGACATAACGGACGTTGAGGAGCGGTTGCTGTTGCTGCTTGTTTCTGTTTCTGCTTCTGCTTCTGCCAGGGTCAAGGCGAATATAACGGGCTGCAACCTCATTTGGCCCAAAAGGTAGCCCGTCGCTGCTGTCTTGGGTTTATCCCCGTCCTGCAGTCCAAACCCACCAGTCCCCTTCGCCGCCCTTGAAACGAGAAAGGAGAGGAACTTTTCCCAGGTTCGCAGTCTGCTGTGTACTCGGCGTCCAGGATGGCGCGCATACAGGGTGATCCGGTTGTGCCTGTTGGTGTCTCGACCCCCAAAAAGAACCGAACGCAGAACGAGTGTAGCTCATCAGCCAGCGACGATGCCACCTTGGCCCAGCCAGATTTCCAATCGATCTCGTCACGAGTCGACAAAGGCTCGACGAAAGCCCAGCAGGCGTTGGTGGACGAGTCCCCCGCTTACACGGTTGCGCAAGCGGACACAGCAGTCATCCTCGCCTCCAGTGAAACCACAGCACCAGAGTCTCCTCGAGCCGACGATGCTCCAATAACGAGCCATAATCCAGATCTGGAGGAGAGCACCGATTCCGTCATATCTCGTGCGGACACGGTCTTTTCCAAATCGACGACAAACTCCCCTTCACTTTATGGCGCATCTCCATTTCCCTCAGGTGAACCCAGCTCGCCAGCCGACCGGGCGTCGAGATTACTACTGTCACCGTCACCATACCACACGGCACTGAGAGCGACGAAACGGGGCCGAGAAGAGGCAGCGGGAGAAGAAGATGGTAACGAAGGGTTTGACGTTGAGCAAGAAGAACGAGCAGCTGTAGAGCAAGCGGCCGAGGACGGGAATATCATCATCGACCATGACGATATGGCTTCGGACGCGGGTTACGAATCAGACGCCAACACGACATGTTCGACGTCGCTGGCCGAGAGTATTCGCGATTATGTTTATGAGAATGGGAGGCGCTATCACAGGTTCCGTGAGGGACGATATAACTTTCCTAATGATGATGTTGAGTATGTCTTTTTTTCCTGATTCTCTGCAGATATCAGACAAGTGTCGAGAAAATCTGCTGTGGAAATGTTCTTACGAGATAGTCTGAATACGGCTCAGCTCAGCTAACGCAGACTGAACAGACAACAACGAGAAGACATGAAACACGCCATGGTGAAGATGTTATGCGGAAGGCTGTATTACGCACCGATCGGGAACCATCCCCAAGAAATTCTGGACATTGGAACGGGGACAGGAATTTGGTGCATTGAGAGTGAGTTAACCAATGTTAGGCATCTCCATCTGACTACGAGGCAAAAGGCTGACACGCGTATTCTCCAACAGTGGGTGACATCTTCGAGAGCGCAAACATCCTCGGCGTAGACCTAAGTCCAATACAACCAGAGTGGGTGCCGCCTAATGTGCGGTTTATGGTGGATGATATCGAGTAGGTTACCCTAGACCATCTTTCACTACTACAGGGACGTTACTAACCAATATCACAGAAGCCCGTAAGTCAACGAAACCATCTTCAGTAGAGATCATGCATGACAAGTGATTCTGAACTAACAGCAAGTTAAAGATGGCTACACCCACGAAACTACTTCGACTATATCCACGCTCGCCACACGGTGATGGGCATCAAGGACTGGCCTCGTCTAATGAGGCGAACATTAGAGTGCGTCCGTTCCCTTCCTTGGCTCTTTCCCCATAAATAGCTTTGCTAACCTCGACACTTACCACAGACACCTCCGACCAGGCGGCTGGTTCGAAATGCAAGAAGTCGTGCACTTCCCCGTATCCATGAGCGGCCCCATGCCCGCCGACCACCCCATGGCCCAATACTGGGCCTTAGTGCGCGAAGGACTCGCTGCCCTCGGCGTCGACTTCCACGCCGCGGCTGGTGGTAATCTAGCGCAGATGATGCGCGAGGCCGGCTTCATCAACGTGACCGAGCGCATCCTGCAGATCCCCATCGGCACCTGGCCCAAGAACAAAGTCCTGAAGACGGTGGGCTTGTACTGGCGCACGATTCTGTTGGATGGTATCCAGGCTATTGCCCTGGGCCCCCTGACCAGGGGCCTGAGGTGGAGTAGAGAGCAAGTTGAGATGTTTCTGATCCAGGTCAGGAAAGCGTATCATGATAATTCGGCATTGTTGTATATGCCGCTGCATATTATTTACGGGCAGAAGCCTACGGTGGGCGGTTATTGAGGGAAAAGGCGTGTGAGAATTATCGGGATGGGGCGGGATGGGATTATCGGGATGGGATGGGATGGGATGGGATGGGACATGGGATTGGGATTGGGATGCATGAAGGGTTTGGGAAGTTGAAAGGAGTATTTTGATACCTATGGTAGGTTCGTCGAATGGCTGGATGGATGGATGGATGAATGGCTTGGGTGGCTCAAGTTTGACGATGATGGGATTGGAAATGGTCTGGACTGGACGGATGGATATGTCGGATGGGGATCCGGATTACACTAGGACAGGTGGCCTTTTCCTCTTTGGTTGATGTTCTCTTCCCCGTTATCTTGTGCAGCCTCTCTCCTAAGTTCAAGATACCACTGGCGACGTTTTTTTCCGGTCAAAAAATTCCATTTTTGCGGATTGCATTTTCATCCCTAAAAGGCCCATATATCATTCGCACTCTCTTGCTATTTGACTGTTGGTGAGTGACAACAAAGTGGAAAGGAAACGAGAAAACCAAATAAAGGAAACCTAGTAGGCCAGAGATCCGACTTTGATGGAAGTCAGTAAGGCTCAAGACCAAAACAGTGTCAGTGACATTCTCATTCCTTATTCTTCTCCCTCTTCTTCCTTTTTTTTCTTTTCTTCTTCTTCTTCTTCTTCTTCTTCTTCTTCTTCTTCCTGCCACATTCTACACTCGCATTTCACGATCTACCGGTACATGACCTACCTACGGTACCCAGCACCACCACCCATGATTAACTACCGAGAGACTGGACTGGTCGTTCGTCATCAGCTCCAACACCCCTCGCTCCCCCTTCCCCCCTTTTCTGAAACTAGCGTGAACGCCGAGCATATTGTAAAGCCCCTGTACACTACCACGACTAGGTAGAGGGTGTCATCGCTTAGACCTAGGTACCCATCGGTCCCATCATCCCTCTTTCTGCTCTCCTTGGGTAGTGTACATAAACATCACTTTGACTTTCTAGTGTATTAACCTCTTCATATCTCTACGTTATATATCAGCTCTACAAAATGCAGCCGGAGAGGTATATATGTTGACCTTAGCTAAGACACCTCCCAGACCTGGACAATACCAAGTCGGGGTTGAAAACACCGCATTTTCGTATCATGCGAGCCCGAGCACGCCCCCATCGTGTAGGTCAGCAGACAGTGGTGTGGTGTGTGGAAACAGATTGGGAAGGAGCGAAGGGCACTCATTCAGGGCAAGGCCCCCTGTAGGTTGTGAGGTTCGCTTGCAAAAGAAAGAAGTCACGGTCACAAAGGTATGGCTTGCGTAGTCGAACGGTCGAGTCGTTCGGTTCGAGATCATGACGAACTGACCAATTCGTCAAAAAAGAAAAGGAGGGATCTCCGTCTGACCAATGCCGTGGTTGCCGTGATCGCCGGGGGCCCGCCAGCCGCTCGGCTACGCTGAACACGATCATAAAATGCAAATTCTTTAGTTCTGTTCGGCTCATTCGTTTCCCCACAACAGGAGCAGTAGCGTTGAGACTAGCCTCTGAGAGATGGAACGATTTTACTAGACCCCCCCCCCCCCCCCCCCCCTTCCCTCCCTCCCCGGGCCCGGGGATCGCTTCAGGCCTTCAGCTCTCATCGTCGCCGAAGTGGAAGTTGTTGACGACATGTGGACTTGAGGCTAGGGGTTCGGGTAGGGGAGATTTCCCGGGACTTGAGAGTCTACCTACTGTTAGACGGTTGCGGGATGTGGACGAACGTGTACCTGTTACTGCTGCTGTTCATTCTCCCATTTCTCACGCCGTTCGGTTGTCATTGATCTTCTGGTCGTCCTGGTGCCTGGGTAATATTCCACCGTTACCTTGGAAATTTCCGGTGCCGGTGGACGGCATACATCTTTTATGGAGTGTACACCCTGATGGGCACATGTACACTAGGTAATGGGAATGATTATCGGCGATTTCACATCGCCAGCGTGGTTGATTACAGTAGGTACTTGAGAAAGAAGAAAACGGATACTTACCAGAACCTAACGGAGATGAAGTGGGTGAAATGGATGGATGGATGGATGGATGGATGAGCGCCGTGTCTGTGGGCAAGCTCTTCCTTTCTGTTTTGGGAATGGATATCTCTTTTCCCTACGAGCCCACATGGGACTGGACACTAGTGTATTTAGCGATCTCTCTTCCACGTGTAGTCTACACTGACTGCCCTTGATGGCCTGTTTCGAGCGATTGGAACAGGCGATGCTCTTTGCTCGGTTGTGGAACAGCATTTCAGCTCATGACTGGAAATTTGACCGAGAGTCTATCCTGTTGTTCTTGGTCTCCAGTTTCACTTGATTCCAACAGAAGATGGGAGATGGAAAATGGCCAGTATCCAGCGAATATAGGATAGCAGGCCGATTTCGATAGGCGGTTCCCTCTCCATGGCACTGGGCCGGAAGCAGCCGTGACAAAAAGCGGGAACAACAGAAGGAAGAATCCTTCATCCCACCTTATGTGATGGTGTCTTTGTTCCTGTTTTTCCCTTGTGGTATTTGGACCGTACTTTGGTGTGCTGTGATATGTTTGTCCGATGCGGGCTTTTTGGATGATGAGAGGACGGCGGTAATGTGTTTGTGTGATAGGACGGAGGTATTACAGATAGAATGTAGCGAAGATGTCCTTGTGGTTCACCATTGTAGGTTATTTGATGTTTCCGACTTGACTTGCCTTAAGCCACCACAACTCAACATTCATGGCTGGACGTTTATCATGGAGACGGAAAGCTGCCTTTAATGCCGTGCTGACAGCTGTCAAGCAGAGCAGATGGCTGAGACATGGCTTGATGGCTTGATGGCGGTTTTGACTGCCGTAACGTGAACATTTGCGGCGTACTGAGGGGGCCACCCGCCAAACGTCCCAAAGATTCACTGCAAAAATCTGATAACGTCGACCATAATGGAGGGAATCCCGCTGGTGTGGTCACACGAAGCGGCCGCCCAGTAAGATCCATTGCCGAAAGAGATGGTCCGTAGGGGTATTCGTGGTCAATAAATAATACAATGAAGAGGCGACCACCAACGCCCAACACTGCTCTGAGTGTTGTCGGTCATTGCCCGAAAGCTGAGGAACGCAGTCCTGGAGGTCCCTGCCAAAATCAAAATCACTGAACAGCGATTCACTCCCATTGATTTCCATAGGTAGAAATGGCATCAAGGAAGGAGTTAAAACGACACAAACAGCGAGAACCTTGTTGTCCAGGCACGCCAGGGCACAGGGGAAAGGAAGGAAGGAGGAAGATGTGTGGTTATGCGGGGCATCACGCTTGGCGGACCAAAATGGTGTCGAGTGGACTGCCAATTTCAGGGCTGTGGGGGTTATCAGAGCTGATTGACCAATCAAATATCTTGTTTCTTTGCAGCCATCTCCGACCTGCTTGGTCGCTCTTGTGTTTTCCCGACCTCAGCAATTGGGAAGGAAAAGCATCTCGGCGTCAATCATCATATCGCTGCACATTGCAAAGTGCTCTTGTTCACCTTGGCACCGTTTGTGTCCAACGATGCGTGTTTCTCTTGTCCTGCTTCAAATTTCAACAATGTGAGAGCTCATCTGCCACAACATGTCGTCCATTTGGCTCGTCATCGGGTCAGGTTGCCAAAGTCCCTAGAGACGTCAAGACACTCCCTCCAGGTCTCACCTCCAGGTCCCAGATCCAAAGCCGGTCCAATGTCCGCAAATCCCAGACGCCAGGTCCCAGGCACAGGAACCACAGGAACCACAAGAACCATCTCCAGGGGCCAGCGAGGTTTCACTCCCCACGTTTCTGCCACGGGCCGCCAGTGTCCACCACCTCTGATTTTCGAGGTTCCTCACAGGCTGCACCCAGGACTGTACTAGGTAGCCTGTACCCAGTCGCTGTAGCTCAAGGGCTGGGAGGGCGCTGTTCCGACGATTTGGATAGCCAGTGGCCGTCTAAAGCAACCCCTCTTACATACCTCTCCCACACTCGGCTCGAGCAACGCCAATGCCATCCTTCGGCTTCCCCCTCGGCTATGTTTCCAGAGTCTGTAATACGAGTCCCTGGACGCGGGAGATACAACATCACCTCGGCCCATGGCAGCAACTCCGTATCTACAGTACCCTTCCAACTCTCCGGAGTCCGGTCCTACGGCTACGAATTTGGATGCAGATGAGATGGAGATGGATATACCAGAGGATGGCGAATGGAGACTTACAAGCCGGGAGAATGGGTCTGATGGAGCCGCCCGCTTGCATGCGCTCCCCCGTTGGTAATAACTACAAGGGATGGTTTGCTCACATGGAGGGCATGGCCTTGTCGTGTCGTGCAGGACCGCCATCCATCGATCGATGCAGCTTTGCAATCTTTGGGAACTCTCTGGGTCCTCCATTCATACACCATGCTTCTCTCGGTCCTCCCACCTGCCTCCTCCATGGGTAACGGACCACGGACCACGGACCACGGACCACGGCTCCTCATGGACTCCCCCCTCCTCCGGACTCCTCCCGGAGCGACTCCTCTCCTTTCCGCTAGCTAGCCTCTAGCCATGTAGAAGCCCGTCTCTATAGCCTGGGTCTGCCCTGTTCATTGCCGTCTGATCCTATTCGCCTTTGCCTTCATCATAACAAGAACTGGAGCTTGCCCTGCTGTGTGACTTATACCCGCAGTCTCGCCGGCAAACTTCACTGGCTCTCCTTCTCTTCCTTCCCGGATACGCATAGTGACGCCGGATCAACACCGACAGCCTGGGACCAGCCCAGTTATTACTCCACGCCTCCCTCCCTCTCCATCGCTTCGACAAACACCACGCCAACCGAACACGTCCCCAACGTCCCGGGACTTGATACCAGCAGTGCGGTTTGACAGACAAGTCATACGGCCGTGCGACCGGCCCGGTAGGCAATCAGCTTCCCAACGAGACGGAGCCGGTGACCTCGGTGTAACCCAAGCCAGTCAAAGTGTTACTCGACGTCGATATCCTGGCCAAGCCCGAACCCAAGCAGAATCCGACAGCCAGAAGACAGCCATCAGACATACAGCAGCAGTCCTCACGGTACATACCACGGCTGCACCGAGGTTACTGCACACTCAACCACGGCCTCAACACAACGCCATTCTTCTCAATATAGTTAGTCAAGAGTAATATCTCTTGCTCCTCAACCTGTTGGTTTTTATTCAGAGGTATTCTACCTTCCCGTTTCTGTTTTGTTGCCCTGTTTGATCCAATACCGTGTTGCATTTCTATACCACCACTCGGCAGCCCCTGGTTGTTTTATGTCATCCCCTGCTTGAGCCGGGCAGCATCTGGATCTCAAACCCATGCAATTGCGGAATAACAAAGACATGTCTCTTCATACCTATGGCCTTAACCGTGCTTCTTGTCATGTACGGCCTGGGGGGAACTAGTCCATGGTGTGATCTGGCCCGCTTATTCCGTCTCAACCTCCTACGGACGTGTGGCTTCAATGGGCCTCTCTTCCATTCACGTTTATCCACTTGAGAGAAGTGAATGGCTGACTTTATGATCTCAGGCACTTCACTTGTCAAGCTGCGGTTTTTGAACCAGGGTCGGCGTGCTGGCGAAACCTTTTCCTCGTTAATACTTATATCCACTTATTGCCGTTGGAGCACTACGTGTGTCACTTCGACCTTTCTTCAACTTCGGCTTTGAAGCGACACCACGTACATCGAAAGGCAACCAAACTACAATCATGGGAAAATTCAAGATTGGCTCTTGGCTGAACCGCAGCCCGTCGCCCGGCTCCGACGATGACGGAAAGAAGCAAAACCGTTTATCGTTTTCGGCTCTTTCTTCATCACTATCCTCCAAGCCCAAGGAGCCTCAGCCCGCTACCACGGGAATCCATACACCTCCTCCTGATGAGCAGGGGCAGCAGACGTCAACCTCGCGGATGATCACGCTCGCGCAAAAGATCGCAAAGGAAACGGAAAAGTTGGAGGCGTACATGAAGGAGAACAACCTCCCCATGCCAGGTTTCGACGTTGATGCTCCCGCGGACTTCCCTAAGCTCCCCGCCGAGATTTCAAAAAGCAGACAGGAAATTATTTTCGCTACCAGGGAGCTGGGTTTGCTTGCACATGGACCTCGAGAGTCGCTGAGATGGGGTGTTTGGGAGGTAAGTTGGCGAGAGCTGTTTTCACCGGTGGTAATCAAGTTTGACTAACAGGCTCCCTAGTTCCTTGATGTCCTTGCCTTGCAAGTAATCACTCACTATGACATTGGTAAGTCTACGGTTAAAGTACATCGTTTTCCTTGTTCCAAATATCTAACATCTTTCAGCTAAACTCTTCCCTGCCACCGAGACCATCGCCCTCTCGGAGCTCCAATCCAAGACGTCACTGGATCCCATCAACCTGGCCCGCGTACTCCGCCTCGCCATGACCAAGGGCATCTTCCGCGAGCCCACCCCGGGCGTCATCGCCCACACAGCTGCCTCCCGCGTGCTTGCCGAGGATGGCGATCTGCACGCCTGGGTCGCCTTCAACGGCGAGGACATCTTCCCGGCTGCCGCCCACGTGCTCGAGGCGCTCAAAACCCACCCGGAAGCTACCTCGCTCACCCGCGCCGGCTTCCAGTTCGCCTTCGACACGGTCGATAAGGAGCCTATGTTCGTCACTTTCGGCAAGGACCCGGCGCGCGCGCGGCGCATGGGCAAGGCTATGGTCAGTCTTACCGGCGGCGAGGGTTACGAGGTCTCGTACCTGCTCGATGTTGAAGGTGGCGGCTACGACTTTAGCGAGATCGATGCCAAGGGAGGCACGTTCGTGGACGTCGGTGGCTCGCACGGATTTGTGTGCGTGGACTTGGCCAAGAAGTACAAGAACATGAAGTTTGTGGTGCAGGATACGGCCAAGACGGTGGAAAGCGCGCCCAAGCCAATCTCCGAGGATGGGCAGGTTGCTGGGAGGATTGAGTTGATGGCTCATGATTTCTTCCAGGAGCAGGTTATCAAGGATGCTGATGGTGAGTGGCCTCTTTTTTTACGCTCTTGCCAAGCCCCTTTCACTAACTCACAGCTATAGTCTACTTCTTCCGCTGGATCATGCACAACTACTCGACCCCCTACGCCGTCAAGCTCCTCAAGAACTTGATTCCCGCCCTCAAGCCTGGTGCCCGCGTCATCATCAACGATCACTGCCTGCTCGAGCCCGGTCAGGAAAACCCTTGGGATGAGACCGTCATGCGTCGTATGGACTTGGTCATGTTGGCGCTGCTCAACGCGCAGGAGCGTACCGAGGTTGAATTCAGGGAGTTGTTTAAGTCTGCTAGTGATGGGTTTGTTTTCAAGGTATGTCACAGCTCAAAACATCACATCCTGCATGAGTATACTTGCTGGGTTGCTTTCCTCGGAATGATTACTGATTTGCAATTCGTCACACAGGGGGTCACAAGACCCAAGGGATGCCGGATGAGCATCATCGAGGCCGTATGGCGGCCTGACCTAGTGGAGGAGAATAATTCTTCTGCCGCTGCTGTTGCCGCTGCTCCTGCTACTCCTGCCGCTGTCACTGATGTTACCACCGCGGCCGAGGTCGAAGCTCCTACAACAGATGCTCTTGAGGAGCAGCTCAAGGTTGAGGAACTGAAGTTGGAGGATCAGGAGGCTAAGTGAAAAGCCCCAGCGAGCCATATGGGATATTGAGAGAAGCAAGTCAAGGAGTTGTGCTTGGCGGACGTTTTTCAGCCAGTATTAGTAGGGGTTTTGAGTTTTCAGTTCTCATTTTCTTTTTCTCATGGACATTTGAAGGATACCCTGTGGTTGGAGGAACATGAAGACAACTTCAATTTTGAAAGGAGATGCCGAGGAGAGTAGGGAGGGGAGCAGCGGACCAGTAGAGAAAGATCCCCAAGATTGGCTTGACAGATGGATGAGGTAATGGTGTTTCCAGACATTCCTCGGACTCTTGTCTCTGGTCACATCACCACGACCAGAACTTCGCCTCCCTCACCCCCAATAGAAATATTATATATACCCTTTACGTACGCAGTTCCTTGGTAGCTACCTTAGTAATTCGAGTCAACTAATGCTATGCTTGATGATATCATGGGGAAGTTTTAAAGACATGCCCATCACAAGCATGAACATTACGACAGACCACATGGACCATGGACATAACGGCACCTACATGGCCATAGGGAAGCATAGCAAAACATTTTCTGGGACATCGCCGACATGCTACCACAGCAGCAAAAGTCTTCCGCAGTTCTATATTCAGTTGGCGTCGGTGCCGTGGCACTTTTCTTTTTTCATCCTCCTTCGCTTTGCACAATTCGTCATGAAAAACTAACATGTTTCACAATCAATCGATCACTCTTGTTGTAACCCTTTCTTTCTCACTGCCGTACAGGGCAGGTACAACTACTTCCATGCCTACTTATCTCCCTCTAGGCATCCACTTTCTCAACCGCGCACCGGCCGAACGAGCCGCACCTTCTCTCCCTTGAGCCGCACCTTCCTCCCGTCCTTTGTCTATTTTGGAGCACTGCACAGGCAGGTACAAATAGGCGCTTCGGTTCTTTTCTGCGCCAGCCTGGAACTGGAACCAACAGGAACCACCACCAACAAAGCGGACAGGCAGACAGGCAGGCACGGACGGGCCGTCCCGGTTTCGGTTCACCCACTTCCACTTCCACTTCCTTCTTACGCGTTGAAACATCAAAGGCAGCGAAAAGGGAGGTGCGGTATCGGCCGTACGCACGCTACAAATCGGCTGGGGCTGTAAGTATGTAGATTTCAGGGACCTGGCGACGATTGAGGAAAGAAATCGGAAGGCGGGAACAAAGATTCTACTTACTTAGTTACAAACGAGTACTAAGAAGCGAAGGTGGACGGACGACATGCCAACACCATGAATGTTTAGGTACCTGAAAGGAGTGAGAAGCAAGACGAACGAGTTCGGAAGGGCAAGACATATGAATAGTAGAAAGGGGAAAGGAATACGGAGTACATGAGAGTACCTACCTAGGTACCCTTTACCATAGGCTAGGTAGGTAACAGAATCTACATGTGCATTTCCAGGTTGACAAGCTCCAATCACGACACCATTAATCAAGTACTCGGAACTCTGATCCCGAACAGCAGGAACAATACTTAATGTACAGTATAACTAACACCCGACCTACAAGGACGACGGATTACCTTGGTTCACTAATCAACAAATCAACCGACAGGTAGGTAGGTATGTACAGAAGTTGATGAGGTAGCCAAGGCATGGAAACAAGCAACCGCAATCGCATCCAGATGTTGATGATACAAACATTCATTCTAAACAAAACGATGCCAAACACACATCGTACCCTTGCCTTTTTTTTTCTATCTCCCCTTATAGATAGACCACAGTAGATAGACATAATTCCAAATTTATACCATCAATTCGATTCTTTGCTTTACATGAATTCTTGTACTTTTGCCTTTTTTGTCATATACATAATATAAGTTGTCGGTGATTGTCAGGTTGCGTCGAAGAATCAATCGGAATCGATCGTATCATCGATCGATCGACTGATCCCATCCGTCCATCCATCCATACATCAATTCCATTCCATTCCATATCCATTTCCATCCTTCGCTTTGATCTTAATCTTCTTCTTCTTCTTCATCATGAAACGTTGTTTGTGTGTAAATATTGTCTTTGAGAGTGGTGTTGTTTGATCGATGTTGAAAAAGGTCATGTTTGTGCGATGCCAATGCGGTGCAGGCGATTTTGTCGAGGGTGATGGCGTTTTAAGGCTCCTCCTCCTTCTTCTCGCCATATCGCATACGCTCGTTCCACTTGCGCTTTCCAACGCGGGTCTCGTAGTGCGGCGCAGCCGTCTTGACGTCTTGCATCATGCCTTCGATGGCGGTTCGGGTCTTGTTGCGGTAGCAGTCCACTGTGTTGCAGGGTGGCGAATATTAGTAAACTTTCTTGTAGATGGAATGAAAGGGGAACGTAAAAGGGAAAGACTCACAAGCACGCTGCAAGAATACCGTCCTTCCGGCAAATACTCTACTCTGGAGCCAGGCCATGCGATAGCCCAAGTCATTGAGCCGAACCTCCTTTCCACGGAACGCTTTCCTCATACGGGGGATGGCAATCTCGCCCTCCTGGCTTTCGCCCATCGGGACCTTGACCATGACTCTGCCGTTCCGCTTGGCACCCCTTGCTGCGCGACGGCCCTCCGTGTCGGTGGTACCGTCATCCTCCACGTCGCTCAAGTCATCGGTAAAGAACTTGCTGCCAGTGGCGCTCGGAGGAGGGCTTTGCATCTCACGAGGGAAGTAAGAGCGAGGGTAGACGCTGGCGCCCTTGCGGAAACTGTCGGGAATCTCGCGAGTGTCGACGCCGTCGAGAGTGACTCTCACGCGGAGGCGGCTATGCCTGTCGCTGTCCTCGACCAGGATGAACTTGCGCTTCTTGGCTTCGGGAATGTCGGGGAAGAGATCCTCGGGCTCATCATCACGGGCGGTGCCGCGGCCGGGGGTCGTTGTGCGACGAGCGGTGACAGGACCGGCACCGCTGGCATGCGGAGAGCCACTGAGGGTGTCGTGGATCGAAGGCATTGCGGACGAACCGTATGGCGCACCGTTGGGATACGAGCCGTGGTTGGAGAAAACCTGGGCTGGTCTTTCGTCCGAGCTACCCTGGGAGGGAGCCTGGTGATGATGGTGGTGGTGGTGCTGTTGGTCGTCACCGTACTCACCATCGCCTAAAAAAAGCAAAGAAATACGAGTTAGCGTATTGATCCCAGTGTTGGATAGGCCAGACCCGACGGCATGGACCAGTTAGCCTTGCAACTTGAGAGTGCGATTGAGTGTGATGCTGTTTCAAACCGAAAGCCAGCGCGGCAACGTCAACTCGCAGATCTGTAACAACCCCCAGGCAATGCGCGCGGTAAAGACAAAGTAACAGCAATTTCGGGGCTTTCCAGCCACTCGGGAATGCCCCCCTGTTTCGCAGAGGGCCAAGTAGATGTGTGGGTGATGATGGTGTTGGTTAATATGTGACAAGCGATGCTGATGGGTATGCGATTGCAAGTAAAATGCAATGCAAAACGTTTGCCAGAAGCCAGACGACTGAACGACGACCGAAAACCAGCAAAACAAACTAAACAACAGCAAACGCGCAACTATCGTAATGTACAGATCTTTCTTTATACCAGAGATCTCCAGTATCGCCCAAGTGCAGAGCTCGCCAACTTGCGTTGGCGAGCCGGTATATAACAAGTCTGAAAGAGAAAGACAAAAACAGAATATCCCAAGACCCATAACATAAACCAAACAAGGCAGGCGCAGTTTTAAACAATCGGTTTGAAAATGAGGTATCACACTGAATCGCAACAACTCGCGCATTAGGCCATCTGGTGAAACATACCGACTTCGTCTCCTCCTCCCTGAGCGTTTCCATTATCGTGGGCATGGTGATGGTGCATCGACGTACCCATATTATTAATTCCGGGCTTGTTGATGGCAGCAGCGCCGCTGGAGCCCATTGCTGCCGGTGTCGAGATGCCAGCAGCGCCGGTGGGACCGGCCATGTGGGCAGGATGGGGGGTTGCTGAACCGGCCTTGTTGCGGTGGTTCATCTTGGCCATTCGCCGCACGCGGCGGGATCTGAGTCGCGGATCTTGGTTGCTGTTGCGCCAGCTGTCCACCGCCCTTTGAATGAGTCCTCTCTTGCCTCTGAGGGGCGGGTTCAACTGAGCCAACGCCCAGCCGACGGTATTGCACTCAGTCTCGTACTGCAGACGGTTGCCGCGGTACTGCTCCTTGGGGCAGCACGCGCGAGGGTAAACGCAGTTCTCCGTCTTGAACTCGGAAGACAGCTCATCCTGATTGACCGATTCCACATCGCAGCGGATTGTGTATTCCATCTTGACCCTGTCGCGAGAGTACTCGAAAGCAATCCACTGAACACCGTTTTGATCCTGTCTAACGACGAGTGGTGTTGTGGCGGGAATCGGGCCGGGAGCAGCGTTAGGGTTCACGCCAGATGCCGAACCAGTGGGTGTCGTGCCGTTCTGGGGAGAAGTCGACGGCGCGCCGCCCGCGAGCGGTACGGGGGCATTGTTTCTCTGCATCTGATGGTTCATACCGTGCTGAGTCTCAATCTTGCCCTGGCGAGGGCTGACCGTTGCCATTCCTGTCTGAGCATTCAGCGTCGCCTGGTGGCTTGTCTGGTGCTGCGGCGCGGTGTGAGACATCATCATGCTGGGCTGGGAGGCTATCGACTGGTGGGACTGCTGGGGGTGTTGCGCATACGGCGAGGGCGCAGTTTGCGCCGGCATCGACGAGTACTGCGGGTGCTGAGGAGCGCCATAGTACATGGACTGCTGGTGTAGCTGCGAGGGGGCTTGTCCGTAAATGCTCCTTTGCTGATCATGCCCGGAAGGCGACGCGACGGATGCTGGCGAGTTCGACTGAGGGGTATGGTACGAGGTCATGGGCGGGTAGGGGGGCCTTATCGACGTAGCCATCATGTCTCCGGTGTCTGCGCGATCGCGTAAGCATCGTGAAAGAGAGAAGGGGGGAAGCCAGGGCCAGGACGGCGAAGAAACTTACCTGCGGATGTATATCCGCTTGTCGCGCCAGGGGTGCTGTAGGGACTGGGATGCGGGTAGTAAGGCAGATGA